AAACTGATGGCAGCACTTATCTGCAGCTAATGTCGTATGTCAATTTGATGGCCGCAGCTTGTAAGTTCGTTGGTGCCCTGAACGAGTGACGTGAAAAGTACAAGCTTGCACAGCAGCTGCACCGAACTGTCGAGGCTGACTCTACCCAAGTCTGCCCCCCACCATGTTCTGCCGGCTTTCACCGCTTCCAACCCACAACGCCCACAAATCGGACACGCGAAAAGTTCGATATTCAATCCACGAAGCGATCTCGCCATTATCTAAACCGCCCGCATACTCGCGATAGCTCCTGCTCGTGACCTACGGCATTCGACACGTGTCTTCAGATAAATCGGACAAGATGAGCGACGCTTTGAAAGATGCGCCTTTCCAGACCGTCCAGGTCGAGGCATTGGTAAGTTGTAAATTTCCCAGCGAGCCCCACCTCGCTCATATGCTGCATGCTGGACGACTTGCTGATTCCGAGGGAATAACAGGTGATCATGAAAATTGCCAAGCACTGCTCCTCGACGTTTCCCACTGTTGCGACAGGATCTATTGTTGGTATGGATCAAAATGGTGTTCTCGAGATCACCAACACTTTCCAGTTCCCTACCGTCGAAGGCGCTGTAACCGAGGGCCACCAAAACGATACCTCCCAGATCGCAGCCGCTGCTCCCCGACAGAAGGCCAACATTGCCTACCAGAATGAGATGATCCGACACTTGAAGGAGGTGAATGTCGACGCCAACAATGTTGGATGGTATACCAGTGCCACCATGGGCAACTTTGTCAACATGGGCTTCATCGAGAACCAGTACCACTACCAAAAGGACAACGACCGAACCGTCGCGCTTGTCTACGATACTAGCAAGAGCTCTCAGGGGAACCTGACTCTGCGGGCATTCCGTCTCACCAGCACCTTTATGGCTGCATACAAGGAGGGCAAGTTCACAACTGAGAGGTATGGATATTACCAGATAATCCCAAAAACCCCACATTGTGTTGCTGGTCAAAAATACTAATCTACGAGTACAGCCTTCAAAAGTCAAAGCTCACTTTCCGCGATATTTTGGCTGAGCTGCCTATCAACGTGCACAACTCTCACCTCCTCACCTCGTTCCTCCACCAGATCCCTTCTCCTCCCGCCGAAGAGGAGATTGAGCAGCCCAACTCAGTTTCAGACCTCAAGAGAGACGCCGTCAAACCTCCCCTGTATCCCTCTATCGACAGCCTCGACCTCTCCATTGATCCTTTCCTCGAGAAGACGTGTGACTTGCTCCTTGAGAGCATCGAGTCCCACTACACCGACCTCAATAACTTCCAGTTCTTTCAACGCCAAGTCACCCGTGAGCAGGCCAAGATTTCGCAGTGGCAGGCGAAGCGGAAGGCTGAGAATGCTCAGCGTGCTGTGGCCAAACAGCCTCCTCTGCCCGAGGATGAGTGGCAGCGACTGTTCAAGATGCCCCAGGAGCCGAGCCGACTGGAGGGTATGCTGAACGCCAAGCAGGTCGAGCAATACAGCAAGCAAGTGGATGGATTCACCTCCAACGTGACAACCAAGATGTTTGCCGTACGGGAGAACCTGATGCCGCAGTAAATGTGATTGGAAAGGGCAAAAGGGAAATGAAGTTGGGACTATATGAAAGAGTAGAGGAGGACAATTGGGAAGCAAATGGCACCTTTTGGCGGGTAGCATTTAGCGGCGTTCCGGATACTGTGGGAATGTAATGAAGTTTTCTTTGTCTAGATTTAGCGACAAGAGAACCATTTATATGGTGTTTTATTTTTATTTTTATGCAAGTTTCTGTTCTCGTCGATACAGCCGCCCATAATGATGCCTCAGCTCTCGCATGCGGTTATGATGTATGTCCAAGTTCCCGGCAGGGCAATGGGCTGTCAAGACATGGTTGTTATAACAGCCTCTGTCAGCAGGCAGAGCATGCATCTCACTGATATCGAATCAACATTTCGGACAGAAGGCTATGGGGCCAGGTTGCTGCAAGCCACTGTGTCAAGGCGGTTAGAGATGCAAATGGGGCAAAAGTCTCATTCCTGACACTTGAGAATTCAATGACAAGCGAGCGGTTAGCAAATTCAGGACCGGGCTACGATGCGCTACAATTAGCAACCGAAAAATACCACACAGGAGGTGACAGTGTGCAAAGAGTTGTATCCGGGCCGGACTAAGTCTTCATCAACGTAGTAGGATGGCTGTCCTGGGGTTGTGGAACTCGGACGACTTTGACGGAGCCGCGAAATGTCCGAAACGTTGCTGTTTGCGAGGGGGAGGCTCGGAGTATGTTGGCGCACTGCTTCCGGCGGAGGTGGGCGGCTGGGGCAGCGGCAGAATCAAGCGCTCGAGATACGCCGCCCTGTCCGAAATATTGCCCTGGCATGCAGAGGGAAAAAAGATATTAAAATGAAAGCCAAGTCTCGACAGATCAACGACTGATATGGGATGGGGAACCGCGTCATTCATCGGCCTTCGTGGCGTCGTTGCCGGGGACACAAGTGAGGTTTCAGAGCAGCTGGCTGCGAGACTTGAGCTTTGCCCCGCTTCTTCAAAAAAAATTCAACATTGATCAATGAATGAATGGCTGCCCCTCATTACTGGCGTCTGGTGGGTTGCGCAGCGGCGCACACCGCCCGATGCCGACGAACCAGCGAACCAGCGGGCCGTCTGTGGCCACACTTGTCAACTGGTGCAGGCGAGGTCTGACTGAAGTTTCTGACTGCGGCGCTTGACCCCTCCAAGCCCCGCCACCCTCCTCAAGTGCTTGGCTGAGTTCGGCCCCTCGTCCTCATACCTTGAAGGCCTTGAAGGAACCGGCTCGACTGTTTGGTCAGGTCAGCACCACCTAAAAACCTCATACTTATATTCTCCTCTCCTCTCCCTCCGTTTCCTCCTCCTCCTTCCTTATCCTCCATCCAAGTCTCCCCTTCCTCCCATCCATCACCACAATCCTCACCACTACAATGGCTGCTCCCGCTCAGAAGTTCAAGGTCGCTGACCTGTCTCTCGCCGCCTTTGGCCGCAAGGAGATCGAGCTCGCCGAGAACGAGATGCCCGGTCTCATGGCCACCCGTCAGAAGTACGCCCAAGACCAGCCTCTCAAGGGCGCACGCATTGCAGGCTGCCTGCACATGACTATCCAGACCGCTGTCCTCATCGAGACCCTGACTGCTCTTGGTGCCGAAGTCACCTGGACCAGCTGCAACATCTTCAGCACTCAGGACCATGCCGCCGCTGCCATTGCCGCTGCCGGTGTCCCTGTCTTTGCCTGGAAGGGAGAGACTGAGGAGGAGTACAACTGGTGTCTCGAGCAGCAGCTCCTCGCCTTCAAGGATGGTGCCAAGCTCAACCTGATCCTCGACGATGGCGGTGACTTGACCAGCCTTGTCCACACCAAGTACCCTGAGATGCTCAAGGACTGCTTTGGTGTCTCCGAGGAGACCACCACTGGTGTCCACCACCTTTACCGCATGCTCAAGGATGGCAAGCTGCTTGTCCCCTCCATCAATGTCAACGACAGCGTCACCAAGTCCAAGTTCGACAACTTGTACGGTTGCCGTGAGTCCCTTGTTGACGGTATCAAGCGCGCTACCGATGTCATGATTGCTGGCAAGGTCGCTGTTGTGGCCGGTTTCGGTGATGTCGGCAAGGGCTGTGCCATGGCCCTGCACGGCATGGGTGCCCGTGTCATCGTTACCGAGATTGATCCCATCAACGCCCTCCAGGCCGCCATGGCTGGTTACCAGGTCACCACCATGGAGAAGGCCGCCAAGATTGGTCAGATCTTTGTCACCACCACTGGTTGCCGTGACATCCTGACTGGCGAGCACTTCGAGGCTATGCCCAACGATGCCATTGTCTGCAGTAAGTTCCACGTCATAACCCGACCTACGCTCCGAATACGTGAAAGCCACTAACTGACATGCCTCTCAGACATTGGTCACTTCGATATCGAGATTGACGTTGCCTGGTTGAAGGCCAACGCTGCCTCTGTGCAGAACATCAAGCCCCAGGTTGACCGCTTCTTGATGAAGAACGGCCGGCACATCATCCTGCTGGCCGAGGGTCGTCTCGTCAACCTTGGCTGTGCTACCGGCCATTCCTCTTTCGTCATGTCTTGCTCCTTCACCAACCAGGTCCTTGCCCAGATCATGTTGTACAAGGCCAACGACGAGGCTTTCGGAAAGAAGTATGTTGAGTTTGCCAAGACTGGCAAGCTCGATGTTGGCGTCTATGTCCTGCCCAAGATCCTCGACGAGGAGGTCGCTCGTCTCCACCTCGACCATGTCCAGGCTGAGCTCAGCACCCTCAGCAAGGTCCAGGCTGAATACCTTGGCCTCACCGTTGAGGGTCCTTTCAAGGGTGACATCTACCGCTACTAATTTAATGTATTCATACCCAAGGGTCCTTCAACTGGATTCCTACGTGTAACGACTTGCGCCGTTGTTCAATCACGGCAATGGGGCAAAATTGTGGATTCAACAGCATAAACTTGCATGGCATACAGGTTGGGAGAGTTTCGGTATTTTCGGTTTTTTTGGTTTTTTTTTTTCATATTTGATGAAATTTTGTTGCTTATCTGAGATCCTCATCCCTATTTATAAAGAAGACGGGGACTCATCTCGCTGGGCGGACAGGAGGCGGCAAAAAAAAGATGTGCTTTTTCAACAAAATGGCGTTGGCTCTTTTTGCTAGATATGATATCCCCCCATGGCGAGGTTCTAAGAGGAAATGTGTATCGGAAGGGAAAGGAAAAGTCTCGGATTCGAGGCGTGTTGGCGGAAACAGGCCCGTCAACCGCGGCCAATAGAAGTTAGTTGGTCTCGTCAATAATAACAGCAAGCCTCACAACGATGGCTTAGTATGCTGAACAAGATGCCAGTATCATCGTCCCATCTGTGAAATGAGCTATATGTAATCTAATTGCGTCTTTGCCATTGGGGTCTGTCTATATGTACACTAGGACCGAGGGGACCAATACCTTTGTCGCCAAATCGAATGACATCTAGGCCATATCCTTTTGCTCGGGGACAATGCTCTTCAGGGCACCTTGTTCAAGTGCCAGCTTGACATTGCTAATAGTCCACTCCTCCATCTTGGTTTGCGTCTCGACTGTCCACGTCCCCATGTGCGGAACAAGAAGCACGTTTGGATTGTCAATCAGACCAGGGTGAATCTTGGGCTCTTCCTCGTACACGTCTAGACCCACGCTGGCGACTTTGCCGGAATCCAAGGCCTTGACAAGCGCGTCCTCATCCATGACTGCCCCGCGGGCCGTGTTTACAATAACAATACCGGTCTTCATGAGGGCGAATTGGTCCGTGGAGATGGTATGCCGAGTGTGAGGCTACGACCGTTTGTTTCAGCGCCCAAACGGCCCAAGAGGCAAATCAAAAGAAGGGGGGGTAAGTCAAACAGTTCACTAATGGGCAAGACTCACGTTTAGAGGAAGATTGAGGCTCAGGACGTCGCTCTCGGCCAGGAGCCTCTCAAGGGGGACGTACTCTGCGCCGTCTTCCAGCTCGGGCGACAGCCGGGAGCGGTTGTGGTACCGAATCTCCATGCCGAAGGCGCGCGCCTTGGCGGCCACGTTCCTACCGATGCCGCCCATGCCCAGGATGCCGAGGACTTTGCCCTGCGGGTCGTGGCCGAGTCTGGGGAGCGTCGTGCCGCGCCAGTCGCCGGCGCGGAGGGCCGCCATGCCGACGGGGAAGTTGCGCAGCGCGCCGATGAGCAGCCAGATTGTGACGTCGGCGGTGGCGTCGTCGACGGCCGTGGGTGTGTTGGACACGCGGATCGAGTGGGCTGTGCATGCTTGGATGTCGACTTGGTCGTAGCCGGCGCCTTGGTGAGGGCGTTAGGAGGGGCTTTGTGAGGGAGTTGAAAGGGGGCGGTCATACCGTTGTGGCACATGAACTTGAGCGTCTTGGGAAACGCGTCGCATAATTCGTTGTCAATCTTGCCTGTTATGCTGAAGGAGTCAAAGGTTCGGAAGGCGACGCTGACGCCGTCGAAGGCGCCGGATTTGCATTCGGTGATGAAGGCTGTCCGGTTGGTGGCTTTGGGGGTGAGGACGGTGGCGATGGATGCGATTTGGGACCATGCGGTGTGTGCACTGGGAAAAGGGGTGAGCTTGGCTTGCTTGCGATTGGAGATGTAGAATGTATTGCTGGTGGAATGGATTGGAGGGCAGGCGTGCTTACTGTTCGATTTCTCCTAGGAGGAGGACCTTGGGTTTGCTTGTCATGGTGAGTGTTGGGGAGGGGCTGATGGTGTTGCTGGGTCAATTGCTCTGGAGGATGTTTGCTTTTCACTATGAATACGGCGATGTTTGATCGGTGTGTGCTTCAGGATCAGGTATAACATGAAGGTCGAAAACTGGGAGATAAGATAGGAATGGCATATTATATGTCATGACGTGAAGCATTGATTCTTCTGCCCTTGTTTAACAGAGCCCCGCGCCCTCTCCGTCATCGGCGGGGTAGCTCGTCCCTGGCGTCAAGTGCAGTCCGGTTCAATATGGCGGGGGTCGGCGAAGGACGCCCAGGAACATTGCCCGAAGGGGTGCGTGGCGGCGACATTGACTTCATAGAGGGGCCGGCAGGATCAGTGCGACGAGTAGTGACACCGACTTATCCATTGTTCTGGTAAGGGCTTTTCAAAGGCCTGAGGGCATACAGGCGGCGGCCGTGGCGGGTACTCTGAACTGCCGTGTCTAAGTAGGATATTTAGGCATTCGCGTGGTCAAGTTTCCAGATGCCGAGCCAAGGTGCACGGAAGAAATATCAACGCAGCCTACTGCTAGACTGCAATTTCTGCATATGCTTAATTAGTTTTATTTTACCGTTGTTGATGACATATGAAAAGCCTGCCGGCGGGCAGGTCAGCCGTGTACAACAGCCAAAGGCGCACCACTCAACTCGCGTCGCTGTCTATCTCTTCCATGCTCCATCGCCGAAGCCAACTCCGCCAACCCTCTCAGCAACTCAAATGCAATCTTGTGCACGAAACCCTCGCAGTCCCGTCACCGCGGCCGCCTACATGAGCAGTCTCCAGGCACCCAGCATCAGCGCGGCGAAACCCGTACAAACACCCATCAGCCACTGCAGCGTCTGAAACTTGACCTGCTCCAGCTTCTCCCTCAACGCCGCCACCTCCTGCTCGATCTTGGTCTCCGTCTCCTTGATCTTGAGCTCCTGGCCCACGGCTTCCTCGCGGATGCGGCCCTTCTCCAAGTTCAAGTCGAGCCGCACGCTGGCCTGGGTCCGCGAAATTTCGTCGCGCAGCCGGCTGCTCAGCTTGGCAATGTCGTTTGTGAGACGCTCGTGGGAGCTGCGCGTGGTGTTGGTCTCGGTGCTGTCCGCAGAGAGGAGCTCGGAGCGGAGCTTGGCAAAGTCGACTTTCTGGGTGTACGTTGCCTTGGCGGCGTCTTCGCGGAGGACCATTGTGCGGGTCAAGTTTTGGATGCTGCCGGCGCTGGTGTCAGGAGTTGCGGCATCTACGGGGTCGGCGTGTGTCCGCGGCTCACCTTTCTTCAATGACATCGTTGAGCATTTTCATCATGGCGACCGACTGCTCCTCTGTGAAGCCCTCCCCTTGTAACCGCTTCACGAATTTGAGCGTGTCGAAGTGGTGGTCCCGCTGTCGCTGGGCGGTCGCGTGGAAAAGACGAGAAAGGACCGGGCTGGGCTTGGCCGGCGATGGACGTCGAGGCGACGATTCGCCGTTGAAGCTTGTCAGGGAGCTCTGCCATGGCGGAGCGGTGCTGGCTGCTCGCAGGGCGGCAAATGGCCGAGTTGCGCGGGAGGCAGTGAGTGGTGCGTTCCAGCTCAGCCGGGGCAGTAGAAATCGCGGTAGCATCTCGGTGGCCATGAAGCTCGACGTGGCTACGGTTCGTGGCACAGAGAGCTTGGATTGTTGCGAAAAGTCAGTCGCTGGTCAGGTTGAGAAGTTAGTCTGTAGGGCGCAATTCAAACAGCGTTCGGAACGTATCGGCCTAAGCAGGGCAAGAGGGAGTTTCATGATTGGCTGCGTGTTATGTAAGTAGACTGCATGCACGGAGTACTCCGTAAACAGGGTCTAATTGCTTTGCACTGGGGCCTGCATCCAAAGAAAAAAAGTGGACACTGCTGACCCTATACCCTACACTCCCATTTTTACATGGACGGTTTGGGCGCTCGAGACTTTTTGACAAGCCATATCACCAATGGGCACGCGGTCATGAATTTCTATGAATATTTCTCATATATTGATTATTGACGTGCGGCTTGTGTGAAACTTGGATCTGCAACTTGTCCACAGATGCGTCTTTGTTGAAGTGACAGCTTTACTATAAGACGGAGACTTCTGTTAGTAGTTCAGCTGAGCAGGAAGACAGGATACCTGTGCCCAACGAAATCTGCCGAGATGAGCCGAGTGATGGGACAAAGGCTTCCCGCTCACTTCAAACGGCTAGGAGGCATTGACAGAAGTCTATATAAACGCAATAGTCCGCTCTGCGACAAGGACAAGGCGCAATACCGACTCATGCATCATAATCTTGATGAAGCAAGATATAGGTGTGTGAAAATAACATCCTGCCAAACATGTGCGAAACCACGCCTCCAGTTCCCACGGCCCACCTCGAGACTCTCTTGAGAGACAAGAGAATAGCCTGTGACGAATTATTTAAAAAATGCCTCGGCGACTCGAATGCCTGCGAAAATTACATTGACTTTCAGCAGCTCCAGCTACAGTCCCAACAGAAGCTGTTCAACAAGTGGACAGCGAGTTCGAAGGCGATGAGACAGGCCCCATGTCTCTAGACTATCGCCTGCAGCGTAAGACAGCCTTGTGAGATGTTGTGGCGGCTCTGCTTGACTGCCTGATGGATGCCCTCTCACGGCGCCTTGATATATGTAAGTAGTCTTTTTTTTAAAAAAAAAACAAAGGGTGAAGAGGGAATTTTGTTTTGGCTGACCACCGCCGTTGAACCAGCTGTCGACGGCGATGAGACTGACGCCGAGTCTCTCACCATGAGCATTCTTCGGGAGGAGTGCTACATCGACGTAAATCTTCAAATACTCCGTGGCATCCTGATTCCGGTTCGGTTCTCGAGAGATGATGGTTGAGAAAGCCGTCGTAGAGTTCTTTTGCACTAGACGGAATCCATCGTGTGCCAGACTGTCTTTCAACGTCGCCGCAGGACGATGAAGTAGTCCGGTATGTCAGTAGACCATGAAGAGACGGATGGTCCCCCCATATCCAACTAATTGACTGCCAACGGACATGGGCATGTAATTAATTTAGACCTCCAAGTCGCGTCTACATGAGAATATCGGGGAATGAGTCTTTATTCACCTACCCAGTTCCTCGTGCGCCCATCTTAGATGCGGCTACAATAGTCAATAAAGCAAATGATGTAAAGGTGTTTCTGGCCATTGCCCAACTCAAAATTACATCCGACCAGACCCCTTCATAGTGCTCCCGCAAGTGAAGGCGCGACCTATCCCTCCGACCATCATAGACTTTGCTACAGCAATCCACACATGGCAAGGACGACCGAATTCGACCCGTCCTCGGCATTTACGTCGCCGACATAGCCCAGCTTTCCTTCCCCGACCTTGGCCAGTGCCACGGCGGTTTCTCCAGCCACTTTTGCACTTGTTGAAGGGAAGACCCTTGACTGAACCTTTGAGCCGTCGTCGGTTTTGTACCACATTTCCTCTGCTGCGACGTTATTCACAAACACAGCCTTCTGGCTGTATCTTTGCGGCAGCGTCTGTGTGTTGGCCACCCCAACCGCGGATAGGTTCAATGCCAAGGTCGTCCTGTGGTAGGATCCAACTCCCCAGTCCAGACCTGCTCGGGAGAAGAATGGCTTCACACTGTCCCTCTTAACGAAGGAGGGGAAGAGGCCCATGATGATTGCCGTGCCTCCGCGGCGGACATAAGCCAGAACCGCTTCCCAAACGGAAATGTTGTCCTGAAGAGTCAAGGCCTCGTCTGTAATGAGTATGGCTGAGGGCTCTGGACGCTGTGACAAAAACTCAATGGCTGACGTCGAGTTTTCAGCACGCTGAAACTCTGCCTTTGACTTGAGGGCCGTGAGAAGCGGGGCATACATGTCGTCAAACCATGGTTGGTTGTGCAGAGAGATGGCAAGAACTCGAGCAGTTTTCGATGTCATGGTTGGGATACTGTGAGCGTGACCGCGTAGCAATCTACCAGACGGACTTGAACAGATTGATCAGACTCTTGGAATGGTGAACAGCAGCTTTTTATGAGTGATGTTGGGCAGCTGTTGGGCTTGTAAGGTCAAGGTGTAAAAATGGGTGCCTCGTTGGTATCCAGGTTTTTCTTGTGTTATGCGTGGGCTATCCATTTTCTCATAGGATACTTGGGTTATCCGTGGGTACCCTATTATATGATGGGTAATCGTAACTACCCATGATATGTATCAATAAGTTATCACGTATAATTGATTAGGTGGATAAGGGCTTAGGTCTTCAATGGGTAGTACCTACAATTACCCAAGATGATCAATGGATACATGTAGCTGTGGGTAACCCAGATTCCCCAACGGATCTGTTTGTGTCACGTCGAAATTCACTACCAGTTGACCGTGGAACTTGCAGTGCTTGAAGCGGGGTTCTGGACATCAGTATTGGATTTGCTGCCACGTTGACGTGTGACATGTCATCGGCAATTACCATGTGTCAGGCTGTGCAGGCTATCGGCAGAGGCTGCGGCGTTGAGTTCTTTCTCAACCTCAATAAAAAGTATATAATTGAAGGTAATAGAAATGGTGACAACGTTACACTTCTTGCGTCTGGTTGGCAAGCTGTTCCACTCCTTGCGCTACTTGTTAATAGCTCGCTACTTAAGTAGTTAATACTCAGGGCATCAAAGCTTAATATAACATTCTTGGTTCCATAATGAGGGGTGGAAAGAATAATTTCCGTGCTGCTCGCCCCGCGGGTCTTCGTCTTTTTAATAGCTTTATAATGGCACAAACACGATTCATTTGATTCCTGAATGGACAGTTGATCAAAAAGGCCCTGGAGAAGAAGAGCCTCGCGAGCGCAATAGACAATGATACCCCTTTGAACAAGATGTGCCGGGACACGATGGTGTCAACATCTCACAGCGGGTTCAAAAATGCAGGAAGCTGCTTTTGGTGCTCTCGAAAGCCAAGGCAGCTATTTGGGGTCGCAGGCATCTACGCATAGGAAAAAGCAATTATCGTGGGGGTTACGGAGTAGTTATATTGCACAACAACTTTCTCGACGAGCGACTTGAAGTTGCACCTTCACATCAACCAGTTCTGTTCGAACGTTGCAGGCTCATAATCCAACAACCCAAGCCAGTTTAACATGTCTGGCTTAACCAACGCATGCGATGCTGAATCGACAACCACGAGCTCCGCGACTGGTAACGGCGTACCGACGCCCATCACTGACACCGCATCACTCGCAGACCACTCCGCGATGGACGGATGGCTGGACAAGCTCTCGTACGACCAGCCTCAGGCCTCCGGGGATGGCCAGGGTAGCTCAACCGCCCTTTTTGGGTCACTCCGTGTCACTCGTACTTCTCACCCCATGGCAGACAGTACGTTCCTCATCATCGACAAATCCCAAAATCGTGCATTGGTGTGCCACAATGGCCATCTGCATCTCGAGGACATAGACGCCGTGAACTTTGACAAGCCTATATCTGGGCACTGGCAATGGTTGTGCACGGAAAGGAATGGCTTCAAAGGGTTCCAGAACGTTGCTGAGCTGGGCTTCCTAGGCCATGATCTCTGGTGGGATTTCTATGCCAAAAGCCATCGTCACGAGGGATGGGAGAGCTTCACGGTCAATAGGCGTGAGGGAAATTACTACTGGATTCAGGCCCTAAAATGGTGGACGCATTGGCAACTGTCGGCTCGCGCTGACGGTAGCGGTCTTTTTGCAGAAAGAGATGGAGGTACGCTTTGGGAGTTTGTCGAGCTTCATTTGTAGGTCTGCTCTTGTAGCTGCAACGCCCGTGAAAGACGGAAATCTTGATCGTCCTTAGCTAATCACCGTCCATCTTTACTCGGACGAATAGAGGTCTCTGCATGGAGGAGGGTTGAATGTCCAAGTTCACATCGACCGATTGCTGTGCATGTTATTGGTAGCAACCCTTCTATGTAACTGGCACATTATTGGTGACCTCCCCTTCCATATTTGCGCAGTCCGTAGATTTCCCATCCTAGTTTAGCTTGTTGTGTTTGAGGCCGCGACCCCTTTATCAACCTTATGAACTTTATCATTGAGGGGACCGCCGCCCAAATAGGCAACTTTTTCGGATTTCGGGTTTCCTTAAACCCCGACCGCACGTAGACTCCGCACAAGTCCAACCATTGCGCCGGCAAAGCATGGCTGACTCAGCGATGACGCGGTATTCGCAGCAAGAGGCATCTCAATTCCGGACTACAAGTCTAACAGCACACCCCCAACCGCACGTCTCAGATGCATTCAATTCCGACTCAACTCCATGCCTTGAATAACGGCCATATCTATACCCCATGTGACAAACTTGCTCAACACCATACAAGACCGGACTTCAATTGCTGTGGTGCTCAAATCCACCAACGGCGCCCCGGCCGGGTTTGGCTGTCGAATCACCGGAACAGCTTCACGCCAATGGCACCTACAACTATTGGAAAGGATTCCGCCGACGGTGTTCCTGCCGGGTACGGCCGTTCATGTACTAACTGTTCTCGGGCAAAATGCAGATGCATCCTGCGGTCCGGGGGCGGTAGCTGTGAAAGATGTCATCGGCTTGGCAAGGATTGCCACCAGATTGACACGATGAGGAAGCGGGTAGCCAAGAGGACGACATCTTCACGTACTGCGCAACTTGAAGAGAAGATTGAAGACCTGGTCTCAATGTTGAGAGCTACCCATGAATCTGGGACACGCATGAACCACTCTTATACCCCATTATCTAACACACCCTCACAGCCTTTTACCAGTCGATTGGACTCGTTGGCGGCCGCCGCTACAGCGGATCCAACTCGGTCACAAGCACAGGGAAAAGCCAGTTTATGCGCGACTCATGAGTGTATCACATCGGGTCTGTCACCTAGCCGGAATACATCGACCCTTAGTGAGGCGGATAGGCGGCCAGAACCAACCCCAGAGGAAGCCGAGGCTTATTTTGCCAAGTTTAGACAGTGGCTGGAGGCGATGCCATTCATGCACATACCCATGGAGATGACGGCTGCAGCCCTGCAAAGAGAAAAGCCATTTCTGTGGACGTGTATTATGAACTTGACATCCATGTCGGTTCCACAACAGCGTATACTGAGGGAAAAGATTCGGCGAGAAGTTGCCGATAGATTAGTCTTTGAAGGGGATCGAAGCATGGATATGCTACAAGGCCTGGTTGCCTTTCTAACGTGGTAAGTCTAACTTGACACAAGCCTAGGCTGTTGATTGTAGCTGTCGGCGGCTCCGTCTAACTGAGCCGGTAACAGGGCAACAATGAATGCGGGTCCCGGAATGAAGCCATTCTTAATATTATATGCGACTTTGGCACAGTCAATTGTATTTGACATGGGACTTACCAGATCCCCTGCTGAAGAGCAACAGTCTACCATGTATTTCAAGATATGGAGTGCCCGCCCCCCTCCACCGCCCAGAGTGCGAACCATGGAGGAGCGGAGAGTCGTACTCGGTCTCTGGCTGGCAATATCAATGTGAGTTGAGAAACCCTTTGCAGTCATTCAGTTATGCGTGCTCACAACAACGCAGCTCCACGTCATTCATCGGGAAAATGGAGACACTTGCTTGGACAGCTCATATGGACGATTCCCTAGCAGTCGTGGAACGCGAGAATGAGTATTCATCAGATGCCGTTCTCGTCACCATGGTCAAGATCCAACTTGTTGGAGAAGAAGTCCAAAAGTTGATGCGCAGAAAAATAAACGAGAGCAACCAAAATCCAACGTACATTTTCAAACAGGGCTTGGTATCAAAGTTAAACGAAATTCGCAGCCAGCTACCAGATCGCCTGGCCAACAATCGTGCGTTCAGCCCTCAGCAACCCCTTTCATGTTAACCCGAAGCCCATCACACGGCAGAAGCTAATGCAAGCCGACTCTCAATAGGCCATATTCTTCTGCTACTTCACTGCACAGAAAGCCTCGTCCACTCTATTGGCTTGTTCACCGAGCAAGGCATCCCCGAGTCAGTTCGCATTAACAGCATGTACTCCTGCACCAGACACGCAAAGACATTCTACGACATTTTTTTTGCCATCCCAGCGTCCGAGGTTGCTGGACTACCGTTTGCGGCGTATGTGGAAATGTCCCATATTCAGGCTAATCTCTACAGACTGACCACTGCCGAGGACAAGGCCTGGGATAAGGACATTTTGAAAAGCACAGCCGACTTACTGTCTCTCCTGGACAAAACAATTGAGCTGTTTTACAGGGTGGATGAGGTGTACCCAATTAGAACGGATGATCATGATGGCACGCTCTTCACCAAGGGAGCCAAGATTCTGCGAAACTTGCGAAACTCGTGGGAGCCAATCTTGGCGCCGTACCTCCGCGAGGTGGCGTTGCCTACGCCGCAGAGCCAGGGTCAGGTGGTCAATACGGCGATCAACGATATGGATGAAGCGGGTGCGCACGCGGGCTTGATTGTTGACGGCGTGGCGGACCCAACCGCCGGGCTGGACTTGAGCGATATGAGCTGGATGTCGGATATATTTGGGCCATGGGACTACTAAAGAATTTGTGGACGAATTCTACATGATACCACGAGTAAGCATGAAAGGGACATGGTCACTTTACGCCTACTTGAAGTATTCGTCATTTTGCCATGTCCGCCCTGGGCTGAGACGTGATCTTTCGTGTCCGTATCACGGTGAGGGCAGCCTCTCGCCATGGGTAACGCTACCCATCTCACTTGCATGCAGCCTTCCACTGGCCATGAAATAGTTGCTACATCCCCACAGAGGAAACCGGGCTCGCAAGGATTCCGTCGCAAAGCGTACGACTCGACGCGGCATCCCATCATATCCCGTGCATAGTTCATCTCTGCAAGAACGTCTCGATCCCGGCGGAAGGTCCTTGCAGACTCTTCCAAAAGCAATAGCCAAGGCCGCTGGCCTCACAAGAACTAATCTGATGGCAACTCTCGCCCTCAGGAACCTGTTCCCGCTCATTTGTCCATTGCGGAATACTTGGACGAAAAATTCCAACTAGGCACCTTGCCGACACTGGAGTTTGACCCGGCGCACGATGGAAAGATCGAGAGCAGTGCTCGACGGAAATGGACATCTTCGGAGTCATTGTTTACGGAAGCTGATGCGAAGGAGAAAGAAGACTTGGGGGTGGAGTACGTTCATGGATGGAAGTTGTCCAGTTTGATGGTGGCCGTAACGCCGGCGACGTTCGTGGTGTTGCTGGACATGTCCATCACTTCTCAGTTTGTGGTTGAGGGAGGATTGCAGATGGAAACTGCGGCCGACTTTAACAACGCCATTACACGAATCACTATGTATTTCGTTCGCTGCCTGATGTCGGGTGGTACGGCGCTGCGTATAATTTATCGAGGTATGTGCCCGTGGGACTTACACGGGGGGCTGGACGTGACTGACTTGTAAGTGCGTCGCTTCAACCCCTTTCGGGCAGATTTTACACCTGCTTCAAGACAAAGGTACAATTATTCTCGAGATGGTGTGTAAATCGCGGACAAAGTTAGCAGGTTTGGAAGTGGATATTTCTCACTTTCTGCTCTTGTTCCAGATTGGGTCCTTGATATGCGACATCGCCGGCCCCTCAACCATGTTCATCCTCGGCAGAGCAGTTGCCGGCCCGGCGAGCGCCGGTCTCCAACACGGCGCATTTACAATCATCAGGCACAACTTCGACCTCCCGGGCTTCGGGTTCTTCGCCCCCTCGGCAATCACGGCCTTGCTCGCTCTCGAATATGGCAGCTCGGCCACTGTCATCGCCCTGCTGGTAGGTGGCGTTGCTACCCTTGGTGTCTTCGTGTGCCGGGAGAAGCGGGCAGGTGACAATGCTATGATACCGCTGGTCATTATTCGCAAGCGGGAAATCTGGACGGCGTGCCTAACCATGGTGTTGCTATTCACTGCTATTACCTGCCGATTTGCTTCCAGAGCATACAGGGCACTAACTGCCCTTTGCCGTCGCTTTCGCCGTCATCGTCACCATTGGCAGCGGTCTGCTCGCCACTCTCGACCCCTTCACCCCGACCGCGCAATGGGTAGGATGCGAGGTCTTTGTTCGTGCCGGATGCGGGCCGGGCATGCAAATTGCACTCATAGCGACCCAGGCCAATACGCCTGCGCGGTTGGTTGGCATGGCCACGGCTACCATGGTGTTTTGCCAAACGTTTAGCGGAGCCATGTTCATCGCCATCGCAAATACCATCTTTAACGGCACGCTGAAGAGGGAGGTGGCGAGGACTATCCCGTCCATGGGTATATTCTTAATATACAGCGCTTTACATAAAAGAAGAGTAATAGTAAAGATGGCATATTAAATTAATACATCCAACTTATTAAATTAATACATGCAACTACAGTGTCCATTGTGGCCCCATAGTTCATCATGCGAATTCTGTTGTTAATCAAGATAACCCTGGTGCATCTACACTTGTGACACGCCAGGCAACCAATGGGTTAGGGTTAGGGTTAGGATGTGGAGAAGAATGGAGCTGGGTGTTCAGCTAGCCAAAGCTTTTAGTTGGGACAGCTTCAATTGTCCACGCCGTCGACTTACCAAGCTACACACCCTCTACCAACATTCTCCAGTGGCAGGACTTAATCATCCGGATAACCGTCTCCTGTGGTCTGCTATGAACAGGCCCAGAAATCGCCAACCGCGTCCGCCGCGCCAGGACGAACAAAATGCACCCGGCCCTGGTCCTCCATCGCGAGGCTCGTCGCGAGGCTCACCCGCCACGCCCCAACAGGCGGCGGGCACCGTCCCTACCGTCCAGCAAGTCATCCCAGGAGCCTCCGTCTTCATCATACTGAAAGAAGACCAACCCACTGGCAAGGAAACCGCCGGCGTGGTCAGCCAGCTCCTCACTCGAGGCAACCACCCACGCGGCATCAAAGTGCGCCTGAGAAACGGCCAAGTCGGACGAGTTCAGCGCATGGGCACTGCTTCAGAAGCAGTCCCTGAGGTTTCTGAGAACTCCTCCAGACCCCATGCGCCGTCGCGTTTCACCCACCGGTATACAGATGTCCGAAACGACGACGACTTCCCTTCTGAGCCTCCGCCCAGGAGCCTGGCAGATTTCCTGCCCCCTTTACCGTCGGATAATCACGCTGCTCCAGATACGAACCACGGTCCAGATGCCGTGGTAAGCTACGTGGCCGTCAACTGCCCGATTTGTGATTCGTTTGCGGGGGACGAAGCCGCCGTCACTCATCACATCGACCGCGAGCACTTGAGCTGAGCTTTAGCCGGCGCCTTTCCCCCCTAGCCAGCCCTGCCCCTTTGGCGTTGGATATCCCGGTTCCTGCTGGAGCGTTTAAAATCTCTTGGCGACTTGACAAGCACAATCACGGGAGGGTGGCTAAATATGGCACAGATCTACGAAAAATCACGGGGGTGGACACCCGCGAACCAAACAATCAAACCATGCTTCCCAATGCAGGAGGTGGCAGCAATCTCGTCCATTGGTTTACGGGTGTCAACATTGCCTTATAAGCTTAAATTGCCAAGTGCCGGGGTGATTCTGCTTGATTTGGCTCGTATCCCCGGGGCCTACTATGTACAAAACTAAGACTCGTTGACTTTCCACTTCGGGAAGGTCGCCGGTTTGGCATAGGATGTTGCTACGTCCACAATTGGCAGTTGATTCTTGGCGGTAGTAGATCCGAATGTTCAAGTACAGTGGGAGGCAAAAGATATCTAGCCAGTCGAGGTACCTGGTTTATCACGCTCTATGATGCGCTGTGCTACAGTATACCAGTGTATACTTGTTGCTGGGGCAGATATATCCTGCCATAGACTATATTATCCAACGCCCACGATTCTAGGCCATGAGGGAACCCGTTTCTCTGTTGCAGTCGGCATGGAGCTCTCGAGGCAGCTCCCAGTTGACGATGTCTTGGATCTTCCTAATATGTCAATTCATCCGGAAGATGTGGATAGAAGGTTGAGTTGCCTTTCATGGCAAGTCATTATCTCAGTGCCTCGATCAATAAGATAAAAGGGCTAGATATCGCAACCTCTCGAGAATAAATCAACCCCCAACTCAACAGTCCGACACTCTCGCTTCAAAGCTGCTAGCTTGCTCCATCTGCTAGGATTCATTGCTCCGTATCTAAAGCCATCTTTCACAGCTATTCCGCCATCACGGGTAGCCAAACTACACAACATGCTTCACAGTCTTGCAATCTCAAGCCTTGTTGCGCTGACCACGGCGCTCGCCGTCGACAAACCCCTTGACGTGTGCGGTACACCACCGCCGAGCGAGGGGCTCGTCGACGCCGTCAAGGAGTTCCGTCTCCAGGAGCAGGAACTTCGCACACAAGGCCTCGTCGCCCAAGCCAATGTTGTTGTAGACACCTACATCCACATTATATCCTCGGATGGGACCCCGCAAGGAGGGAATGTGTCTGTAAGTAGCACCAACGACGGCTTGGCCAACACGAAACTAACAGGCCGTGTTCTTCGTACACATAGGACGACATTGTCCGAAGGCAGATTGACGTGCTTAACCAGGGCCTGTCCGGCACCGGCTTCTCCGTCACCCTCAAGGGCGTTGACAGGACCGTCAACGCCGCCTGGGCCAACGACAGAAGCGAGGTCGCAATGAAGAGGGAGCTGCGCAAGGGCTCCTACAAGGACCTGAACCTCTACTACCTCAACGCGCCCCAGGGCAGCGCCAGCATCGGAGGCTACTGCTACTTCCCCGTGCAGGGCGCCCGCCCGGGATCCGACAGCTTCATCAGAGACGGCTGCGTCATGCAGTTCGGCAGCATGCCCGGGGGCAGCCTTGGCAGCAACAACCTAGGAAAGGTCACGGTGCACGAGGTCGGCCACTGGTTTGGCTTGTTCCACACGTTTCAGGGCGGCTGCGAGGCTTCCTCTGGCGGCGACCAGGTTGACGACACGCCTGCCCACGTCGCACCTCGCACTGCGTCCGACTATCAGTGTCCCGCCAACTCCAACATTGATACCTGCCCGTCGCTGCCTGGTTCGGACCCCTTGCACAACTACATGAGCTACAGACAGGAGTAAGTTGTTCCTAGGCTTCCCATTTTGCGACTCCTTGACATTGAGAGTTGTGCTAATGTATGAGTAGCCGCTGCTATACCGAGTTCACTCCAGGCCAGATCAGCCGCATGGTCAGTCTGTGGAGGTACCGTGACTCCAGTGCTGGGTGGTCAACCGCGTCAATTAATTGAATGTGTATACGCTGATATACTGTGGTGTTGTGATGGTATGTTGTAGTGTAGCATGGCGCGCGGTCGCCAGGTACCTGGTGGTCGGGTTGGATGACTTTTTGGCTTCCTCTGTATATATCCCCCTAGTTGCCTGGCTGATGGCGGAATTGGAGTTGAGGCGTGAGTGGAAGCGGACGGTGCATCGGGGCGGCGAAGACTGGCGAAACGGGCATGGTGTGGCAGAAATAGCGTGGCGTAGCGTGAATAAGAGGTTTGGTGTTGAATCGCAAAGTCTGACGAGATGTTTGAGCTGGCTGTCCAGTCCATTGATGTTGCCTGGGAACGCATACGAGATGTAAAGGCATAGCTCGTGGTACGCAGGTAGCAAGCATCGAAGCAAATTGCCGCCAGTCCTTGATCTTCACCCTGTGGCGGTTGTTATGAATGAAACTTGACTAGATTCTTTCCTTCTTTTTCGAGCCAGCCACTATGACTGTAGCAGACTCGTCCATATGGACGTCGAACCAGGTCAGGACATGGAGTTGCCATCGAGAACGTACCCCAGGTGCCGGTGAGGCCTTCCCGGCGCTCTACAGATACATTGTGGCATTTGGCAAGACACCATCTTGTCAAAACAGATGATATCAACGGCGTTTACGGAGTACTAGAGAGACAACTTTTTCCAGAAACACGGCTCTGACAAACGCACCGAGTAAAGTAAGACGTTGCTCAACTCGTCATCTACAGCAAATCTCGGCAGAACGAAGGGTTCATGCACAGTGCCTGTTGGAAGCCAGCAACGCACTTTATTCTGGAAAGGTGTGGCGGATAAGTGCGTCCGACGCGTTGGCTGTGTTGGTCGACTCGTCAACTTTCGAGACCCAATGCCGGGCATGACCTCCATTATCTGTAAGCTCAGGCCAACCTCTCTATCGGGCGGAACGCTAAAGGCCAGTCGAATTGTATAGGTTGTTTATACAGATGTACGTCAAAAGTTTCTTGTGCCGTTTGCAGAGTAGTGTCTAAAGCATGCCGACTTATCGCGGACAAGCTCCTCTGCTCAACGTCAACCGGCAACTCTTAATGACGGGACGGAAATTGCCTGTGGAGTTTCCCATCATGTTTCGATGGATTGTACGTGAATTAAAGTTGTACAATGACTGACTGGCGCAGCCGGAGGGCCAACTCCGGCCCGTGTCGAGTCTGGAGAAACGGGCATCGAATCTTCACCCCGGAAAATTTGCAGACTCTGTGACCTGTCACTTTTCAACGGTTGTGCGTTTTCTTGGCACGGTATTTGGTTTCCTCGGACTGACAGTGGTGTCTCGACAGCATTTCCGTTAGACGAGTTGGGCGGCAAGGCTCTGCCGACACGGGGCGTCCTAGAGTCAGGACTCAACAACCAAAGTACACTTGGAAGTTGGCACATGGAAATATTCGGCTGAGGCCGCTTTTTCTGGATTCTTTGGCCCCATGATTCATTGGTCTAACCTAATAGCTATCGCGACACCTGGTTCTCCGTCCCGGTCACAAAACGAACAAGAATAGGGGGGATATGCATGGACTTCCAACAGATCCGTTCCCACCGCCGCCTGGTGCTTGAGAGATGGTCATGAAGATTTGCGTCCATTGAAGAAAGCAGTGCGTAAACTGAAGATGAAATCCCTGTCTGGCAGGGGCTGGCCTCCTTCTTTGGGGCCTGTACGATAAATCGAAGGATATTGGAGATAGCTTTTGCGTCTCGTACCCGGTACTTGGGCAATTGTCAGAGAGCACGGCGCAGTGGGTTGACTGGGAGTTTGGCATCATCTTCCTCAAGAGTCTTGGCTTATAAACGAGGCACGGTGGCTGTGTTGCTAAAGACAAGTCGCTAATTACAACGAATTCCTGCGTGTATACGGGATATCCCGAAGAGAATTCTGAGTGTTGGCGTGTGCAAAAAGATATAAAGAGTTCGAGATATGTCTACCACAAATGCTTTCTCACTTTGCCAAGTCGTATCTAGTATACTTTATTCGATAGCCTCTTTTGCCTCCTATATACTGATCAAGGACAGCCAGAAACAGGATTTAACCAGGCAAGGTATGCCATCACCATCTATTCTATAATACACCAAGTATACTAGAGAATGTCATTGCATACAAGATATACAAGGACATCCTGCTACTGACCTTACAAACCCGCAGTAAATCACTGTACAGCGCCGTGGTACCAAGACCCCCGACTCTGCTCAAGTCGACCATGCTCACATCCGCCATCCTGGCCAGTCTGGCCGCACTCGCTCTCGCGACTCTTCCCACCAGTGAGCCCGTTGAGTTCGCATGTGGCAACGCCCTGCCCAGCAAGCAGTTCCTAGACACATCCAGCAAGCTACGCGCCGCAGAATACTCCCTCACCTCTCAAGGCGAGCTCGCCGCAGCGGAAATCGTCATTGGCACCCACGTCCACATCGTTGCGGCAAACAACACGGCAGACAGCGGCTACGCCTCAGTAAGTGCCTCTCTCTAGAGTCTGGACAATCGAATACAAACACGCCCTCCGCCGTCTCGCGATTCACCCAAGTCCAAGAAACTAATGCCCTCGTCGCCACCCGTGGCGAGAAGCCATCCACGACCAGATGGACGCCCTGAACAAGGGCTTCGCGAGCAGCGGCATCAGGTTCGTCCTCGAGTCCCTCGACCACACCATCAACGCCACCTGGTCCAGCGGCGTCGAGGAAGAAGCGATGAAGAAGGCCCTCCGCAAGGGCCGCTACCACGACCTCAACCTGTACTTATCCAAGCAGCCCATAGGACGCTTCGGCGTCCTGGGCTGCTGCACGCTCCCCCAGTGGGCGCCCCGGGGCTCTGACGCCTTCGACAGCGACGGATGGGCGCGCGGCTGATGGGTGTAGTGTTTGTGTGCTGGAGTTTACTGTCGGTCAGGTTAATCATATGAAGAGCTTCTGGGAGCTGTATCGCAGAGGTGCCTAGTTGGGTCGTGGTGCGGCTTGAGTTGAATGGGAAGAAAGACGAGTAGGTGCGGCTGTTGGTGATGGATCTGGAAGACGGAGATGAAAATTTGGCAAGTACGGGGAGCTAGTTTGTAATTAGGGCGTAGATGTACGTTTCTACTTCAATGGTGGTATAGTCTGGCGGAATTTGCCCACCAAGAGGTATATATGGATATACTGTAATATAGTATAATATTGAGCGCGATAGCTCTGCACCGGGTTTGTTAATGATGGCTTCTTATTATAGTCTTGAGATCGATTCGACTACAGACTAATATACATGAGCATACTACCATATATCATGATATAGTGCGTGGCAGCCGATTATCCCTTCTGCTTAATACTTGGTTGCTATATATTGTACATCTTGAAATACAAATAACGGCCACCATGAGACTCATCAAGCCAGGGTTATCGTTCGGAACAATAGAAATACAGCCGAGCTAAACCTGGCCCGATTTGCATACTCCCGGCCATCAACACTCCTTTCAAAGCAAAATTAGTGTCTCCGCGATGTTGAGCTCGTAAAGTCTCTCTGCACCCGGATCCCCTGTAATGGGATATCGTCATCGTGGCTTCCGCCGCCCTTTGCCGTGTAACTTTTCACAGAATGCCCATACCCCTTCTTCATGTCTGGGCGGAGGCTCGGCTCCAACGCTGCCTCTGGGGTTTCGCTTCTCGAGTCCACGGCGTGCGAGATGACGCTTTCCGATTCCGCGTTGTCCGGCAGGCGGCAAAAGGGGCTCTCCTCGCCTTGGTGACCATCGTCATCGCCGTCCCGGGTGCTAAAGTTGGTCAACGTATTCAGTCCGCTCTTCAACTTGGTCTTGTTGCCGCCGGAACCACCAAATGTCGGCGGAGCGTTGGTCTCCCTACTGGGCACACTCGCGGTTCGTGTGAAGCCGAACGCTCGCGCGCAGCAAAGCGCAATGGGGAGAAGGGTAGGCAGGCATGCCGACACGATGCCGGCCGACATTTCAATGGCTGTCCATCCCACCGTGGGGGCGAGTGTGTATGTCGGGTCCTTGGCCGTGTACGTGAAGAGGACGCTTGTGCGGTAGGCCGACGCAAATACGACACTGCGAAATGGACAAATCATGTCAGAATGGTAACACCATCTTAACAGAGCGTGGCGGAGAAGTGGTGAAGTCAGGGGGGGCTTACAAGAAACCAAGGCTGAAGGCGAGTGTGAGACCGATTTTCTCGGTTTTCCGCAGCTGGAGCTTCCATATCTGGGGAATGGGCATCAGCAGGATGACGAGGTCGGTGAAGATGGTGGAGGCGGCGTTGGATATCCAGGTGCCGACTTGGTTTATGCATCTTCCGGGAATCTGCGGATACCACAACTTCTGAACCGGTACGCAGATGAAGATGAATAAGAAGGTGATGCAAATGACCCAGGCCCAGACAAAGGCCCCGACGACCCAGGCCATCTTCTTGAAGTACGGCAGGCGGAAGATGCGATAGTACATGAGCAACAAGCTCATCTTGGTCCAGCCTAGATTCCACGCATAGAGAACCTCGGCCACGACCAACCACTTGGCCATCATGACGATGTCGGCCGGGTCGACCTTGTCGGCATGCAGGCCCATCCCGGACGAATACATGGCAAAGATGAAGCCTACAACAACCAGGTTCCAGCCCTGAAGGAGGGGTTCGATGTGAAAGTTAGCCGTACATGTTTGGCAATGAAATGCCTCGGCCAGAACGTTGTTTGCGGGCTCACCATGGAGAACATGATCATCTTGTCATCCAGCCATAGTTGCTGGTGTTTGATGTGACGACTGAGAAGACGCAGTCCGACGGCCGCCAGCGCCAGGACTGTCACTGCAACAACGACTTGCACAGTCCACGGCTGCAAATTGTGTGCATCATAGCCCGGGAGCCCAGGCAGCTTGGACTGGGAGTTGTCAGATGCCATCAGTTGCCATCCAAGGGTAACCAACACCAGAATGTGATGTTATCCTGAGAATGCAACACTTGACGGAACAAATGAAACTGTCTGGTAATATAGCCCCAGCTTTATGTTAAGAACCACATTGCCGTTTTCCATCCCTTCCCCTTCCCAAAACTCCTCGTTGTACTCCGTAGGGACAATACATATTTCTGCCTGTCAACCGGCACCTGGATTCGTCCCGGCCCTCCCCTGAGCGACTGACTAGAGCACTTTTGGTCCCTGGCGGCCATGGGATCGTCGTCACCTATCACCACCATGGAAGCTCGGGAGACCCATATTTGGAGGCTTGACACATCATTTTTGTCTGCCCAAGTCGGGATAGCGGGCCAAGCGTGATGGACAGCTTGTTCGTGGCAGGATGGGAGTTGTATCCGCTTTTGGTGACATACATATGCCAGGATTCGGCCCAGCCAACTCAAGTCTATGCTGATATCTTGTCTGCCTGCCCAGTTGTCCAAGGTAGTAGTTACAAGTCCCGCATGGCAGTAATATGTATAATCCCCCGGCTATGGCACACTTTGGTTGCAAAGATGCAGCCACCTGCGCCGGCAGTTAGCTGCCAACTTGAAAACGACCAAACCCAATTGATTTCTTGTCCAGTGCCGCTAGCGGTGCGTGCCGTCCGCTCCCGTGATTAGGATCAATGAGAGAGAAATACTAGTCGTAATATCACATTGGCGCAACAAGTGGAGTGACGGCAGCAGCACTAGTCATGGCTTGCCTCCAGAGCCTGTCGAGTTATGAGGCACCACCCCCTTCATCTGGTGGCAACCACGTCCGTCCAAGAAAAGAACGCACTTGGCACTGTGCAGGGTTGATGATGTGCCTGCCTGCCACACCACAATATGTACGTCGACGTACTCCGTACAACGTTGTACAAGACAGGAAATGTGGTCCGAAGCCTGCCTTGGTTCAGAACTTCAGACCCTGTAAGAGACCCTGCAACCGCCACGGGCTTCGATAAATCTTATTCAATAGATGGTGGATCGGCCAACAAGCCACGAGATGCTTAGCCGTTAGATAAAGTCGCCAGGCCTGGCCACGTTTTCTGTCATGTATGTATAGCATCAGGGATGCATGCCGAGGTCGCCGGATTCGGTAAAGAGGTGCTGGTTTCACAGGGCGGCAGTTAGCATCATTAAGAACGAAGCCCTGCCCAACGAAACCTCTTGTCTTTTTTCTTTCTCCTCCGTCACATTTCCTGCATCGCCATGGCGGCAACCACAACCATCAAGGTCCCACATCTCGGGGGCATCGACGCTGGATATCGACTCTCCGACGGAGCCATCGATGCCACCAAGCCGACCGTTGTGCTCATCAACTCCATGTGCACCACGTCCTCGCTTTACAATGTCCAGTTTGAGAACACGACGCTGACGGATGCCGTCAACCTGCTTGCCATTGAGCCCCTCGGCCATGGCGCCACACGCTCTGCCTCGGAGCACTTCACATACTGGGACACGGCCACCATGGCCCTCCAGATCATGGATGCGCTCAAAGTCAACAAGGCTTTCGCCGTCGGAACAAGCCAGGGCGGATGGGTGGTCGTTCGCATGGCCCTCCTGGCTCCAGACAGGGTATGTTTTGTCTCCCCACGTCCAAGGTCCGCTTTATTCCTTTGCCAGCGTTTCATTCCTGATTCCCAAAACGAAAGAAAATCACAACATGCAGCCAAGATGTGACAATCAAGTTGAACCATTCCTAGATCCTTGGGCTGCTTCCCCTCGGCACTTCCATGGACTCCGAATCAGCTGCTTCCCGAGAGAAGGGCTGCTGGGACCCCCAGAGCCAGCTTCTTCCCTTCTATGATAGCTGGTGCAGCGCCACGCCTACTCCTGACTTTGTCGTGGATGAGGTGTGGCGTGGCATGGTTGCCCAGCTGGGCTTCTCGGGAACTGTTCCGCCAGAGATCTTGTCGTTCTGGGACGAAACTCTGAAGAAGGTCTACTCTGGGGATGAGGGGCGCAGGAAGTTGCGCATGGCCTTGGTGTGTCTGCTGGAGAGAGATGGCTTGCTCTTCCGGTTGCGAGATGTCAAGTGTCCCGTCCACTGGCTCCAGGTATGTTTCAATCATTCATCTCAGATCTTTGGATCTTTGTGTTTGTCCGCTGACGCCGAGTGACGCGTAGGGTGCCAAGGATCCGGTGTTTGGTGATGTTGTGCCCAAGGAGCATATTAAGCTGTTTACGAGTGCGCCAGAGGCGACGTTGACTTTTGTTGAGGGCGGTGGTCATTACTTGAATGCCACCAATCCCAACGAAGTTGATGAAGCCTTGCTGAACATGGTCAAGGCGTATTCTTAGATGACATACTCCGTAGATACGAGCTTGTTTGATCTACAATTGGCCCGAGAACTTTCCTTTATATACGTATATCTACGTAGACTCCAAAACAATCTCGCCATTATTATGCTCTGAGCTGTTCGCAACCCCAGGCTGTCTCTACCTGTGAGGGTTAACAAATGCAGTAGCAGATGCTGGACACTTCCTGTCATCGAGGCAACCTCCGACTGATAGACTGACTTGCAATAACAGACACCAACATTTTTCCACGAGTAGCCTGCGAATACATGTATTACGGGAGATGGACTCACTGTCATGGTCAACGACATCTACAACTTCTCCTGGGACAGACGACAACAGGTCGAGTTGACTGATGTCGTTGGTATCTGACGTGCCCACAACTTTATAAGCGAGGACCATCAAGTGTTCATGACGTCTCCACTCCAAGCAGAGCTGTGGGAAGCAATCAGATCTCTTAGGCAGCAGTGACAGCGCCCGATAGCTCTTGGGTGTGGGCAAAAGAGGGGAAGATGGATTCATTGAAGATAAAGGGGATGCGACAGGAATATTTTGTGTGCAATTGGTGAGTGAGACTGGCCATCGCACGAAAACATGCCCAGGCACGCGTAAAAAGTTGTCGACTCCTAAGTTGAAGCTGCAACTTTTGTGCCATCCGCGCCTGCTTGATGACGTTTCACGTGCCAGATGGGACATTAGCAGCATTTAGCATTGCATTTACGAGAAGCTATTGGCTTCCAGTGCGCTGCTGGAGCGGAATTTCTTTGTTCCTGCAGCTCTCAATTGGCTCACCCCAGGCCTGCGCCCCCACATGGATGCTGTTGGACTGCTCGACCTGCCCAGGTTCGTGAAGAACAGATGGCCCAAAGGGGGACCTAACCTTTACCTCCTTTACCCTCTCTGAACAACGAAATCATCACCACTTTCATCTCCCTCTACGAGTCCATCTGCTTGCCACCAGCAGTTCACGGACGCGACTCCCACCCGCACTCTTTCTTGCTTCTACCGGTCCTTTACTCGTTCAATTTTTTTCCGGCTCACGTTGTCTCGTCCTGCAGCTACTTTCCCGCTTCCCGCTCTTGCCGTTTGGCGCATGGAAGCTTCCGTCAACTTCTCCTGAGGTCGTTGCTGAACCCACATTGACAGCATCATCGGGACATCGGCCACGAAACAGTGGATTTGCGACAGATTACTCGCATCCATAGCTTGAGGCTTCGAATTTTATATCCAGCCTGGTTCAACGTGACGTAACAGCTGAACTAAGGCGCAATGGCGCCTCTGCCCATCAAGTTTCAGGAGTTGGTCCAACTCGCCAACGTTGGAGTGGACACGCAATCAATTGGCTTCAACTCCTGCGTAAGTACCACCGACCACCCGCATCTCTCTAGACTAGCCAGCAGCAAAAGATGGAGCAAACATGGCATCAGCGGCTAACAGAACCCGGCCTTGATCTTAGACACTCGAATCCGATTCATATGTGTGTATCCGTGAGAAGAAGAGCGAGGCTGCTCAACCCGAGGTCGTTATTGTTGAGCTTAAAAATGGCAACAACGTGACGCGAAGGCCGATCAAGGCCGACAGTGCCATCATGCACTGGAACAGACAGATCATCGCCTTGAAGGCCCAATCACGGACGTTGCAGATTTTTGACTTGGAACAAAAGAAAAAATTAAAGTCATGCACCATGAACGAGGATGTGCAGTTTTGGAAGTGGATCAGCGAGTCTACTCTGGGCCTCGTCACGACCACCAGTGTTTACCATTGGGACGTCTACGATGCCGGACAAGATGCGCCTTCCAAGGTCTTTGAGCGAAATGCCAACCTCAATGTTCGTTTCATGAAACTATCTCCGGACAAGACAGTACAGTATGAACTAATACTTGCGCAATAGGGCTGCCAAATCATCAACTACCGTGCTAACGAGGACGGCAAATGGATGGTGGTGGTTGGTATTTCATCCCAGCAGGGCCGTGTAGTCGGTGCCATGCAGCTGTACTCCAAGGATCGTGGCATCAGTCAGGCCATTGAGGGCCATGCCGCATCATTTGGGTCACTGCGCCTTGAAGGGGCTCCTCAGGACACAAAGCTCTTCAGTTTCGCCGTTCGAACAGCCACCGGTGCCAAGTTGCACGTTGTCGAGGTCGATCATACCGAATCCAACCCAGTCTTCCAGAAGAAGGCTGTTGAGATCTTCTTCCCTCCCGAGGCAACCAACGACTTTCCTGTAGCCTTGCAGATTTCTCAAAAATATGGTGTCATCTTCATGGTCACCAAATATGGTTTTATCCATTTGTACGACCTTGAGACCGGTACTTTGATCTTCATGAACCGAATTTCCAGCGACACAATCTTCACCAGCTGTGCCGACGACGAGTCATCCGGTCTCGTGGGCATCAATCGTAAGGGCCAGGTTCTTTTCGTCACTGTTGATGAAACCACAATCATCCCTTACCTTCTCGAGAACCCTGCCAACACCGAGATTGCCATCAAACTGGCCTCACGGGCTGGACTGCCTGGCGCGGACAACCTTTATGCGAGACAGTTCGACCAGCTGTTCAACTCTGGAAGTTACCTGGAGGCTGCCAAGATTGCCGCCAACTCCCCACGTGGCTTCCTCCGCACCCCCGAGACGATTGAGAAGTTCAAGAGGCTCCCCGCCCAGCCTGGCCAGATGGCATTCACCCTCCAGTACTTCGGTATGCTCCTCGACAAGGGTGGCCTGAACAGACATGAAACCCTTGAGCTCGCCCAGCCTGTTCTGCAACAGAACCGAAAGCATTTACTCGAAAAGTGGCTCAACGAAGGCAAGCTGGACTGCTCCGAACAACTCGGCGACATGGTTCGACCTTACGATGTCAACATGGCATTGACTGTCTACCTCAAAGCGAATGTGCCTCACAAAGTGGTCGCCGGCTTTGCAGAAACCGGCCAATTTGACAAGATTCTGCCTTATACTGCTCAAACTGGCTACCAGCCTGATTACATCCAGCTCTTGCAGCACATCATCCGTAGCAATCCCGAGAAGGGCGCTGAATTTGCTACGGCTCTAGCAAACAATGAGCAAGGCTCGTTGGTTGACTTGGAGCGTGTTTGCGACATCTTCCAGGGCCAGGGCATGATCCAACAGGCCACGGCCTTTCTTCTGGATGCTTTGAAGGACAACAAGCCTGAGCATGCCCGCCTCCAGACCAGACTCCTAGAGATGAACTTGATGAACGCCCCCCAAGTTGCAGAGGCTATTCTGGGCAATGACATGTTCACTCATTTTGACAAGGGCCGCATCGCCAACCTCTGCGAGCAGGCTGGTCTTCCTCAAAAGGCGCTTGAGCTGTACGAGGACCCCGAGGCTATCAAGCGCGTCATTGTCAACATTCCCGGCGCCACCAACTTCAACCCCGAATGGTTTAGCAACTTCTTTAGCAAGCTTTCTGTTGAGCAATCGCTTGACTGTCTCGATGCTATGTTGAAACACAACATTCGCCAGAATCTTCAGGCTGTTGTCAACATTGCAACCAAGTACTCTGAGCTTCTTGGTCCTGTTCGTCTGATTGACTTGTTCGAGAAGTACAAAACCGCAGAAGGTCTCTTCTACTACCTCGGCAGCATTGTCAATCTCTCCGAGGACCCCGATGTCCACTTCAAGTACATCGAGGCCGCAACAAAGTCCAACCAGTTGAATGAGGTCGAACGAATTTGTCGTGACAGCAATTACTACAACCCTGAAAAGGTCAAAAACTTTTTGAAGGAAGCCAAACTGCCAGAACAGCTTCCCCTCATCATTGTTTGCGATCGTTTCAACTTCGTCCATGATCTAATTCTGTACCTGTATCAGAACCAGCAGTTCCAGGCCATTGAGTCCTATGTCCAACGTGTTAATCCCGGCAGAACTCCTGCTGTAGTTGGCGGCCTTCTCGACGTCGATTGTGATGAGAATATTATTAAGCAGCTACTCGGCACCGTCAATGCTCAGCAGATCAATATTGATGAGCTAGTCTCTGAAGTAGAGTCGCGCAACCGATTGAAACTCCTTTTACCCTTCCTTGAGGCTACCCTCCAGTCTGGTAACCAGCAGCAGGCTGTTTATAATGCTCTGGCTAAGATTTACATCGACTCGAACAACAACCCCGAGAAGTTCCTCAAGGAGAACGACCAATATGATACACTCACAGTTGGTAAATACTGCGAGAAGCGTGACCCCAACTTGGCATACATTGCCTACTCCAAGGGCCAAAATGATCTAGAATTGGTCAACATCACCAACGAGAACTCCATGTACCGTGCCCAAGCGCGCTACCTCTTGGAACGATCAGATAGCGAGCTGTGGAACTTTGTCCTCAGCGAGAACAACATCCATCGTCGATCTGTCGTTGATCAGGTCACTGCTACTGCTGTTCCGGAATCAACAGACCCTGCCAAAGTGTCTGTTGCTGTCGCCTCCTTCCTTGAGAACGACCTCCCGCTTGAGCTCATTGAGCTTCTTGAGAAGATTGTACTTGAACCATCTCCCTTCAGCGACAACCAGAACTTGCAGAACCTCTTGCTATTCACTGCTGCCAAGGCTGATAAGGGTCGTGTTATGGACTATATTCACAAACTTGACAGTTACAATGCGGACGACATTGCCACGTCGTGTATCGATGTCGGTCTGTTCGAAGAAGCCTTTGAGATTTACAAAAAGGCTGACAACAAGTCTGCTGCTGTCGATGTTCTTGTTGAACATGTTGTCAGCATCGACCGATCCCAGGCTTACGCTGAGGAGGTTGATATTCCCGAGGTCTGGAGCAAAGTTGCCAAGGCTCAGCTTGACGGGCTCCGTGTACCCGATGCTATCGACTCTTACATCAAGGCGGACGACCCCAGAAACCATGCTGAGGTTATTGAAATCGCCACCCACGCTGGCAAAAACGAGGACCTTGTCAGGTATCTCCGCATGGCGCGCAAGACTCTTCGAGAACCTGCCATTGACACCGCTCTTGCTTTCTGCTATGCTCGTCTTGATCAGCTCTCCGAGCTTGAAGACTTCCTCCGAGCCACCAATGTTGCCAACATCGAAGAGTCAGGCGATAAGGCCTACGAAGAGGGTTTGTTTGAGGCCTCCAAGATCTTTTACAGCAGTATCTCCAATTGGGCCAAGCTTGCGACCACTCTCGTCCACCTTGGAGACTATCAGGCCGCTGTGGATTGCGCCCGTAAGGCTAACAACATCAAGGTCTGGAAGCAGGTGCATGAGGCATGCGTTCAGAAGAAGGAATTCCGCCTCGCCCAAATTTGTGGTCTCAACTTGATTGTGGATGCTGAGCAATTACAGACTCTCGTAAAGGAGTATGAGCGTAATGGCTACTTCGATGAACTCATCAGCCTTCTTGAGCAGGGTCTTGGCCTTGAGCGTGCTCATATGGGCATGTTCACAGAACTTGGCATTGCTCTGTCCAAGTACCATCCGGAACGTCTGATGGAGCACATCAAGATCTTCTGGTCAAGAATGAACATGCCCAAGATGATCCGGGCGTGTGAGGAAGCCAATTTGTGGCCTGAGCTGGTATTCTGCTACTATCACTACGACGAGTTTGACAACGCCGCCTTGGCTGTTATTGAGCGACCCGAGAACTCTTGGGACCACCAGCAGTTCAAGGAGATTGTAGTCAAGGTTAACAACCTCGAAATCTACTACCGGGCTATCAAGTTTTACGTAGAGCAACATCCTTCATTGCTGACCGACCTCCTGGCCGCCTTGACTGCTCGTATCGACGTCAACCGCGTCGTCAAGATATTCCAGAAGAACGACAGTCTGCCTCTGATCAAGCCATTTTTGCTCAACGTCCAGTCACAGAACAAACGCACCGTCAACGAGGCTGTGAACGACCTTCTCATCGAGGAAGAGGACTACAAGACTCTAAGAGACTCTGTACAGAACTACGACAACTACGATGCTGTCGAGCTGGCTAGCCGTCTTGAGAAGCACGACCTCATCTTCTTCCGTCAGATCGCCGCCAATATTTACCGTAAAAACAAGCGCTGGGAGAAGTCAATTGCCTTGTCTAAGCAGGACAAGCTTTTCAAGGATGCTATCGAGACTGCTGCGATTTCTGGCAAGGGGGATATTGTTAACGATCTTTTGCGATACGTAAGTTCTGGACGCACCCCATACCTTCTAATTTGCAGAATTGTTCACTGATTCATTCCTAGTTTGTCGATATCGGTCATCGCGAGTGCTACACTGGCATGCTATATGCTTGCAACGAACTCATTCGACCCGATCTTGTATTGGAGCTGTCATGGCGTCACGGCCTTCAGGACTTCACCATGCCATATATGATCAACATGTTGGCTCAGCAAACCAAGGAGATTGCGTTATTAAAGGCTGACAATGAGGCTCGCAAGGCCAAGGAGAAGGAACAAGAGAAGACTGAAGATAACACGCCCATTCTCGGCGCTGGCCGCCTCATGATCACTGCCGGACCTGGCGGCAACATGGGCAGCTCTTCCCCCGCACCATACCAGCAGTCAAACGGCTTTGCGCCGCAACCCACCGGCTACGGATACTAGATGCAAGTGCCGGTCTGGGCCTGGTTTCCTGCGTTCTGAACGCCTTATCACACATGTCAAATTGCTGATGTGTGTGCATATTATAGCATGCAGAAGGATGCTGCGCAGGTACCCAGTGGAACACCCTCAGTAGAGGAGGGTGATTCAGGGATGTTATTGAATTCATGAACCCGTAATCATTCATGTTTAACGCGGTGCCTAGAGATAAAGAAAGAAAAGGTGACAGGGCCAGATACATCAGGAGGACAGCCTGGCTGGTCTTTTTTTTTTTGGCTTTTAATACTTCTTTTAAGAGGCACAAGGCGGCAAAGGAGCGAACTTCGAATCTGGCACGATTAGTAATTAGTTTTGCTACAGCTAGACTGGAGCCAGACATTTGGAGTTAGATGAAGGCTCGGGAGTAAATCCGAAGCTACTGTATGTTGTATGATAGTAATCAATTTGCATTTTTGTTGTCAAAGGTGCATTATCTGTGAACTCGGTTGCTCATCTGTCCTATCCATGCAGAAGGACACCATATGTATACATCGACAAATCGACGAATCGACGAATACACCCGCATGTTGTTATTGTGAGCACCTAGTGGGTAATCGCGCTTCTATTCCAAGTACTTTAAAGATCCAACGCCAACTAGCAGTAACATACACTCGAATTCACGCCTAGTCGGCTTGCACGCTCTAAACATCCCAATGTCACTAAAAATTATGATACATGCCGCCTCTTCTTGGTGTCAATAGGCTTTGGGTCCGCTATCTTGAGCCATTCGCCATTGAATGCATTGACGAGCCAATTGTTTAGTCCTGACAGGTTAGCGCGGGTTCAACATCCAACTGTATAACACGTCGATTCAGACTTACTATCATACACCATCCTGTTGGCGCCGTGGAAAGCAATGCCATGATCGCTGTCTGGGAACACGTGCACGTCGTAATTCTCTATGCCTGCTAGATCCAAGTAATCGAGTAGCTTGAGGGAGTTCTGGAAGTGGACATTGTCGTCTGCGGAGCCGTGCATGATGAGGAAGCGCTTGTTCATGCCGAGAGCAGTGGCGTTCCGAACAGCTGATGCGTCGTAGCCGGCGGTGTTGTCTTGCGGCAGACGCATGTATCGCTCCGTGTAGATGCTATCGTAGAAGCGCCAGTCGGTGACGGGGGCCACGGCCATTCCGTAGGAGAATGTGTCTCCGGCGTCGGCTTCGAGCGTCTTGAGGGTCTGGAAGCCGCCGTAGGACCAGCCCCATATTGCGAGGCGGGAAGGGTCGACGTAGGGGAGGGAGGAGTAGTGCTTTGCGGCGGCGATGTGGTCTTGGGCTTCGAGGACGCCGAGCTGCGAGCGGACAACGACGCGGTGCTGGCGGCCGAGAAAGCCGGTGCCGCGGGGGTCGATGGTCACGACGAGGTAACCTAGTGACGAGGCGACATAGGACTGGAAGTCGACGGCGAACTTCTTGGTGACGGTCTGGGATTTCGGACCCGAGTATTGCTGAAAGAGAATAGGGTACTTCTTCTTGGGGTTGAAATGCGGGGGCCGACGCTCGAGGTAGTTTACGGTTATGCCGTTGGGCAACTGGAGGGTGCCGTATTTGAGGATGGGGAGCTCGTGTTTTTTCGCCTTGTCTGCGAGATCGGCGTTGTCTTCGATGGTGCGGGAGAACTGGATGGGAATGGAAGGTGTGGAAATGACCTTTTGGTATGGGATTTTGGGGCCTTTGTAGGAGAGGAGGGCGAAGCCAGAGCGTGAGGAGAATGACACAGTGTAGTAGCCTTCGGAGGAGGTATTGGTGAGGGGTGTCAAGTTGGTGCCGTCGAGTTTGACTGAGTAGACGTGGCGCTGGATGGAGGACTCCTTAGTGGCGACAAAATAGACGAGGTTGTTGTTCAGGTCAACTGCTGACGGGGCATCTTCAACTTCCCACGAGCCGGATGTGAGCATGATTGGCTTGGGGTTGTCAATGGGAGTGAAGTAGCCGATGTGCTCGTAGCCCTCGTGAATAACTGTGTCTACGTAGCCGTCTTGTTGGCGGCCTTTGCTGGGATCGGCAGGGATGTATGTCATGGTGTGTGAGATTTCGAACCATCCGCCATCGATTTCGGCAATGTTGATGCTGTTGACGATTTTGGCTTCACGCTGTGAGGGGTCGACGAGGATGACTTTGAGGAAGTCACCGATGCGATTGGACTGCTTGAGCAGGACTTTGTTGCCGGCCCAGAGGACATTGGAGATGATACGGTCATGGTCGGGAAATTCGTCGGGGGCGGAGATGGAGAAAACATCGCCTTTTGAAACATCATAGTACTGGACATCAACAACGGGGTTGTGCGCTCCTGGTTTAGGGTACTTTATCTTGCGAATCTCCGGGTATGCCTCCTCGCCCACGGCGGGTTTCTTGCCCGACGGACGCTGGATATAGTACTCGATCGCATATTCGGGCACAGCCGTCTCATTGGTTCGCAAAAATGCAAGGTACTTGCCATCGTCGGACCACCAGGTTGCTGAGCGGCCGGCGAAGACTTCTTCTTCGTAGACCCAGTCGGGAATACCATAGAAGTACTCTGGCCCTCCGTCCTTGGTAATTTGCACCACGTCATTGGCCTGGTTCAGTCGACGGATGTAGATGTTGTTGTCCATGGTGAAGGATATGGCATCACTCGTGGGACTCCAGTTGGCCAGCTGAACCTTGGCGTTGACATTGTCCGGCACAAGAGGCTGAACTTGGGCAGTTTCGACGTCGAGAATGAAATAGGTTGCCTGGAAAGAGTGGCGCCAGTTCTTTTCGCGGTTGACGGCCAACAGAACCTTTTTCAGGTCCGGGCTTGGCTCGTTCCAGTCAGGCCGCTTGATTTCATCATTATACATAAAGTAAGGGTCCTTCATCAATACTCGCGGCTTGGCAGGCTGAGTGTCGGCGGTTTGATGGGCGTTGGTATCAGCGCTTTCCTTGTCGGCACGCACATCCTCTACAACCAAGTAACCGTTTGCAGTATTGACTTCGAGCAAGAGGCCATCACCGCCATCAGGATCTGCTATCCAGCTGATGCTATGGGATCTGGCAGACCAGAACCCCCCAAACACTTGGTCCATGGTGACGGCCTTGCCGGATCCTCTTGAGTTGGCATCGGGGTCATGTTCTGAGTCGCTCTCGTGTTTATAGGAGCCGGACAGTACAAAGATTCCCAGTCCGGCAAGCCAAGCTCCAACAAAGACAGCACCAATTATTATTAATATTCGTCGAAAACCCCTATCCATGGGCTGGCGTTGCAATGGGACGCCTGGCGGCCCGAGGAAAGCGCCCGTCTCGGAGGCGTTCTCGTCGAAGTCGCCTTCATCTTTCGTTGCCGGTAACGAGTCTCGTCTAGCAGAGCGGAGAGCTGAAGGGTCCTTGTCCATCTCTTCTTGGATTCGATCGAAGACGAGGCTCGTGGTTGATACGGAGGAGAGTGAGTCTTGGGAAAAGCGCGACGTCGACGGCCGTTGGCTCTCTGGATCGTCTGTGAATGGTGGCGCCATGACTGATTGGCAAATGCAGTGACGGCAACAATGGCAATAGCACCGCGGTTCGCCGGTAGCTTATAGCCTGCTGCAGCTCGATGCGAGGGCGGTTTATGCAGCGAGACCGGGGTTCGCGGGATGGATGGAGGCGTAAATCGGCCTTTGCTTTTGGGAAGTTATTCACAATGGCAATGGCAACATGGTGTTCCCCACGTAGCAGCACACTTATGGCAATGGCGCAAGCTAGATGTGGACTTTGGTCCGGGACGTTGATGTTTGTTTGGATCCTATTCAAAGGTACTCGATTGAGGCCAGCACGGGTAGCGCGAGACCAAGGCTGGCGGTTGCATGCTCAAGTGTCCTGTTCGGGGTCTCAATAGGTGATGTGGCGTTATTGGCTTTCCCGATGCGATGGGGCGAGACAGACGGGGCAGGTACCTACGTACGGAAAACGGAGTGCGGAGTACAAAGGCCAGAACCCAAAGCCAATGCGCTCCCTCGGCGTGCAGAGGACCGACGAGCAGTCACGAACAGTCACGAAGCCTGCATAACGTTTCCTGGCATCTCTAAATACACAAAACCTGCTTTTCTATACACGACTTGCTCTGCATTGCTATGTTTTGCGTTCGTGCATGGTTGCACATTGTGTATAACGCTGTGCCATCAAGTTCCCACCTTCGTCCTCTCCAGGTCCCGCAGCTTGTATGACTGATATTAATCCCTGCTCTGATGAAAATGCCATCCGTTTCAGAACAAGACCCGACAACTTACATAGAGAAGACAAAATCCCAACAGATAAATTGCAAAGACAATTACAAAACCGCTATGCCATCTCGTATTACCCATGGCTCGGAGCCAGCCGCAAACCCTTTCCCAATCAAAGTCAAGGGTAGGCCGGTGACCGGAGTGGGCCCGCAGATAACCGTGGTACGGAGAACTTGGAGCCGATCAACACCGTTCAGGTCTTGCAGCATGTGCACGTCGCGACCCAGCTAGCCTACTCCGTACATTGCGTACGGCTCACATGTTGAGCGTGCAAATAACGGCCACAAGGCTCCAAGGCCTCAACCCCCCCTCACTCTTCACTGTACGTATCATCAGTGGCCTACTGCTGATCCGTCAACTAACTGCCCAGCATTTGACCTGGTGGGGCGGGGTAAATCGACAGCCCGTCGTTTTGGCCGAATCGGACACTCGTTCGTACATACGAAGTGTAGGAAGGGCGCTCCTTCCTCCGTTACGTACTCCGTACTGCCTACCAGATACTTGCTGGACCCTCGCCCTCACACTCGACCTTGCTATTGGTTCTGCCCGTTGGCTCCTTCCCACCCCCGGACAGATAATCTCCAGCACTTTCCTGGTGCGCAAATCTTCGTCATATCCATACTGTGTACTCCGTACTGCCACCGCGATTGCACCGTAGCCACACAGTGCTGAATCTACCGTATGACACAAACCATTTTTTGACCTGTGCTTTACGCAGCGTCGGCTTTTTAGTTTTCCTTGTGCCTTGATTGGCCCGTGGTGTATGACGAGCGCCGGTGCCCGGACATGTTCGGCGTTTTTTATCAATCTTGCTGAGTGCTCAGTGCTGCTCTACCACACACAAGCGCCAGCCAAGCAAGTCCCCCAGCATCCCTCTGCTCCGTCCGCTGTCGCCACCTTCATAATCTCCATTTAATCTCTTTTCCTCACATTTTCGACCTCGACCTCACAACCACGACAACCCACCTGTTGCGCCATCGCTCATCGCAGTCGGACGCATCACACATACACATCGCAATCAAAATGTTTTCATTAAGAGCGCCCTTCCGTACAATCCGGGCAATGCCCTCTCCCATCGCCGCGGTAGCGGCAACTCCTCAGCTGGCCGGGCGCCGATTCTACCACGATAAAGATAAGTGGTCATCCCTGAGTGCAGCATCGCATCAATAACCTTTTTCTTTCTTTCGCATTTTTTCGCCCCTTTTCGCGTACATTCAGCTAACATGCTCGGCTCTACTGCTGGACCACTACAGCCGACCCCGGAACCCAGGCTCCATGGACAAGAAGGATCCCGCTGTCGGCACTGGACTCGTTGGCGCCCCAGCATGCGGCGACGTTATGAAGCTGCAGATTCGAGTTGACGAGGCCACGGGAACCATTACTGATGCCAAATTCAAGACGTTTGGATGCGGTTCCGCAATCGCAAGCTCGAGTTATTTGACCGAGTTGGTCAAGGGGATGCGATGTGAGTTATATCCAATTTTGCAATGCACCAGTCGAGGAACTTCTCTCTCGCTCGAAATTTCAAATTGGCGCAAGCTGCAAATTGCTAACCGGCCAATGATACAGTGGAGGATGCATCCAAGATCCGTAATGTCGACATATCAAAGGAACTCTGCCTGCCACCCGTTAAGCGTACGTACCTCCATAGAGCTGCGCAGCTGCATCAAACGTCTGGTGAATTTTTTTTTTTAAATCTGACCCTCTCTCAGTTCACTGCTCCATGCTCGCAGAAGATGCCATCAAGGCTGCCATTGCCGACTATCACGGCAAGAACCCCAAGGCCAAGATTACCGATCTCGCCGGCACCGCCAAGACGATCAGAGAGACCATGCAGCAAGCTGCGTAATTTGTAACAATACGGCGAAGAATATTCAGGAGTGGCGAAACAGTGGACGAAAAAAAAAGGAACTCAGTTTATTATAAACCTACAAAATATCGCCGGCAATCAAGTAGTGGCGAAACATCTCGTTACCGGTCATGACAAAATGCATGGAGTAAGGGAGTCCGAAGGTGATACAGGCAGAGATGGGAATTGCCAAGGGACGTGATTAGGGGCAGATAAACTGCCTATTTCGCAGAGGGAGAACCTCAAGTTTTGTTTTAATGTACGTTGGTGGAAGCTGTGGATTTCAAATCCACTAGCATGGAGAATGGAGACACAACACGACATGTTTCTCCGTCTGGCATCCAAAAATGGTTTTGTTTGGGCGCATCCAGTTGCTCTTCTTCTCTCTTTGCCTACGGTTCTTAATGGGGGTGAATTGATTCTGTATGGATATTGTCAATGTGAGGCACGTTTGCCACTGCGACAGGGAATGAGAACCCTCTCCAAATAAAACACTTTGTTATGACATCTGTGCCTTGTTCCTTATATCCGCTTCCAATATTTGTGTACAACATTCCCCACCTCTGCTTCACAATTCGTCACTGTTACACCAGATCTACAAAGCTATCATGCCCTTCCAGATACCGTGGCCTGAGCCGTATTTGTCTTCCGCTTTTCTTCCCTGTTACTGCTAACCGGCAGATGCAATGGCTTTATAGTCCAAACCCAAGATAATGCCAAAACCTAGCCTCCAGAAGGCCCTAAAGTCTGCTCGGTAAACACATCTTTATAACCACCCAGGTGACCCGAATCGCACTTGGCCTTCGGCCATCCAGTTGGCGAAACCATGTATACTTGGGTCTGTAGGCAGGTATTCCCTGATTTGCGTTCTTGTTAAGTGATGCATGGTACATTGCGCATCCGATACCACACCCCTGGAGACTGCATTCATCTTGGTGAAGCGACAGAGAAAGTGCGTATATAACTGGAAGCAAAACTTTTTCATTTGCCTGATGACTGGAGGCTCAATGCTTGGTTCCGAGCCTGAACCTAGATACTTCGCGAGCGGACCGTTTTGAAAATAAGTCCATATTTGAGTGGCTTCACAGATTGCAATACGTCGGCGGAGTGAATGTAACATCACGCCTAGACATCTGACGACTCTGACGTTTTCATCCACTCTGCCTGGAACTAGTTTCTGCTCCAAGCAGTGATATGCTTCCAGTTCCATGTAATGCCGAATTCGTTCGAGGGAGAGCATCGCGATGAAATATAAGCTCTTCTCATTTTCGTCTTGAAGATTGAGTGGTCGTGCCCTGGATGCAATTCCAGACTTGCGAATCAAATTGCATGATACTGGGCCTGAAATTTTATCCAGCCTCGAAAAAGCTTTCAACGGGTCATCCCAGCTGTTCTCTGAGGATGGCATCAACAGAAGGGCACGACAATTCAGAGTGTCTTGCCATTTGTGTTTATTGGTAATAAAGTCTTCCACCGTACAATGATCTTCTGGATCGTTGTAATCCAGTTTTGCTTGTTGCCAATGCTGTCGACAGGCAACTAGATCGAGATCACACCATGCTTCCGGTGATTGCAAGCGAATAATATTATAAGATCGGCTGAAGTAATCCAGATAGCAAAGATTTCTTGTGAAGTCTATGTTCTGAGTCAACCAGGGTTTGATCATGTCTGGTACCAATGCCGAATTGATCAGAAACAGTCCTAAATCAGCTGTGAGTCACATGTTTATAGGTGCTTTTCTCGAAACTCTGTATCGAGATGACGTACCAAACTGATATTCTGGCCGTGTTTTCAGATCGCGGGAGAAGAAATGTTTAACGCATGGCAACCCCTTCTTCCTGCACGCGTCGCATGTCTCAAGAGCTTCAGTTCTGTTGCACTGCCCAGGGACGGTTAGTTCGTTGTAGGGATTGTTTCGACAATAAAAAAGAGACGAGAGACAAACATGTACTTTGCGCAATTTACAGTCCGCACAGACGGACTGCTGAATCCTGGTTTCCTGTGCTTGCCGGTTTCTCCTTGGGTCCATTGGGCCATTCCGCTTACCCCTCCTGGATGGTCCTGAGCCATTCGATTCGTGACTGAAACTGGTTTGGGCAGAAATTGAGCGAGATAGTGATGGTGCTCGTCTGGGACCCCATCCTGCCGTCCTCGAAGGAATGCTGCGCGTCTGCCGAAGAGATGATGCAGCCGTGAGGCTGGACGAGGAATTTTCATGTTGAGACCCAGCGCCACTGATGGATGTAGACACTTGAGACGGCGCGGTAGTTGGCTGCGGGCTATAGAGCATTCCGCCTGTAAATACCACGCCGTTGTCAATATATTGAGTGTAAGGAGCATTGAAAGCCTGTTGAGAGCTGGTCATAGTTGCTAGCTCATCTTCGTAAGGCTGAGTGTAGAGTGATGTGGAGGTCAACCCCGACAGTGCAAGAGGATTGTTGTAGGAGGGGGAAGTTATAATCTCATCTAAACTTCCGTCATTATTATTATCATTATAATGCAGATATGAAGCCCTTAGCCAGGAACAGTCACTCGAGTCAGGGGGCCAATTTTCTGTATGGGAGGTTGGATAAAAGGGAGCTGCGAGCACGTTTAGATGCGAGTTTGAACTTTCGTGTTCATTGTTGGATGAAACACCGAAAGTCGGATTGTGCTGCAATAGATTGTCATAGAATGGTGCCTCGACGTTACCAATTACTGAATCTCCAACAGCTGGCCCTTCTTGCGCAGCTTGAAGTGTCAGGCCAATATTGTTTTCATCATATAATTGTTGAAAGTGTGAAGGTTGATTAGCAGACGTTGCCGATTGGGTGCCATGGTGTTGATATTGTATATTGTTAACGTCATTGACGAATACTTGAGTAAGGTTGTCGGTTAACCGCTGGGCTTGTTCCAGTCGTGCCCTGATTCGATCGTGTTGTGGCAAGCTCAATGTATAATCTGAGGAAAGTTGTGCTTGGGATACACTAATACAAGTGTTAGGAGATAGATGGGAGTGGCGCTCATGGCCTTGGCATTGACGGACTACTTACTTATGTTGGGTATAGTCGTCGAAGCAGTTGATATTGCCCTCAGCGTGATATGTAGCAGCCGGATTGATTTCGAGACCGGCAAGTATGTCTTCATGATTGTTCAAGAAGGATCCATGGTCTTGGCTGGTCATCGTCACTAGTGTGGGCGGATACGATGGGGCCCAAGTGGAGGGAGTGGTGACAGTAGGGCTGGTATATTAAGTCGCTTGTCGCCGTTGGCTAATAATACTGCAAGCAATGGTCCATCCGGCAACTAAAGATAAAAAAGAAAGGCCAAGAAAGAAGACCTGTCGATTCAAGCTTTTGAGAAGCTGTCACGAGTGGGAGAGGGGCACCCGCGGGGCCACAGAAATGCTGTCCCTTTAATATGCCGGTCCCAAGCCTTCTTTGCCCGCACTCGACCTACATCGGGCACCACTCAATTACCACAACTGGTGGTTAAGCACCTGATTTGAGCCGCTACAGGATCCAGCCAGCACACATGGAGAAAGAGCCTCTCGGTACAAGTGGAGTCGACAAGTTGTTGGTGCTGCTTAGCCTCCTTTCGACGACGTCTCGCATCGCCGTGATGAGAGTGACGAATGAAGTCACTACCCTCTGCTTCCCGCGGAAGACACAGCCGGGGACGGCACGACCAAGCAGAAGCAGAAGAAGAAAAATTCAGCAGCACCATGGAGCTTGCTACCCTCTGGGCTGTGGAAGACAAAGCTACCCAAAGGTCTACTTGATTTCCACGTGTATCCGGGCCATCGTGGTGGCAAAGGAGTTGCAGTCGTTCATCGTTGCGGAGGCGTAGAGCAAATCAATTCACATGAATTAAAGACTATGTGAGATTGGGACATGTAAAGAGGCAAAACATGGGCGTGCGTGGACGTAAAGGAGGCCATCGAGTTGCTCTGGTTGGGGCTGGCCCATGAAGACAGTTGGAGTATGCAGTATGGAGTACTAGAGAGGTGTACCAGACGGTACAAACGGGCGACGCCACCATGCGGGAAGAAGGAAGGAGCACCCCGCTGGCAAGCCATGATGGGGGTGTGTCGTGGATCAAGGTGACGTCCGCACTTCGGGCGAAAGTGGTGGGTTGGGCATTGACAGAGCCATGGCGGTGGTCATCCTCTTGCATGCGGCAAACACACATGTGTGTGCACATACATACTCCTCCGTACGGAGTACCTTGGGGATTCAATCCCGCAGATGCAGTTCCAGCTCCAGCGCCACGGCCCGGTGCCCCGTCGTTGCCCGTTCTCTCCGCGTGTTACCAACGCAGCGTTCTGCCCATCACTCCTCGTTCAATGTTTGATAGACATGGTCGCCAATTTTGTCATGCGGGTAACGAACCCCTGCAACAAGGTAGCCACCATCACCGAAAATTCCCTTGCCGTGCAAAAATGAAAACGCAAGCATCCCGCGATGACAACGAAAGGCAATCTGACGATATCCAGAAACTGCCCGGGTGGCCAGACACGGGGGAGGTGAAGTTGGCATAAGCACAATATGTGACGCGCGGAATGCCGCGGGCCTCAGCGGCATCAAGCCCATCTCTTCCGTACATTTGGTCCATGCCATCTGTGTCCATCTTCAACAACCCCATGATGAGAAATCCATAAATTCTTTCATGTCCGAGCATGTCGGTTTGAAAACAAGGCAAACAGCGCATGTGTGCTGTCTGGTCGCCTTGAAGAATTCATTCCGAGGACTAGGACGAACGGGGGTAATATTGTATTTGAAATACACCACAGGCGGTGAGCTTTTGGCTGATACATCCGTTAGATGGCGCTGAGAAAAACTGAGGCTGTTGCTAATTGATTGGTAGGGGTGGTGACACTCTTGCCCAGGATACCACCCCCATCCCGCAGATGCCAACCAGGGTCTGAAGATGTCAGGTTACAGGGTTCTGCAGCGCTGTACGTATGTATGGCCCGCTACTTGGTCGGACCTTGGACGCTGGTTGTGGGTGTCTAAATCAATCAATGTCTTTGAGAATGCGCTTGGAGGATTAGCGGTGGTATACCGAGGGATTCGGCACGACACTTGGCGTTTGAGCAGTTGAGAATCGGTCCAATGGCCAGTTTGTGCGTGGGAATATTGGACTGGGCATTGTTACCGAACTTTCAGCATGGGCGATATACACATTTCGGAGTCTCAGTGCCATATACGCCAATTGACTCTGTCGGAACGATGACAACCAACCAATATTACATGGTTCAAGCAAGCTTCATCCAGAGGCGCTCATGATGTTTTAGATCACCGGCCACCTGGCGAATAAGAAGGAACTAGAGTCGACATGCCGTTTGGTAAGCGACCAACCCAACGGCACACCTTCAACCCAATTGATGGCGTCTCGCCGGGACGCAGCAAAGAGCGCTTAGTTGTCCTGACCGGGAAGGGATTGCAACTGAAACCGGTGAACTTGGGCCAAGGCTGTGCAGCTTAAATAATAGTCTCCAGATCAACTCGTCCAAGGGTACCGTGGATGCACAGCCAACGTCTGATGCGGTGCAGATATGACGGGATGCCACAACAACGTCCCGCTTCAGATGGAGCGACATTACGGGCCATTCTCGTTTAATTTTCTATGTGCCGAGCACTATTGACGAAGTCGGGAATGGCTGACTGAGCCACTGCATGGCCGAATGGGCTCGGCATCAAAACAGGCAAGTAAGTTATCTAATAGTAGTACTCCTAGTTATGTACTCCGTACTCCGTACACTCCATTCCTTGGTTTTCGGTTGGCTGAGTTCTAAAGTCGGTTGAGAGCCAGCGTCGACCCCACTCGCGCGGCTCGCAGGTGCCGTGTCGCCTCGATACGACGAATACGTGAGCTCAGCCTCAGTGAAGCACGTCAAAAGAGCCTCAGAGCCATCCCAACGCCTGTCGCAAACGGTCTCAACAGCCAGGTAGCCACCGCCGCCACAGCTGGACTGTAGTTGACTAACTCGTCGTCCATTACGGAGAAGTTGCCCATTGGCCACGACGCTTCCATGAGAGGCTCGCTGTCAGCCACATCTTGACTGAAACGGCAAAATACAACGAGGATGACAACCCTTATGACGACTGCATTTGCCAATTCTCCCGTTAGTATAAATAAGAGAGTTGCTCGCTGTTCAGCTATTTGGATTTTTCTCTCCTAGCGTGGCATATGTCCCTATAAACTCTCTACTCAAAATACATTGACCAACTACTGGGACAACATATCTTCTCGGCCTCTCATCCGATCCATGACAACCACATTTATAGTATAACTTGACACCTTCGAAATGGCCGGACGCAAAGAAAAGCAGGCTGAGGAAGTTGCCAACATCCCCCCTCAGATCTCCGACCTTCACTGCTTCACCGAAACCGAAGGCGTCATTACGACAAGTAGGTCTCTCGCTGGGCGGGCACACAACCAATCGACCACAACACTGACGCACCTGTATAGCTATGATGGATCTCCCTGGATACCGAATCGTCCAAGTTCTCGGCGCGGTTTATGGAATCACTGTCCGCAGTCGGAATATCGCCGCCAGTCTCGGCATGGTATTCAAGAGCTTTGCTGGTGGCGAACTCCAGTGGTTCACCTCCATGCTGTACTCGTGTCGAAATGACTCTATAAGCCGTGTGGTGGAAGAATGCAAGCGCCGGGGCGGAAATGCGATTATTTGCTTGCGATTCGACGCTGGTGACATGGGCGGGTTCGCGCAGACAGCGGCATACGGGACAGCCTGTATTGTGGAGAAGATTGATGACCAGGTCAGATCGCCGCCTCAGCTGAGTGGTGCGAAGGCGACATAGATGGGAGGCCTGAGGAGAAGGTTGGATCTATGTACTGTCTGTATGTATACATGTTCGAGTCGAATTGGATACCCCTGTCACTGTGATTAGTATTAATTCTCCTCAGTATGGACACATTGCCGTGTGAAGAGGCCTTGGTCGTAATCAGACGTCACTGGATGCACCCTTTCATCATCGGCCTCATCAACGCCGCCACGTTTATTTCCTTTCTCATCCACACCATCTTCGCTTAAGCCACGTCGGCCGGGTCTACAATACCAATGAAACCCGCCTTGTTCATTTGCCTTGACTTGATCATTTTCCGTTTGCCACGACTTTACAGACCACTTCTGCTTCTGTTGTGTATTCTGGACACGAGATCGACTCAAGATCCGCAACCGGAGGCCCAGAAATAGCCTTACTCCTCCACCAAATCACTTTACCACACGCGTGCCTCGGTGGAGGGCCCCGGTCCTAACATGCCCTCAAAAACTTGAACCTGTTAATTCTTCATGTTGCCAAGACCCACGTGGGCCATGACCCTTGAGCTCACTGGCACCAAGGCAGATCATTGACAGGGGGCACAGCATGTCATCGCATTAGCCTGCGGCTCTAGATTGATAACTCGCATCAAAGTTTACATCAAATGGTACCACTCAGCGCAGCACATTGAGCTGCTCTGGAAATCCTTTGCATCTAGTTTCATGCGCTAAAAGTGTGTGATCCGGTGGGCGGCGTGTCTTGATTGCCACTTGTGGAGATGCAGATGCGATGGTATTAAAGAGGGATTCCCGTGCTGCATGACATGTGAGTGAGCGAGCACACTATTCCTCCGTCTGCCTTTGTTGTAGCATTGTCGAGAATGTATGTCTTGAAACTGTTGCAAGCGGTCCTCGTGCCTCTGAGCGCAGTCGGTGCTGTTGCCCAGAATGACGGCTCCTATACACTCCGAGAGGTTGGCGCTAGGAACACAGTTGTAAGTCGCTTCACGCAGAATTCATCCCTTCATGTACATTGTTTGACGCAATGAGTTGACGCTGTGGGAAAAGGACTGGAGAGTATGGCTGCAGAAGGATGGATATCCCGTCTCGCCTTGGCACGATGTGCCTTTGTACCCGGATAACAAGCCTGGGCCGGTCATCAACTTTGTAGTTGAGATTCCCCGATGGACCGACGGCAAGATTGAAACGCAGCGCAACGAGCCTCTGAGTACGTTGTAGTCAATGTATTTCTAGAGTTGGAAAGACTTTTGCTAAATTGTCGACAGACCCTCTCTTCCACGACACCTCAAAGAACAAGCCCCGGTTTGTGGCTAGTTTCTGGCCGCACAAGACGTATCCCTTCTTGTATGGGTCGATTCCACAGACGTGGGAGAACAAGAATGTCAAGGACAACTATACCGGCCTTGTGGGAGACAATGACCCGGTCGATTTATTTGACGTCAGCTCCATTTCGTAAGTTGGGCATATTTTGCAAACGATTTTGCGACTCTTGTTGCTGACAATGGCTAGGCCAGGATACACGGGCGAGGTCAAGCAGGTCAAAGTTCTGGGAGGTCTTGCCATGATTGACGTATGTTGCCCGCTGTATGTGGAAATATTCGATAAAACAGCGGTCCGCTAAGGAGAGAAAAAAAAAGGATAACACGACGGACTGGAAAGTCATAGCTATTGACGTCAGGGACCCTCTCGCCAACCTCGTCAGCTGTAAGTCGCCCGCCGTCGTAGTACCAAACTATGCCAAAGCGCACATCTAAGTGGTTTAGCCGTCGAAGAACTGGACAAGTACCGACCCGGCCTCAGCAAATCCTTTCTTGACTGGTTTATTGCAAGTCACACCCTTCTCCGTTTCCCCCCGGACACGTTTTTCACTAACACCATCAAGTATTACAAAGTCGCTCGTGGCAAGGGCCTCAACCCCATCATCGGCAACGAATACGTCAATGCTCGCACCATGAATGCCAAACTCGCCGAAAGTCACCAGCATTGGAGTGATCTTGTTCTCGGCAAGGAGGACCGCGGCAAGATCAGCATTTGGCAGACTACCAATCCTCGTGCTTGCAAGACCTATGTCAAGCCCGAGGATGCGACCAAGAAGTTTGAGATTCCGGAAAAGTCCAACATCTTGCCGCCAGCAGCTAGACCGGCGCCGTATGACAGGTGGTATTACGTTGATGAGAAGTTTACTTTGATTACGGTGCCGGGGGATGTCATTGAAGTTGATTAAACGGCCTCGCCGTTGGGCAGGCCTGTAAACATGTCCGCATTTGGGTGGTTTTGTCGATTTCTATATCCTTCGTCGTGTGTAGCTGCATGCCAACTACAGAAAAATGCGTAGCTTATGAAATATTCAGTGCGGTGGTCATTCCTCTCTTTCGTTTTGGTCCGGCGCCGTGTGTAAGCTCTTTTCTTGATCTTGATGGAAATCAAAGGTGGATATAGATTGGTTCAGTGCGAAAGCACGACTGGAGGAGCTTTGGCCTCCACATGAACTGGCGATTGTATAAACTGAAAACTATATCAAACGCCGCCTAGATGCTTGTAATGACATTTCTCCTCGTCATATTGTAGGAGTCAAGTTGGCCGGCTGTAAGTGCAACTGACATCATTGGCCAGTGGTCTATACCAGTGGGCCCATATAATGTCGGTTCAGTGCTTCTAAACTTGGCTCTTGCATCAACACATGGCATCCCTTCAGTCTTCAAATGGGCCAAGGCCTGGACACGCAGAGCACCCGTAGTCCCTTTGCGTTTTCCCACTGCTGGGCTTGACCTTGTCCGAGACACATTACTCCTGGAGCAAGAACAGCTCGATAGGTTCGCGACCAGCTAGTATTACCCCATCAACATGGGCGATTATCAAGTCATTCGGAGACTGGGCTTTGGTACCGCGTCGACTGTGTGGTTGGCCCGGAAGCTCATGTGAGTCCCTCAGGCCTCGAGACACTCTTCTATTTTGAATCTAACTGCCAGTAAAATAGCACCCGTGGACATGTTGCTTTGAAAGTATACACCAGGGATAGGGGGAATCGAGAAGAGTTCCAAGTTCGCAAATCCATCACATCCCGGCTGCCGCCATATCAGAGCCGCACTTGACATATTCCAGCTTCACCACCCAGGAGGGGGCCATTACTGCCTTGTCCAACGTCCAATGTTGGAAAGATATATCCACTACGTCAACAATTTGGCCCCCTGAACAGGTAAACAGACAAGCCCTTCACAAACCGGTCGGCCAACAAGACGCACTGACAGACTGGAAAAACTTCATGAACAGATTTTGCATATTGATCACTACAGTTGACATGCAGACTTCACGGCTTACACCAATATACAATGGATGAGGGGACGAGATCAAGATGATTGTCAAAGAGAGACTTGGTATTTTGCTGGACATGTACATGGGGGTTTGAAAATATGTAAGTTGGAGATACATGAAAAAGATTGAAATACCCCCGAGACTCAGTATAGCCCCATATCTCAAGACAGCGTCAAACGATGTTTGTCATGCCAGTTCCTCAGTGGCAGGCGGTAGTAGCCAGAGTCCAGCCAGTCAGGCGGTTGGCAATATCAGAAGCATAGCAAGCCGTGCTTCCCATGCCAAGGTCGAGGTTGGCATAGTTGGCCGAGCCACTGTTATACAGACGGGCCGCGGCGTAGTAAACCTGGCTGTCGCCGCTAACAGTTCCCTTAGCCTTTGCAATCAGCTGCTGGAGGCCATCGCCAGATGAGGTGCCGGCCACGCCGTCGTGGACCATCTGGGTGATTTGGCTGCTGGGGCAAGGGTCGACGCCGGCACAGGTGCCAGAGCCGTCGTGCGACTGCATAAGGCCGGGGTTCACGACGCCGTTATTGGTGGTAGGGGCGCGGACGCAGCCCTTGCTCTCCTGCATCAAGACGGCGAGGATGAAGCGCTCGTCGACGCCAGTTTGATTGGCGACGTCCTGGATGGCACTGCCCACGGCGGCGATCTCGTCGCTGGAGTCGTCCTGGCCCCAGCCGTTCCAGGTGCAAGTATTGTTCATCAGCCCCGAGTTGGCCTTCCAGAGATCGTCCCAGGAGCCCCAGGAGTCCATCGACGGCCATCCGGCGGCGACGGACCCGTCTCCCTGGTAGTAGGTGTATTTGTCTTGGATGCCGCGCTTGGTGGCCGGTAGACCAGCTACGACGGCCGCGAGGCAAGCGGATGCGAGAGCAATGTTTCCGAGCATTTTGAATTTAAAGGAATTGTAAGTATGTGTGAGAAGGGAAGAAGATATATATGTCAATATATATATATATATATATACAATAAAGTATAAAAGGAAAGTAAAGTAAAGAACTGAAAAGTCAAGGAAAGTAGTCCAGCTTGTTTAACCAAGTTACAAGAAAAGGAGAAGAGAAAAACGGACGAGGTGAGCATACATTTATATACACCAAAATTCTTCTCTTTAGAAATCAGACTCGCACAAAATTCTCCTCCTGCGTCCTGCCGACTTTCCCGTCGCCACGGCCCAAGGTCAAGCCATGGCTCACGCCGGCCAGGTACAAGTGCGGCATTTCTGAAGACTTTGCGGAATATACACACCTGGATGATTTCTCGAAGCGCTTCCGGGACGATTTGATAGGTTCACGGAAAGTTCACCTTCAGGCACAAGAAGGAAGGTCTCTTGGGAGTGGGCCAGAATGGCGGCGCCTCGCGCAAGTTGGTGTTGTGCAGTTGGGTCGTGTGGCAACCCATGAATAAGACAATACAAGATGCGTGAAAAAAAAAAGGGAAAATGGGAAAATAGGGGCTTCTAGTTGAGACGATTCAGACCAAATTTCTTGTCTTCTTTCGCTTGGATGGTTCGACTTACGGAAGCAGCTGTCTACACGATCTCTAGAGTCTATACTATGCGAAACACGGCTTACATTGAAACGATATAGTCGACTTGGCTTGAGCCGCTTTACAACCCGGCAGTTTGTATGTAGACAACTTTTTTTCTTCCCCGCCAGGGGTTAACAAGCTGACTCGTGGCTTTCGAAAAGAGAGAATAGCGATTGCCTCATTCGGCAGGAGAAACCAGCCTCTTGGGTCAGGGCACGCACGAGACTGGCCGCCAGGCCCGGCGCCACATCTCCATCACCAGATGCTCGCCCATTGTCTGCTGCCAATCATTTGCGTGGCGGCAAGCCATGGGCGAGGGTCACGTCGACCAGCTTTGACGGGGCCCAAACGCGACTCGCTGGTGCCTCGAAACGCTCTGACTCGCCGCGACTCCCGGCCTCGACCGCGACTGGGGCCTCTCGTCAAGGCGTCGGCAAGTTTTCTCGTCTGAAGACCCATGGCATGATTTCTACTCCGTACGCGGGCACAAGTACCATGGCAGCATGCGGGATTTCGCCCGCCGCACATGTCCTTCGTTTTCGCCGTGCGGAAAGACGGGGAGCGGATGCCCCGAGCAAGTCATATCACCGCGGCGATAGCGGGCCAAGTCAAGTAGTATAGTAGCAACGATGATACCGAGAATACTAATCGGCAGAGTTTTTTTTTTTTAACCGCCAGAGGCGTTTGTGGCAACCAGTCGGGGCTGGTGAAGTCGAGCGTTGCAGTCGACGGCGAGTGTAAGAGAGACGATCCCGCGCTTGTTAGTGGACTGATTCAGGGGCATTGTCTGCTCGAACTGAGGTGGCGCGCCGCGTGATGACAATTGTTGAGCGTCGAAATGGTTCTGCAGACTTTCGCTTGTACCGCTTGTGCTTGGTTGCGAGGGAGGGCGTTGACATCGGGCCCAGAGTCGCCGGAAGCCCGGGGAACTGTCATGGTCGTGGCCACGACTGCCTTTGCCGTCCCTGCTTGCTCTCCGTCTTGTCGGTAGCTTTGGGTGATGCTCGAGGCGCCAACTCTGTGCTGCTGGCTACAGATGGTCAGTCGGTGCGGTGGTTTGCCATGCACGTCTCACCAGCACCCGTGAGCTTGCAACATCAGCATTGCTGTGGAAAGCGCAGGAGTAATAGAGACATGGTATCTAGAATCTCCGAAACTAACATGTCCAAGAAAAGAAAAGAAGAAGGAAACTTTTGCCATCCGGGAGGCTCGGAGCTTGTGGCTACGCTGCAGTTTGGGCAACATCTGCATCCGGATGACGATGCAAAATGCGTTACTCCTGCCCGTCGCTGAGAACAAATCGAGGGGCTGTCCAGGCTACAATGATGGACAAGTATTCTCTCCTTTTCAAAAGACGCCCGCACCTGATGGTTTGAACTTGTCCCGCTCGCGACCAAAGGGTCTGCTGTAATATTGCAAGGGGCGGGCGGGATGCTGGCAGCGTTTCATACATGGCGAACATCCTATGCGGATCAGAGCAAGAGCATCTACCTTTATCAGTAGGGATCTGAATATCATCAAGACCATATCCCCGGCAAGACGAACCACAAGGTGCAGCGATGAATCACGCTTGCCGGTGATTGGGCCTTGATCTCGAGTCCTGTCCCAAGCGAGACGAAATGAAAGGCCTGCCCGGTTCGAGACGAGAGAAGCGCGCGGTGGGCTCGGCCTCTTTGTGAAGCAGGTTCCAATGTTGCTTCCATGGAGCGATGCTCTTGTTGCCGCAACCCTGTCATACTACTGCAGCTATATATCCAGCGACCAGACAGGACAGCCTCTCTGGCTCGGCTGCCAAGAAGGTCACAGCAGCGGCGCGTTTTCGTCACCGGCTCCTTCAGCCACCGAAGTCCGTCTTGGGAAAAAGCAAAAACCGTGCGAAGCCGCCGGGCTCGACGGAAGCTATGCCGGCGGTCACCGAGTCACAAGTCACAAGTCACAACCCTCAGGCGGGAGCAACAAGAATAGCATGTAGAACATAGATACTACTCCGTACTGGCAATCAAAATCCCAAAAGAGACCCCGGCATCGTCATCAATGCAGAAAGCCAATCGGCCCGGCAGTGGACATTCCGGAACGCACCCTACCCCGGACGCCCGGTGCAGCCAATGCCGCGCAGCGTCGAGTCTGGGGGCACCCCAGCTTTTCTGCTGGGCCTTCTGCTCCATGTAGCCGGTGGATCTGTCTTGAAGATTTCGATGGCCTCGTGGCCGCGGTTGCAGGACTAAGCAGACTTGGGCAAACCGCGCCGCTCGGGCTCTTGGCTCACGGCCAAACTGTGGGTTTGGCGTCTTTTGTGGATGTATGCGGCCGGGGCTGTTTTTGGTGCGTGTGTTATTATTTCCCCCCTTTTATTACCGCACTATTGGTGTCTTGTTGACAGTTGGGGTTTGGATTTGGCGGTAGGAGTCTGGTTGCCGGGGCGCGGAGGAGGCATCGAGTCGCCAACATGTGTGTTTCCAGAAAAAAAAAGAACACACGGGGTGAAGAGACGGCCGCGGGGAATGTTGCAACGACTGGCTTGGCTTGGGGAAAGGGACGTCATCTCTGTGTCGGCAACCAATGCTTCATGAGGAGATATGGCTATGTTTCATGGCTTTTGCGCAACGGTCGATGATACAAGACAACTGACCCATGGACAGCTTCGAGCTGGACAGGTCAACGGCTCTACCGCGGCGCCTAGGAACACATCTAAAACTAATCATGACATGGGCCATTCTGACAGGGATGGGCTGGAGTCGGTAGCCACGCAGCCGAGTACCAAGGGGTGGGAGCCGGAGTTTAATATCGCAGCCACATCGCCATGGCTTAGATTGACAGCGAGATTAACTTCTTCCAAGGCCATTGATGGTGCGTTCTGTGTCATCAATGCCTCTGTCACCTGTGGTTGCAGCAAGGAACGAGTCCATGGCTCGCTCGACAGATGCTTGCCCCCTTGATCCATCATCCATCAACCTTCAGCCGAACCAGGCAGCTCTCACGCGACAAACAACATGGACGAGTCATTCGCTGCCCATGTGAGCAAACATCAAGGACGGCGGGCGGGCTCCGAGATACCCACATCTCTGGGCCAACATTGACGTTCGTCGGCAAGTTAACCTCGCAATTAACCTCCTAATAGCGCCGCCCAGCAGACCCCTACAAGCATGAGCCAAGCATTATATACGGAGAAGGTCCATTTGAGCCGCATGTCCATCCATGGCCATTGGGACCATCTCCACACTTTGATTGCCCCCATGCCTCTTGGCCTTCGTCACCCCGGACGAACAGAACTCGCTGGGTTTCGTTTCGCGAGCAGAGGAAATGACGTGTCTCATGTTGTCATCCCTTCTCATAGCTCCCATGTTGGCATGGGTTAGCCATGTTGAGGGACAACCTGGGGACCGGATATAAAATGGTGTGCTGGTCTATCCCGACCTCGATGCCAGGACCGGTGTTTTGGGACCTGGTCTATCATTGCCCAAGACTTGAATCCCGCTGGAAAGGTCGCTTTCTGCTTCTTGGCCTTGGCATTGGAAAACATCTCGGAGCATCATGACAAACCTCGGGCGTCTCGCCGCCGTCCTGGCAGCAACACCGGCCGTCACGGCAATCTACATCAACGGATCCGTCACTGCTCCATGCGACTCTCCCATCTACTGCCATGGCGATCTCCTCAAGGAGATTGAGCTCGCGCGGCCCTTTGCCGACTCCAAGACCTTTGTAGACATGTAAGCCACCTCCCCATGCCCCGATGCCACGTACCAGTTCTCAAGCCCTCGTCCCGACAGGCCGGCTCTCAAACCTCTCGAGGAAATCCAAAGCGCCTTCGCCAAGCTCCAACGGCCCATCACCAACAACTCGGAGCTGCATGACTTCCTCACAACCTACTTCGCCGACGCGGGCCACGAGCTGCAGGAGGTGCCCACGTCTGAGCTCAAGACCGACGCCCGGTTCCTCGCCTCCATCAACGACACCGTCATCAAGGAGTTCACCCAAAAGGTCATCGACATCTGGCCCAGCCTGACGCGCTCCTACAACGCCTCGGCGGCCAGCACGTGCGCCGACTGCCCCAACAGCTTCATCCCCATCAAGCGGCCCTTTGTCGTGGCCGGCGGCCGTTTCCGCGAGCCGTACTACTGGGACTCGTACTGGATTCTCGAGGGCCTCCTGCGCACGCGCGGCTCCTTTACCGAGATTGCCAAGAACACCATCGAGAACTTCCTCGACTTTGTCGAGCAGTACGGCATCGTGCCCAACGGCGCGCGCGTCTACTACCTGAACCGCTCGCAGCCGCCCATGCTGTCGCAGATGGTGAAGCTCTACATGGACCACACCAACGACACCAGCATCCTGAAGCGCGCGCTGCCCCTGCTCGTCAAGGAGTACGACTTCTGGATGGCCAACCGCACCGTCGAGGTCGCGTCCGGCGGGCAGACGTACACGCTGAACCGGTACGCCGTGGATAACACGGAGCCGCGGCCAGAGTCGTACCGCGAGGACTACGAGACGGCGCGCAACTCGTCCTACTACGCCGAGTCGGGCATCATCTACCCGGAGACGCACAAGCTCAACGCCTCCGAGTACGAGGACCTGTACGCCAACCTGGCGACGGGCGCCGAGAACGGCTGGGACTTTAGCTCGCGCTGGATCGCGAACCCGCAGGACTCGGCGCGCCAGGTGTACTTTCCGCTGCGGACCATGAACGCGAGGAACGTGGTGCCCGTGTGCCTCAACTCGATCCTGTACGGCAACGAGCTCGCCATCGCGGGCTTCTTCAACGCCAGCGGCAACGCCTCGGCCGCCGCCGCCTGGGAGCAGCGCGCCGCCGACCGCAGCGCCGCCATGCACGCCGTCATGTGGAACGACACCCTCTTCAGCTACTTCGACTTCAACCTCACCTCGTCCAGCCAGAACATCTACGTCTTTGCCGACGACGACGCCGCCTCGGTCGACGCCGACACGCGCGGCGCGCCCCCCGGCCAACAGGTCCTCTTCCACGTCGGCCAGTTCTACCCCTTCTGGCAGGGCTCCGCGCCGGCGCACCTCCGGAGCAACCCCTATGCCGTCAAGACCGTCTTCTCGCGCGTCGCGGCGTACCTGGCCAGCCGCAAGGGCGGCATCCCCGCGACCAACCTCAAGGGCGGGCAGCAATGGGACCAGCCCAACGTGTGGCCGCCCCTGATGCACATCCTCATGAAGGGCCTGACCAACACGCCCGCCACCTTTGGCGCCGAGGACCCGGCCTACAGGGACGTCCACGGCCTGGCCGTCGCCCTGGCCCAGAGATACCTCGACTCGACGTTTTGCACGTGGTACGCCACGGGGGGCAGCACCTCGGAGACGCCCAAGCTCGACGGGCTCGGGGACGACGACCACGGCGTCATGTTTGAAAAGTACAGCGACGAGTCGACCAACGTGGCCGGCGGCGGCGGCGAGTACGAGGTCGTCGAGGGGTTCGGCTGGACCAACGGCGTGCTCATCTGGGCCGTCGACGTCTTCCGCGGCGAGCTCAAGAGGCCCGAGTGCGGGGACCTGAGTGCCGCCCGGCACGACGGCGCCAAGGAGAAGAGGGCGAGGAGCGCGGTTGAGCTGCCTGCCGGGGATGCCAGGAGGGTCAAGAGATTTGGGAGGAAATGAGGCGGTCGTGTTTGGACCTTGTTCGACAGTGTATATATAACCCCTCACCCTTTTTGGCAGCTCTTGCTGGTGACAAGACACTACCGCTGGTGTTGGGGTACCCGAGACGAGACGAAAATTGTGTCGCTGACGAGAAAATTTTGTGACGCCCTTGAATCCTAGTATATAAAATAAATATATATATGTACAGTACAGCGGGTGTGCGCAACTATGCCAAAGATGTGTTCAACTACCCACCATGTATTTATTCTCCTTTTAATTCCTCATCACGTCTTGACCACCCTGCCTTGTCTACGCTACGCCCTGATGGCCTTGGGCATGGCCGTCGGCCGCAGAGGCCCCTTTCTCGGCTCATCACCCTTGCTGAGCCTGTACTTCAACTTGACACCCATGGCCGCCAGCTCGACGTCCAAGTACTTCAGTGCGCCGGGGACTACCACCTGCGTCGTGTGCTCGCCGCCGACCCAGCAGTTGCCCTGGCCGTCTTCCCAGATCTCGCCCTGAACCTCGGTCAGGTCGACGCCGTCCGTCTCGTCGAGCCTGGTGGCGCAGTTGCGGCAGCGCACCGTGGTCGGGGCCCTCTTCTTGCCCGGGGCAAACTGCGAGACTGTCGGCTGCACGGACAGGAACGAGCCGCAGCGGCGGCAGATCCACGACTTGGTGTAGTCGGAGCAGTTGAGCAGCCTGTCCTGGAGCAAAAAGGCCGTGCCGTGCGCGAGCAGGGCGTCGCGCTCCATTTCGCCGACACGGATGCCACCGCCGCGTTTTCTGCCCTTGATGGGCTGCCCGGTCGTGGGCACGACGGGGCCCGTGGTTCGCACCTGGAACTTGTCGTTGACCATGTGACGCAGACGCTGGTAGTACACGACGCCGATGTAGATGTCGGCGCCGAGCTCTTCGCCCGTGATGCCCGAGTACATGGGTTCGTTGCCGTGGTAGCTGTACCCGGCTTTCATGAGCTGGTGGCCAAAGTAGTCGACTGCCGTGTTTTCTTCGTCAAACTTGAACGGCGTCGAGTCCTGGGCTAGGCCGTGGAGCGCACCCGCCTTGCCGGCCAGAGACTCGACAAACATGCCAATCGTCATTCGGGACGGGAACGCGTGCGGGTTGATGATGACATCGGGCTGGATGCCGGACTCGGAGAAGGGCATGTCGACGGCGGGCCATTTTTGAGAAGCGACACCCTTTTGACCGTGGCGAGAGGAGAACTTGTCTCCGATGATGGGGGATCGCGGGATGCGGAACTTGATGGAGACGGTTTGTAGGGTTTCGCCGCCTGTGTCTGCGCCAATGAGACGGACCTCCTCGACGAAGCCGGTTTCGCCGTCCTTGTACTTTTCGTAGTGGGTGATGCCGTCCAGGTTGACGAGGTTGCCGTTGTAGTCAGGGGTCACAGTGTGCCATGCACAAATGACGTCGCCTTCCTGGACGAGACGTCCCACGTGAGGGAGGCCGTCGTCGTCCAGCATGCCTTGGTACGAGGCGCTGACGTAGCTGTGAGGCGCGAATCCGAAAGCCTTTGTGACACTCTTTGCCGCCCGAGTTCTTGAATCATCCTTGAGGGTAATCTTCTTGGTCTTGTAAATGGTTCCGTGTCCAAAACCCCTCTCGTGCGCCGACTTGTTCAGTATCATAGCGTCGTCCATGTCGTAGCCAGTGTAGGAGATGACTGCAACAACGGCATTCATACCGTTGGGAAAGTTGTCAAAACCATAATCGTTGTGCAAGGGCGCGCGGACAATGGGCGTCTGTCCAGTCTGAATTCTGTACGACTTGTTGTCTGTTCGATATCTGATGGCGGCGCCGGGGGTACCCATCGTCTGCTTACCCATCTGACACTGGTACATGTTTCGGGGGGACTGGTTGAAATCGGAAAAGGGCGTCATGTTGGCCAAGATGGACAGCATATTTGTGGGGTCGAACTCGACATGAGTAGATACGCCGGATTCAATTTCTTGTGGCAACACGGCGATGGACATGTACGGCTGCTCATAGGGTCCGACAAAATCTTCCTTTTGAAGAGGGAGATATTTCACGGGTCGTACCATCCGTGCCGGGGTCGAGGTAATGTAGACACCGGGATACGAACCCCCGTTGGACACAGGGACATATCCAATCTCTAATTGCAGTGGCACGCCGTGCGTACCCTCGACTTTCCAGTATCGCAGACAGTCGGCTATCCTAAGAGACTCCTTTGGTGTGCACCAGCCGAGGATCTTGCCATCCATCATGACGACGACATTGTCGCTTGTGAGGGCGGATGATGTGTCGACAACACCTAGTTCTTTGACAAGCGCTGGAAGTTCGGATACGTCAACGTGGTCCGTCACGATCTTGCACTTGTGGGCCAAATGGTTCAGCAAACCACATGGTGAACCATCAGGCGTGTGGACAGGACACATGAAACCCCACGACTCGGGGAGCAGCTTTCGCACAGCAGTGGTCCTCAGCTGAGCAAAGAAGGCGCCACGATGGACCATGCGGAAATGGCTAATGAATCGGAGGAAGTTGAGTTTTTCAGCCACAACAGTAAAACCAGCTGTTTGCTGCAGGTCCAATCCTGATGGGCTCTGCAAGTTTCCGGTGGACAAGAAGTATTCAAGGGCATTGCCCAAGTTTTCATTTGCCTTTTTGAAAATCGCGCCCGGGAACTCCTTTCTGAAATCCTCGGACGTGAAAGAAGCTTCGGGGTGTCGTCGGAGGAAATCACGCAGAGACAAGCGAACGCCAACGCTCAGGAATTCGTCGAGTCGTTCCTTGAGAATCTGGCCATACAAGAACCCACCCAGCAGGATTTCCTGGTTTTGAAGAGCATCGGGGTTGTCAACGGCACACTCGCCAGCCGCCAGGGCATACAGCTTGCGGACCATGAACAGCAGCATCCGGAACTTGTCAAGATCCTGTTCCTCAGTCACGTTCACATTGCCCAGGTGAACCAGAACGATCCTTCTCAAAAACTCTGTACCAACTTCATAGTCGGACATTGTTTCTGGAACGCCAAGCACAACCCGAAACTTTTCTCCTAGATACGCTCTGGTCTGCGATTTGCTGTAGAGTCCATAACTCTTGTATGTTCGTAGCAGCAATTCGACTCGATCCGTTAAGAAAGTATTCTCGGTTACTTTTGATCCCATCGGCCCAATCAATCCCTCGAAAATTTCTCGGTCATTTGTCTCTACCAATGCTTTAAGGATCATTATGACAGGAATCAAGTACTCGTTCTTACGCCATGAGATTCGAAACGTGATGTTACCGTCATTGAGGTAATGAAGGACATTGGTCTGAGAAGTCTCGTCGGGTCGAACGGATCGAACAATAACACCGTACGAGGTATAACCCGCGCCTCGGGTTTGAAAACTAGGTCGATTGATGGCCATTGGAAAGTTTCGCTTGTTTACTTGCAGTAGTCTAATAATTTTCTCAATGCCGTTGACAATGAAATAACCTCCGAGTTCCTCAGATTCCTCTTTTCGCTGAACAAGTTGAGCAGGAGAGTTATTTTCGAGATGGCATCGATTGGACTGCAACGTAATAATGTTAGACAAGTAAGGCTTTGCGCCGTGACATTGAATTACCATACCTTGATCATGATGGGGACCTGTCCTATTTCTCGTACAAATTCAATAGGTTCTCCGCCATTAATGGAGTACTCGAATGTGGCCGAGAGTCTTCCTCTATACGAGACATGTCGTTCTCTGCACTCGGCAGGCAGGATTTCTCGGTTTCGTGCCATCTTGTTCGTCGGAGGAACCTGGGGCTTTTGCAGGCTCACACCCTTGATTCGGATACGAAGACGATTCTTTCCCTCGGGGCCAGATCTTTCATCACCATCGAGAAATGTCTTGGTACCAATATCCGTCAATCCATAGTCAAGAAGCCCTTTCTTGCCATCATTTCCGAAGATGCGATTGAAGGACTCGATGTGTGGGTTCACGGCCAATTGAAGGGCGGGATATGCAGAGTGATCTTTTGGCGGGTTCTGGAAGAGGTCATGACGCCGCAGGGTGTCATATTGGTGATCCCATTTTGTACTCGTCGCCGATGGAGCCATTGCGGCGACCTGTTAAATGTGCGCAGCAACGGGACTGCACCAGGTTCACAATTTCAGAATTGTTCGTGGTATAATTGGATCGTCGGTGAAGAGGTCTCTGTTAGAAGAGACCTAGAGAGCTGTGACTGATGGCCACCGGCAGTTTTCCGACACCATACACGCTGGAAATGAGTGGTTTTGTATGGCAGGCAAGCTCCGGGAAAAAGTTGAAGCCATACAAAATTTCCACTCCAGCCCGCTACAGACGTCGAGCTTATCGCAAGGCAGAAAAAAAAAAAAGCTTCGCGATAAGAAACGGTCACGTGGGTCTATCGATAGAGCACAGATTTGTGGAGAAATTCTCGCTACGCGGGACGTACAGAGATGCAGAAGCAGTGGAGCACAGAAAACTTGGGGTTTCAAGTTTCTCCCAGTTGATGAGACGCGACCCGCAGCAACCCCCTGTGACCATGGCCGAGTTTGGAGATTTGCAGAATTTAGATTGGTCTGAGCAGCCTCGGGACATCAGGGACTCGGGGGGCTCTGGGGAAATCTGGCGACCGGAGGTCTTCTGGACGAAAGGGGACGATGGCGGGAGACATGCAGCCCCATGCCTTGCAGAAAGCCACAAAAGGATGAGGTGCGCCATGCATCGCCTCTTTGATATCACAGGAACCGCTCTGGACGGCCGACGTGGAACTAGCTATGTTTGCATCGTTCATGTTGTTTCTTCCTTTCTGGGCATTGCCATGCTATGCTGAGCTTCTCTGTGCTATGCTGGCCCCTGGATCCTGTGACGTGAACATCCAATGGCGACGTGTTGGACGGTGCCCCATGCCATTGCCGGCGCTGTGCAATACAGTCAAGTAATCTGCTGCAAGACGGTTTTGTCTCAGTGTGTCCAGATGGTAATACTGCTACAGGCAGGAGGCCGTACTCGTCACCGAGTCATCGTGAGTGAGACAACGGCCATAGATGTCAGGTATGGATTACCAGGTCGGGCAAGTTAGCGTCACGTCATGGATAAACTTTCTTGTTTCATGTGGCCAATCTCAAAGTGTCGCAATCTTCTATCAACCATGGCTGCAAGCTTATGACGGATGAGGTAGCCAATACATTAGGCACGCGACTAGTCCACCATGGATGAGCTCAACTTGGTTTCTTGCCAGAGGACGTCCGGATGTCACTTTCACTTCCATCTCCGTCTTCACTTTCCTTGACGTGCTGGCAGGCTTGGCAGGCAACCTGGGTCACCAGCACAGATTCAAGCAACTCGTCAACAAGTGGCTGAGTCGCCGTCTCCCTTTTCCCGTTCGTCCCGGACACGAGCAAACTTGGACTGGCAGTGCGCCCTTGTCCCTGTTTGCCCCCTTGGTGCCACATTCAACCATCACGATCGAGCCACGGCCTCCATCTCTGCCTCTGAGCTAGGCAAGCTAGGCAAGCTGGACAGAGCTGGGCGTACTGGACCACGCGCCGGTTGTCGGATGTAATGTTTGCATGATGGTTTCCCCTCTGGGATTCAAGCGGGGGCTTTGCCAGGAACTAGCAATACACAGTGCCGGTTTTTGTGGCTCGCGCCGTGTACCAAGTGGCATTCATGTCGTGATGAGAGCCCAACATTGGATTGGCAATATTAAAAACATGGACCTGCGGCATACACAAACTTGAAACCCTGGGGAACCACCCGACGTGCCAGGCGAAGCGAAAGGAAGATCAATGCGTTCTGGCAGAGCACACAGAGGCAATAAGGCACAATGCGATTGCTGCCGAGAAAAGAAAGAAGTGGCTGGCTAGTGAACTAGTAGTACTAGTAGATGGATTTCTTCGTTTGCGTGACCGAAGAACGCATGACGGTCCCCAAGGGAGGAGAAAGGCACCAGGTGAGGAACACAGCTTGGGTAGCGGCACCGGCCTCTTTTTGGCATTCCAAGGCCATGTTGACGAGAAGCAGAAGCACCGGACAATTCTCTATCAGAAACACATCAAGGTGATGCATCATTGATCCCAGATCCCCAGACCAGGACCTGCAGACGCCTCAAGCAAGCCTCAAGCAAGCCCCAGTCCCAGTCGACTGCCAGGGACGTCCCAAGCAGGCAGTACAACAAATAGATATCGCAGAATAATATAGCCAGGGGCCAGAGAAGCATGGAAGCCCGACGAACCCAAGCAAAGGACGACGGGGACCCTTGCCGGGAGCGCGCCCAAATGTTCACGGGCTCGTGATGGCTGCAGACGCATGCAAAAAAAGAGGTTGAAGAAAAAACTAGAACATAAAAGCGGGGCCGGAGACAGGATGACTCGACCAAAGTTGACCAAAGTCGACATGGCCAACGAGCCCAACCAGACGTGGGGAATTTTGCGAAACCGTGGCTAAACCTTCAACACAAGCCCTCGCCTTCTCCCGCTCGGGAACAGGCCACACACGCCGTCTTTTATTCCCCGAGGAGAAAGCGAAAGGGGTCAGCAAATCTTGCCATCCTTTTGGTCCCGTGCGGTCTGGAACGAAGCCGCTTGGTCTGACCTCCGCACAGTTTGGCCTATTCACCGTACGTGCCTAGTATTTGGTCGGGGCACGTGGACGCCGACATTATACATACAATTTCGAATCCTCTCGTCTCGTCCCGTCTCCCTCGGTCCCTTCGGACTGCCTTTTGCTGTCTTTTGCTACCTTGATCACCAGCTAAGGAAGGAGCAGATGCTCGATCTTAGGTAGCCAGATCTCGTGCCAAGCTCCGACATGGGAGTTGCATGAGCCATCAAACTAGAAGAACCAGGATGGATTGGGCGCTGTGGACCAATGACTCGCCTCCTTCTCGGCGGCTCGGTGCGCGCTGGCTGCCGTTAATATTAGAACATTGACGACATGGTGGCGGCCTGGCCATCTTGAGCAGCCGCCCATGCCTCCAACGGCAGTCCCGAGTATACGGTGCATATATGTGCGGATCTACTATGCCAGTTCAAACTTTACACCAAGGGAGCCATGCTTTGGCCCTGCTCTGGCTTTGCCATGGCCACGCTCTAGCCAACGTGTTACGTGTTGGGTATCGTGAGGTCCGGTCAAGGAGGAGAAAGAGGAGACGCAAGGAAGCGAAGGATGGAGGGAAGCAAGCAAGAGCAGGAGTGTAAAAAACGGCAAGAGGGGCTTGGGCAAGACATGATGGGCATGGGGACGCATCACATTCGGCTCTCATCCGTGTCGTTCCAGAGACAAAACTGTCTGTTTCCACATGCCTTTGACCATCCAATCCTCAGATTTCCCACAGCTTCTACTCCGTACCCTTCCTGTAAAGCCTGCTGTGTAGTCACTTGCGCAAAGTCTGGGCGAAGCTTTGCCGCATGGGGTATTAGTCTTGGGCCACGTTCGCTTGATCACCACGACTGCCGCGAGACAAATCCTCTTATTATTCTGCCCTTCCGCCATCTTTTCGTCCTTCCACCAAGGCATTTGTCTCGGCCTCCACACTTTGTTCTCGTCTCCTACCCTTTTGCCATTTTTGAGAGGACCGACTTGGTTTTCGAGGGCCAATGGCCTCGCCGTCGGAGTCTGCTCAGGACGTTCCTGGGTCTGATGCTGGGTGCGAACCAGACCCGGCTATACACCACCACACCTATCATCACGTTCCAGCCGATGATGCTGACAACAGTCACAATGTTGTCCAAGACCCAATTGCCACCTCTCCCAGTCATCCGCCTGCTGCCCAAGTAACCACGCCACTTCCTTATCCTCCTCCAGCCTCTGCTGATACGGCCGAGGCTGCTGCTGTTGCTGCCGCAAGGCGAGAGAAGGGTCGTGTCAGATTCAACAGTAATGCAACGGCCTCAAAACCGCCCGTCATCAACTTCGAACCTCCTCCACGAGTACCCGAGCGCTCGGCTACGCCTTCTCCTAAGCTAAGGCCATCAATTCTGCGAGCAAATTCGTCAGGATCCGTAGCAACAGCTGAGGATCTGGGGATCAATTTGGACGCTACTTCGGAAAAGGCTATTTCGGCCGCCGTTGCTCAAGCACGAGCTCAGCAAGTGGCCGCCAAGGTTTTGCGCGACTCTCCGCCTGGGTCCAGAGCTTCCATGGACTCTCTAGCCACGACAGCTGCCAGCGATGGCGGTCTTCTTCCCAGTGATTCTCACATTCCTCTGCGTAACTTGGCGGCTGATGGCACAGCTGTAGACAGTCAGCCACAAACTCCCGAAAACGAAACTGACGAGGCTGCGTTGAAGGAAGAGGCATACGACCTTGTCAGAACCCACACTCGCCGTTTTGCCTCGGCCACAGCAAACACTCTCCCCGCAGATGAAGAGGTCATTGTCAGCTCAGCAAACGTCCAGCCTAGCCACGTGAACGGTGGACTGTATGATGGCGTGTACAACGTTCCTCCACCAAAGCGATATCGAGGAAGCGTGCTCTCACAGCTCTTGAAGCTGTACAAGCCAACCGAGCCCAGCTTGCATGGAGCGCATTCCCGAAATTGGAGCTCCTCCTCCCCAGGTGCCGTTACGCCCCCGAGTCTGGAATCTGGCACAGCTACACCCACCAGCTCCCGCAAGAAATGGTACGAGGTGAATCGGTCGCAGGACACGTTGGCAAACCTTGTGGAAGCTTCCACACGCCTCGCCAATCCAAACAAACAAGCCCCGGAGCCGAAAAGTCCGGGGAAGAAGCGTCCTGGCGCCAAACGAAGAACCAGCAGCAATCGACTAAGCGGCTTCTGGCAGAAGGAAGAGGCCCGGATTACTGTACATATTGCTGAAACTCTCTCCCGCCAAGGATATATCATCAAATTGTGTCGAGCACTCATGCTTTTTGGTGCACCCACTCACCGTCTGGAAGAATATCTAACCATGACGGCACGCGTACTCGAAATCGACGGCCAGTTCTTATATCTGCCCGGCTGTATGCTTGTCTCATTTGACGATAGATCAACCCATACAACTGAAGTCCGGATCGTCCGCATCACCCAAGGCATTGACTTGGGAAAATTAAAAGACGTACATCACATCTACAAGGAGGTCATGCACGATGTCATCGGTGTGGAAGAGGGTACCCGTCGACTGGATGAGCTCTTGAAAGCCAAGGACAAGTTTCGAGCATGGATCCGAGTCCTCGTGTTTGGATTGACGAGTGCAACGTGTGCCCCGTTTTCATTTTCCGCTCGACTTATTGACTTGCCATTGGCCTTTTGTTTTGGCTGTTTGGTTGGGTTGTTGCAGTTGATTGTGACACCGAAATCAAACATGTACAATAATGTGTTTGAGGTGACGGCCACCATTGTTGTTAGTTTTCTGGCTCGAGCATTTGGAAGTATCAATGAGGGAAATTTGTTCTGCTTCTCGGCCTTGGCTCAGAGCGGAATCGTTATGCTTCTCCCCGGATACTCGGTCTGTAAGTTGGCCCAAAGTTCACCCTCGCCTCCTTGCTACCTCGCATCGACCCATCTCCCAAGGATGGTGGATGTGTTCGTCCGTTTATAATGAGTCTTCTTCTTTCTTCGATATTGAGCCCATGCTAATCTTTCTTGCAGTGTGTTCTGCCCTGGAGCTTCAGTCCCGCGCTATTGTCCCCGGATCGATTCGCATAGTGTATGCCATCATTTACTCCCTCCTCCTTGGCTTTGGCATAACGGTTGGTGCTGCTCTGTATGGCCTCTTTGATAACAATGCGACATCGGCAACCACGTGTCAAAGTCCCATGCCGTCGGTCTACACCTTTATTTTCGTGCCGTTTTTTATACTGTGTATCAGTATTCTGTATCAAGCTAAATGGCGGCAAATGCCAGTCATGGTCTTGATTGCGTTTACGGGTTACATTGTCAACTTCTTCAGCAGCATCAAGTTCGTGGCCAGTCCTCAAATAGCCAACACATTGGGTGCCTTGTCTGTGGGCATTCTTGCCAATCTATACTCTCGCTTGCGCCACGGCGTAGCCGCTGCCACTCTCATTCCCGCAATCTTTGTGCAAGTACCAGGTGGCCTGGCATCGACTGGAGGTTTGCTGAGTGGTTTGAGTACAGCCAATCAGCTCACCAACTCATCAACTGTGATCAATGGTACGAGCACGGTAAGATTCATCCAAGGCGAGTCAATGAACACAGTCGTGTTTAATGTTGCTGCCTCGATGATTCAGATTGCGATTGGCATTGCGGTGGGATTGTTCATGAGCGCAGTCGTTATCTATCCGTTGGGGAAGAGACGAAGCGGCCTGTTTAGTTTTTAATGTTGTTCATTCTGGTCCATCATCTTGTATAATAAGGGGTATGTCTGGATATGTATTCATTTCATGGCGATTTGATTTGAAGCGATTCATAGCGAGGGGTGTGCATTTTCTAGTATGTAATATTTGGCGCAGATACTTTGGGGCGGTGAAAAATAAATGTCTTGGTCTGGTATTGATGTCGCTGTGCTCCGTGCAAACCAGATCTTGTTGATGTCGCCTGGACCAAGTCTGTCTGTAGCCACAACCAGGACCGAGATGTCAGGCTGGGGATTGGCGCTACGGGCCGCCAATTAGCTCCCGCCTATTCCCGCGCGCCATTATTTTCAATGCTTTGCAACTTGAATGATCGCTGCAATTGCCCATGTTTGAGCAGCCGTTGACCTGGCTGCATGGTACCCAAGGTAGGTATTAGCTGATATGTATAGACGCCTTGCTGCGACTGACGCGCCTTGCTTGCCGCCGAGGCTAGAGGTCATTCAACGTTGCGCCACTGACGACAGACGACGTCTGGATTCGATGCCTCTGGCGCCTGCTGCTGCAAACACGTCGTTCCTCCACATACTCAGAAGTGCACTTCGCAAGTGCTTAGATAAGGTTGAGCAGATTTGGGAAGCCAAGCCAGGGGTGGTGGCAGTGACACGATGCTGATCCAGCGTTGCGGCGCCGCAAAGAATTGTATCGAGGCAGAAAAAGTGACCAACTAGGTGATCCAACGAGCCGCTGGAGAAGGCCTTGCGGTCTCGAGAGCACAATATGCACCCCGTTGGCCTCATTGACCTCGTTCAGGAACAATACCTGTCACCACCCATGTCGGTCTGTCCGGTTACAACATCATCATCTGCCGCATCTACAGCCGGCCCCTGTCCGCACTTGAACGCAAGTACGAGTATTGTGATCCATGATCTTTCCAATGTAGTAGTTGTAGCCGTCGAGGCTGCCTGGTCTTCCTTGAGCTAAAGCGTGAGCCCTGCAAGACGTGCGAAAACGCACTTCACTTGGCGTGCTCTAACAACATGGCGCTGGACATGGCTTGCATGCCGAAGCGCAGCACGTCGTCTTAGTTGAAGTCGAGGCAACCCTTGCTGGGCTTTTGATCGCGGCCACCCTGGCTCGGCAGACTGATGAAACGCTAATAACTAATGGCCGCAGAGGAACCAAGTAATCCTTATTGGCTGGACGTCTGGTGACTCCTTGTCGATGGACACACCACGCACACACCCACACCCTCGGCTGTACTCCAAGCAGGTATACAGAAGACGGAATACATGGCACATACGCCGCATTTGCCCAAGCTTGGAGTCTGGGCCGCCGCCATGGCCACCGCCCTCATTGTCGTTGTTCTCGTCGTCGTCGTCGTCGTCTCCCCCCCGTCGTGAAAAAACACAGCCAGCAGCCAGCACCGTCGCAGTGGTAGTGTAGCTGTACCGGCGGCAGGGCAGCAATATCCGCTACCACACAACATCATCTGCTCGCCAAGTCGAGCACAGAGTACCCCGTCGCACTTCTGCCATACGTGCTGTTGGTTGTAGTACTCGCTGTGCTTCCCGTATTGTCTTGTAATCTTACTCCGTACCTTGGCCCGACCGAGACCTCTCTCCCCCACAGCCTCCCAACCGCCATCCAACACTGGAGCCGCCGACACTACACCATCAAGGCACGGGTCGTCCCCGCTCCAGTCCCAAGTCCAGATGTCCACAATTCAGGCTCTACGGTGTACATACAATGAACGGGCTTGCGCTCTGCTTGCTTGCTACCTTGTCAACTTGTTACTTCGCTACCCTGGCGGCCTGGCTTCTCTGAGCCTGCCATCCCGCCTTGGGTGGGGTTTCTAGTTGTCTTGTCCTGTGTTCTGCGCAAGGCATCTTGCTCGTCGAGACCTACTCCGTACTGCTTTGAATGTCCTGTCCCGCACAATTCTTTGTTTTGCCGTGGCCCCGCTGGCTGTGAATTTACGAGTCTGATCTCCTTTGCTCTTTCCTCTCTTTTCTTTCTTGTTGTGTTTTCCGCCTGTTGTCTGAAGCGCACGCGCTGCTGAACCGGTTGCCGCCTTGCCTCTAGGCCGAACTGTCGTCAACCTCAGTCGCACTCCGTAGAATGCTCAGAGACATCACACTGCACTGAGCACTGGTTCATAGCCCCACCTTCCCACCACCGACCGACCTCATTTTGCTTCCTGCATCGGCTGCTTGTATCTGCGTCGTTTGCTCACGGCTTGTCACCCACGACGAGATATACCTTTGCCCTCTCCAAACGAAGCGCTTCCCCTTGCTTTAATAGAAGTCGTCGCCACTAGCAAGCTGAGCGGGGCACGCATGAGCTCTCACATTCCGCCCCTCTGCGAACATCCGTCCACCATATTCACACCGGCCAAGAAGAAAACCCTGGGTGAAAATGGCCGGAATATTTAAAAAGGTTTACGACTGGCTTCTGCGGACATTTTGGTAAGTCAAGGCTACCCAGAAATCTCACGCAGTCTCCCACGACGTAAGGCGGATTCGGCCCTCTTGGCCCACTTGCAACTTGCCAGACTATGCCAGAAACTGCTCGATACAGGTGCTGATAAGGCTGTTCTAGGGCGATGGAGATGGAGGTTACGCTCGTTGGTTTGCAGAATGCCGGCAAAACGTCGTTGTTGAGAGTTCTCGCCGTAAGTTGACGGGCCGGCAATTCCCTGGAGCAGTAGCTGACAGAATGCGTGGCAGGGTGGTGAATTTACTCTCGAGTAAGCAAGCCTTTTCCTTGCCCGTGGTCTCTCGAAGTCCGAAATTTGCGTTAAATCGAACATCAAAATTTCCATCTCGGGAACTCGACGAGACGAAACATGACTGACCGCATAATCTCCTTCAGTTCGATACCGACCGTCGGCTTTAATATGAAACGCGTACAACAGGGCCATGTGACTCTGAAATGTTGGGATATTGGCGGCCAGCCAAGGTTTCGAACTATGTGGGAGAGATATTGTCGCGGCGTCAATGCTATCGTCTTTATCGTAGACATCGCAGACGTAGATCTCATTCCGCAGGCTAAGGATGAGCTGCATTCCCTCATGAGCTATCCGACATTAGCTGGAATTCCCCTTCTGGTGCTTGGCAACAAGTCTGATTTGCCTCAGAAACTTTCCGTCGATGAACTGATTGACGAATTGGATTTGAAGCTGATTCAAGGAAGAGAAGTCTGTTGCTATGGTATCAGTGCCAAAGAAGAAACTAACCTCGATGCTGTGGTTCAGTTTCTTGTGAAATGGGCCAGCCGATGAATTGCCCATACCCTGATGCGTACGAACGTCCGGCGCTGAAATGATCCTCTGACGACGATTGACGACGATGACAGATTGCAGTACAGCATCGTACCCCTATGCTTTTCCAAGTAATGCCATTTGTTGTGTTCCGCTGGTGGAAGGAGAAGCGTGGGTGTTCGCGCCGCCCACTGCTTCCGAGGCTATCCAACCCTTTTCTTTTTAACGATTTGGCGATATAAATTTCTTCTTCTCTCACGAATTCACGAACACAGGTTGCCGGGTAGTAGTTAATTATTGGCGATCCGGTTGCTGCTTGGTTTACGTTTTCTTGTTCTTTGATTCCTGCTTTTCCATTGAATTGGGGGCATAGCGAACATTGCCGAGCGGGAGTAGAACAGGGTCTGGGGCTTGGGCCACAAGGCATACAGATACTTGCCCAATATGTGGATTTTTGTTTTCTATTCCTCTCAACTTCTCATTGTCCATATGTCCAGCTTATCCCTTTGAAGCGTATTAATTGCTGCGTGAGGCATTGTATGTATAGCACAGATAAGACGTATCAGGACTTAGGATGAAAAGAAGCGAGGTGCTCTGCATTTGGCAAGTAGCGGCCCTCTGGGTGATGGCAAGAGAGGTGGTTTGTGTTGCTAGGTGACGTACAAATGCTGCCAGGCCCGAATCAGCCTTTTTCCAGGTTGAGCCTAAGCAAATCCGGAAGAGTAAGAGTCGTCACGTAGGTCCATTGTGAGTCGACCATAAGTTCGATGGCAGCGATGTGGTTCATGTGAAGGAGAACAGCCCTGCTCATGGCGCGGCAGGCACTGAAGAGTTAAGCTCTGATGACTCGCAGCGAAGAAAGCGACCAAGTGGGTTTGGGGGGAGAAAAACTGGCCGGCCTGGGAGAAGGGGAAATGAAGAGAAAGAAATACTAGATAGATGTAGGACACCCATAGAGCTCGGTGGAAAGGGAGGACACAACGAACGACGACTTAACGGCACCTTATTACTGGCTGCATGGTGCTGTGTTGTCGCTGCACACGGGCCACTTTGATGCGTTGGCCAACTCATCATTGCAGCTTGCCCGCAAGCACGCTGCTGGTCCTGAGGCATGTAGCTGCGTGTTCCCTGTCATCCCAACAGGCTCACCCTGCTCACAATTTTCTTTCTTTTTCTCTTTTCCCTTTCTTTTTCTTTCTCGTGTGTTGGAACTCCCAATTCTTACCCGAAGCCCTCTCCTTGTGCTGGCCAATTTGCTCTGCAGGAGAAACAGTGGTTGAATTCGTGAGAGTTGCAGAATATCAAAGCCACGCGACGACCAAGGCTGACCCAAGGCGCTCGGCTGACGCCGCTGGGTCACCTCCATAATACCATTTCAGCTGAAGCTTCGTAGTGCGCAACTGTGTCACCTGTAAAGAGTCTGGCCCGCGTTAGTTTTTAGCACCCGAACTCATCCACACTGGATTCTGTGTACTCGATAACTTGGCCCATCCAACAGAGTGGCGGTGGATGGGGTGGCAGTGGGTGCAACAGTTTGCGATGGCGGAGGCAAGAGTGCATGCCGTTTGCGAATCCAGTTTATGGAGTACAATGCTGCCGAGGATATCGTAGAGGCTTAATGGCTTGAATCCAACATGTTGCTACGACCTGAACCTGGTCATGGTCAAGTACGCTCGCCGTCGTGACAGCATTGACTGGTCTCAAGACGGTCGCTGGTTGTGTTTCGCTGTCGCATGCTAGGTAAGACAGCAATAATGGGTGGTGATAATGCCAAAAAGGGCCATTATTCATTCTGGATAAAACGGAAGGGTTGTCCAAGGATTATTTCAAAGGGAATCGCCAAATCTACTACATTTGCCAACTCTTGTGAGGTCTGCAAGCCCAGAGGCAAAGGGCGCACGAAAGTGCTCCAAGGCGGGATCAAAGTGGTTCTTGCCTTATGTATGTATGTACATATTTCAAAGAGGAAGGAACTGGTTAAACTGTCCAAATACATAGGTACTTCGAAGCACGGGCAAAGGGGTCAATGTGACCCGCCAGAAAGATTAGAATCATGCTCATCTCATAGGTATTCGGCTTTTCTTTATCTTCTTCAATATTCCTGACCTTTGTTTAATACTAGTGATTATCTGGGAGCCTTTTGACGACGGAGTCCATTTCCCACTTTCTCGTGCTGTGTGCCCATGACAACCTTCAAACGCTCTTTCACCTCTATCAGTAAATAGCCGTGCTAGTCCCAATGCGTCGCCCCCACAATCAAACCAATCTAACGTGGGAAATGCGAGACTCTGGTTGAGGCAAACAGACACTTCGCTACGGTTTCACCATTAAATCGTGAATCCTGTCCTCAAACCTTGAACCCGTTTATCCGCCTACGTCACTCTTCCAGATGATTCCAAGTACGCGAACAGCACGAACAACACAGACTACGCCCTGTCATTGACAGGCTCCATCGCTGGGTGGGGGGATCGGGAAACGGCAGGCAGATAAACGTTTGCCTAGTTCTGCTCACCTGGGCAAGGAGGAGGGGGAGTCGATAGAATTAAACAATGAGGCATCGATCCTACCTGCAGCTCCATCAAGCTACTATAAATTGGCCATCAACCAGCCTCCGAATAATTTCACACTCCCCAACTTTGCCGCAGCGGACCAGGTTCATATCATCCTCAGCAGCCAGAATGAGCAACAGCAACACCATGCCAGGATTTAAGGGGGAACATAACGCATGGATTGGTGCTAAGGGCCCCGCCGCATTTGACTTGAGAAGTAAGAGGTGACAGCACTTGGTATATCAAGACCGCGACTGCGATTGGTATTCCGACGAGGCAATTGCTAACGCAAGAGTATTCAGGCGATGTAATGACAACACCAACACCGTCTATGCTTGCTGCCATCCAGTCATGTACATTGAGAGACGACGTCTTTCGAGAAGACAAGACCACAATGGAACTTGAAGCTCACGTTGCTGCGTTGTCGGGCAAGGAAGCCGGACTGTTCGTCCTATCAGGAACCATGGGCAATCAACTCGCCCTTAGGAGTCTTCTGGCTCAGCCACCATACTCCGTTCTATGCGATCATCGCTCGCATATTATTCAATACGAAGCCGGTGGGTAAGTAACCATCTCACACATCTCGTCTTTCTGTTTCACGGTTGCACCATGCTAATCTTGGTCACGATCCTCGCAGTGTGTCAACGCTTACTGGTGCTACCGTGATGGCAGTAGTTCCAAAAAACGGTGTCCACTTGACCCTTGAAGATATCAAGAAAAATGTTGTGCTCAGCGATGATGTGCATGCGTGTCCAACGCGAGTGATTAGTCTGGAGAATACTCTTAATGGCATGATCATGCCTCTGTCCGAGGTCAAGCGAATCTCCGATTTTGCAAGACAACATGGCATTAAAATGCACTGCGACGGCGCTCGCTTGTGGGAGGCTGTGGCAGCTGGTGCTGGCTCGTTGCCCGAGTTCTGTGCTCACTTTGACACAATTAGCTTGTGTTTCTCCAAGGGCCTCGGGGCACCGGTTGGAAGCCTTCTCGTTGGTTCCCAAGAGACTCTCAAGCACTCTCGGTGGGTTCGCAAATCCATTGGTGGTGGTATGAGGCAACCTGGATTTATCACGGCTTGTGCTAGAGTTGCCGTAGACGAAACGTTTGGCAAGAAGGCTGACGGCAGTGATGGTTGGCTCAAGGCGTCACACGATATGGCCAAGAAGGTTGAGGCCTTGTGGAGTGGCATGGGTGGCAAACTCGTTCATCCGGTGCACACAAACATGTGCTGGATTGATCTCGACTCGGCCAAGTGTAGCGACGACCGCTTCATTGAGCTGAGCCGGACTGCTGGTCTCACCGTATCCGGGGGCCGACTGGTGACGCATTACCAGATTGCTCAAAACGGAGACGATATTCTGCGAAAGCTGGGTGATGTTTTTCAGAAGGTGTTTGCAGAGCCGGAGGAAGTCTCATCAGGGGCAGGAGTCAAGAGTATGTACGAGAAGGCATAGTGGCCCCGTGACGATCAATCTGAGTGCTCTCCTTTCAGCTTCTGCCGTCTTTTCTCCTATGGTCCAAACGGGGGGTTTGCTTACTTTGCTACTTTTGTATTCAACGGCACCTCAGCAAATATAAGACATTTACAGGATCGATTTATTCGATACGTACTCTATGTACCGTGGGCGTGGCCCGGGTCGCGAGAGGCGAAGTGAGGGCAAAAGTGATGATGTGATGATACATCGTTCCTATCCACGACCCGCGCGTATTGCTCCTTCCGTGTGTACAACTTATGGTTCGCCTTCCCTGCTTTCGCATTCAGACACGTGCTGTTAGCTACAGAAATCGAATCGAGCTCTTGCCTTTCCCCCTCTACTAGCGAATACGATTCCTTTCCACACGCACGTCATTTAGCTGCTTTGTCGCATCCTGTCATCTTACTGCCGATCCTTTCCAGAGATGACATATTCGAGAGTCTATTTCTGCAGAGCCTCTACAAAAAGAACATCTTGCGGTCTTTTATACTCTCCCCTAAGCACTGGACTGTTTTCCATCCCGGCTCTCCTAAGACCCGGCATCTGACCAACACGTCACATCTAGAACGAAGCCGAAGCTCGCCGACAGCAGGCACGATAGCGACACTCGTTGTGGTGGCCTCATTCTGACTGATTCAAAATGCCACGTCACTATTTTCGGGGCATGGTACCGTGGTTTGTACTGGGCTTTTTTATCTCAACTGCCATTTCGCAATCATATAATTTTGGCACAAACACATCCAAACTTACCCGCCGAGATGACTCCAAAGGGCCAGTTGTTATTGGCCGCCTACCGATTCCGGCAAACAGCACAACTCCTTTACGTTTAGAAATACGCCAATTGAGAGACAATAAATACGCATGGGATCTTTATATTCTTGCTTTGAGCATGTTTCAGTACGCCGACCAAGACGATCCCCTATCCTGGTATCAAATTGCTGGCAAGTCTTTTGAAAAAATACCATATATATGCCTTGGATCTTGCTGACGGATAATTGTAGGCATTCATGGTGTTCCGTTTACAACATGGAACGGGGTCGAGCCTCTCCCTGGGACCGATCAGTCTGGTTATTGCACGCATAGCTCGGTATTATTTCCCATGTGGCATCGACCGTACCTGGCCCTATTCGAGGTAAGACTTGGGTCCCAAACCCAGAGGCCCAGCAAGGTATCACGGCACATTGACGCTTTCAACTAGCAACAAATGCATAAGATGGTCAATGCAATTGCCTTCATGTTTACGAATGCCACAGAACGGCGGCTATACCAGCGAGCAGCTTCCACCTTTAGAACTCCATACTGGGACTGGTCTCTACCAGCACCAAGTGGCGAGACCCATCTTCCTGATGTCTTCTGGAGCCCTATTATACTACAATATGGTCCTAATGGCTTGCAAAATATTCGGAACCCTTTGTATTCGTACGAATTTCACCCGCTGGATAAAGAAGCTATGATATGGAACCCAGCAAGTAAAACTCCATGGCAACTGAGGTTTTCTAACTAACTCCTAAACAGTTAAAGCAATGGAACGAAACGAAACGCGCCCCAAATACCACACTCAGTCTCACTTCACCACCGTCAAATAATGAGGAAGTAAACAAGGCTTTGTTGTCCAAGCTACCAGAACTTCAACAAAGGCTATACATTCTATTCTCCAGCTACCATGAATTCAACTCATTCAGCAACAAAGCCTGGGCTGTTTCCCAAGGACTTTCCGCGTTGGACTCCATCGAGTCTGTTCACGACGTTATTCATATGTATGGAGGTTCCAAGGGTCACTTGACCTATGTCCCTCTTTCTTCATTTGATCCCCTCTTCTTTCTGCATCACACCATGACTGACCGATTGATAACCATGTGGCAAATACTAAACCCGTCATCTTGGATTACTCCCATGTCTGCAGGAGAAACTAGCTTTACTGCTTTGAAAGGGACCATGCAATCATCTGAGTCGGCTCTGACTCCCTTCTTTGCCACGGATGACGGAAAGTTCTGGAACTCAGATATGGCCAGGACTACAATTGCATTCGGATATTCTTATGCTGACACCATGGCGAAAACGGGATATAATGAAGACCTACGTGAGGCACTAGTCAAGAAGATAAACATTTGGTACGGTTCTTCTAGCCCTGTCGGGTTAATGGAGAACAAAGCTGGCTCCAGATGGAGCAGTCCTGAAACAAAGAAGCCAGCGAATGCTGGTCATGGACGGTCTAGCTTCAGACCCAACATCAAGTATGACGCAGAAGATCCCCACGCGTCGAGCATCTTCAAGGGAAATCACTACACCGAATGGGTCGCAAATGTCGAAGTCAATGTCGAAGCTCTAGATGGCTCATTCGTCGTCCACTTCTTCTTCGGTCTGCCACCACAGGATGAAGACAACTGGCACCTGGCGCCAAATCTTGCAGGCACGGTGGCCATTTTCGCCATGAACCGAATGACGGGGTCCGAATCCAAAATATCTGGGGCAATACCCTTGACGTCAGCAATTATAAAGATGGTGGCAGCAGGAGAGGTTAACGACTTGACGCCGCAAGAGGTTCAACCATTTCTTACAGATGTTCTCTACTTTGCCGTACAATCCAGCAACAACTCCCAGGTCGATCCCAGGCAAGTGGATGGGCTTAATATTTTAGTCGCAAGTTCAAATGTCAAGATACCCAGGACACAGTCCGAGTTACCAGAATGGGGCTCGTCTGTAACCAGGCTGAGACTCTGGCCCTTGAACAGCCCAAATTAGTGTCCTAATTAGTCGTGGTCATTGTTGGGGGACGGGGACCCTCGCGCAACTATTACGATTTTAGAATTGTCATATGTTTTTACTTTCTATCAGATTAGAAGAAAAGAAAGGACTTTATTTCAAGTGTTTATTATTTTATTTTGATGGCAAATGATAGTACAAGCATGGCACGAGTATCATGCAAGCATAACATGTAAAAATAATACACCGTCTACGCATTAGACACGGATCAATGATGCCTGATACAAGTTACAGCAGTACATATTGTGAGCAGTACGAGCCCTAATGTATGTACGCCCACCCCACCTACTTACTGTACGCATCCAGCTGAAATGGCTGTCTGGTGGTAACGGAATAATATACTACGTAGTACCAGCTGACGTACTTTACGTATGCCGGTGACTCACTTTAAAAACTTGAAATGGCCACACACAACGTATATCAACGAGGTCTGTTGACCCTTTTCATCTCGCTCTCCAACTCATAAGGTGGTTTGGGGCAACCCCGCACACTACTTAAGTATGAACAATGTCACGTGGGGAGAGGGTTTCCCGACCATATCCCCTGCACTTCGCACAGCGAGGAAACAGACAAGTTTTAGCTCGTACAATACACTCAACCTACCTTGGCTACCTGGCTTCTATCTTCTCTTTTCGTCTTACACTTGCTGACATGGGCCACAGAAGTTAAACCTCACAATCACATGACTGCACCCAAACGTGGCAAGAAGCCTAACGCAAGTAAGTAGCCTGTGGCAAAGCCTCAGCGATCAAAGCTAACGAGGCCAAAAGGGCAAAAAAGATGCCACAGCCGATATTAACAGGGATGCTCTATATAGCAGAATAAAGGCACCTCTTGAAGCAAGGAAGTCTGATTCCAGGGAAAGCAGGGGTTGGTTCGTTCCCTGGAATCAGGATTTTTGGCTTTTAGGGCTTCCTTTGCTCTGCTATAGGGGGCATCCTTAATTAAGTAATGCCTGGCCCTTTATAGGAAAAAAGAGGCCAGTTCAAAGGGGAAAGTTCTAATTTTGGGAAGGAAGTCGAGATGATTAATTAACAAGGCACTTGAAGATGTGGAAAAGCAAGCGGACATGTTTTTCATATCTCGAAAGGACTAGACTTTATTTAACATGATTTAACACATGATTTTCATGTTGACCGGATCGCCTTTCCCTCGCTTCTCACAACCTCATTTCAGACAAGTTGCAACAGATTCGGGCCGTGCCAAAAGTTGTCTCCGATTCTTGTATAAAATATACACAATGGGATCAACTGGAAAGGAAGGACAGCGGATAGTGTGCCAAGTCGTGCAGGGAATAGGGAATTTGGTTTGGCCCTGTGACGAGGGCTAAAGGCTTGGAGCATCACGACTCAATTCATCTAATAATAGTCCTTGGCATCAAAGGTCCTTGGTCTTCCTCAAGACCTAGTTGACCAAAGAGCTCTTTCGATACAACAAGTCGGTCAGAGTATTCTGCCCTGGGTCCCGTGATTGTAGCCCTCGTGTAACCCCGGATGACGGGCCTGTACATACGTATGTACGTGCAGACGCATATGTCACGGCAAGAAGTCGAGATTTGCTGACAACCATGACGGCTGAAACATCTATGTAGGGTACAGTTTCTAAGAATAGCTACTTAGGTCCTGCCGAGACAATGTATGCGCTCGGAAGCGGTTTGTTTGTCTCTCTGGCCAGATATGAGACCGACAGCCCGGGCCTGCGCAAGAAACTACCGCCCCTCTCAAGTTTGCGACATGCAGCGGCGCGGAGGGTAAGGAGTCTAAGCACGGACTGACTGGTCCAGGGGAACAGGAACTGGTCAAAATCTCGGAGCGCATTCAACATTGGTTGGACGGGTCTTGGTCCGGTTGCAGTGATGTCTGAGGCATTGGAGTTGGGCCGTGAGTAAAGGAGGCCCCGGGCGTCCGTCATTGTCATTGCCAACATGACAAGGAACTTGGAGAGACTAGTAGTTAGCTAGACACAAAACCACGACGACTCGGCCGAGAAGCTATCCAGGTTAGTGTCTGCCCCGGACTTTATGCCCGGCCCTCTAGTCGCTCCTAGTGCAAGGTTTGCGTAGCATTGCGCTTTCTTCCCCGCGGGGCGGTGCTTCTCTGCTCCTAGTTGCCGTCGTGGGAGATTGTCCGGCGGGTGCAAATCCCCCGTTTGTGCCTGAGATGGCGGGGATGGCTAGTGACTGGGCGATGGGCGCCGGGGAGCGGACGAGGGTTGGTTGGCATGCTGGCGAGGGAGCAGTGAGTGGCTGCAAGGGGGGCGGCCTCGTTTTGTGGTGTTGGTGTTTTATAGGAACAAGGTTGTTTCTCGTTGTGGTAGTGGTGGATGGACGTGGCAGACGGTTGTGCCACGGGCTCACACTTTGAAATACGAGTAGGAGGCCCGTCATGGCAGGATCGGTTTGATATCGGATGCGCATTTCACGTGTTTGTTGTATAATAAATGGCACTTCTGGCGAGGCTCTACGCTGAGCTGGGAGCACGGCCAGACGTGGTTTGCGAGCACGAGCGCCTTGTATAAGACGGCGCGTACGGCCGTATGATATGGCTTTCTATACGTGCATGTAGCCAAGTAAACCGCCGCGTGAGCATGTCAGCCACTATAAACCTTTCCGCCGAGCGTCGTCTTTGCGCGGACGCGAGTTGGCAGGTGAGTACTATGTTCCGCGCCGACATGGAGGCAGTTTCTCGAACAAGAGAGTGGGAATGTCGTCCATTTAGACTAGCTCGACATCTGGATCGACTAGTTCCAAGCCTGCGTCCCTAGTTGTGCTACCGTGGTTCCTTGTGCGACGTGGCCCGGCAGGAATCACGCCATGCTTTGTAGACCGGGGTGTTGGCGATGATATATGTGCCTACTCGGTCGCCTTGGCGCCTCTATTCATGCCGTCGGTAATGAATGGAGTAAACAGTACAAGATGGACATGGAATACGGAGTGCATAGCAATGGTGGTGGGTGAGAGGGTGTTTCTCAACGGGTTGGACGGTCGTGTTTACCAACATGACATGGGTTGCCAGGGTCATGTACAGACTACAATGGCCGGGCTGTCGGGGATATATTTAGACACGAAAGAGGCTCTAGACTGATTCGGAGAAAGCGAATGTATAGAGCACAACTAGCATAAGGAGAGAAAACATGCCGCCGCAAAGGGCCAAGTCGTCAGGCGGCCAGCACATACATATGTACATATACGAACCCCCAGCGGAAAGAGCGCCGGGATGCCCTTTTCCCTCTCAAGCGCTGTTTTGCAGTATTCCACACCCCTAAACTACTTGACGTAAGTATGTAAACTATCCAGGTACATGGGCAATCGCTCGCAAAGGGAGTCGCCGGCGGCCAGTCCAAGCCATGGCACCACGGCACCGTTTCCAACATTGGCAACGCCGAGCGACACCGTCATGGCAAGCACATGAGAAAGTAGCACAGCCCGGCCCCCAACACGATGAGAATCGACCAAGAGCCGGGCGCGCACCGCATCGGCAATGGGCGACGCAGGACACACACAGCCACGAGGGCTGCCAAAAGACGCGGCAGCACGCCCCCTTTCGTGCACGTCACCAGAAAACCTACATACATACATACGTGTACTGGGCGATTCCGGCATCACGATGCAACGGAAGACGTGGGGGGCGGCCCCCGTCTGCAACCTTTCTGCCGCTCCAAACAAGATTTATGCAGTTGATGGACATGTAGTAAGAAGTACGTATGTAGAAGTAGTAGCCGGCCAACACGCCCATGTCGAGCCGTTTCGGACACGGGCTTCTCTGTTCGCTCGGCCCTGCAGACAACGGCATGTGCGTCATGTGAGGCATGGGCGTGGTTGGGCCCTCGAAGGGGGTTTCATCGCCGGCTGAGACCCTTGCCCGCCGGCGATTCGCCTGCCACGGCCACCCTGCCCGCCCGAGAGACAGCAGAAGTCTAATTTGATGGGCCGCATGCCAAGGGAGGAGGGGAGGGGGAAAAGGGTGGTGACAGGGTGACAGGGTCGCCAAGGGGGAGTTGTGCTCTGCGGTCCCGACGATGCGGAATCAGCAGCACCCGAGCTGTGCCTGAGAGCCCATCGGGGTCTGTGAGCACATACCAGTGGACATTTTATGTATGTACGCGAGTCCTCGTCATGACAGCTACGGGACGCATCGAGCAATCGACGCCTTCCATGACGGCGACGCCTCGTCCGGTGGCGCCCCCGGGGAAAAGACAATGTCCAGCCCGGCCCTCTCTGCTGCGATGCTCACGCCTTTCCAAGGGGACTGGCGCGTATTGGGGCACCGTGGTGATTTGAGCTTTCTCGAGTCGTCCGGCCAAAGAAAGGCCAACACACGATGCAGCCGTCAGCCACGACGATCCCCCCCCTCGTGGCCGGTTGGCTTCTGGCTTCCACGTTTCTCGGCCGCGCCCTCCGCCAAAGCACATGGGGCCAGGCTCTTCATTTTAATCCATTTGCTTGGCACGAGGGAGGGAGGGGGGGTGGTGGTGGGCAGAGGAGGAGACGGCCAAACCGGCGGGACCTTAATAATGCAACACATGTTTATACAGCGGCTTGCCGTGCGAGTCCGCGGCTCCCCAAGGTGTCCCGCGGTTAATGCGAGAGAGAGGGCGAGACGAGGACACCGTTTTTTCCGTCTCCATACGCCGCAGCCTCCGGCCAAGGAAAAAAAAAAGACCTACTTAATAGATGGATCGAATGCCCTCCCTCGGGCCCCCTCCTCTTTTTTCTTGGTTCTTGTTCGCCTGACATGGCTGTGTGTTTCTCGGTTCCGTTGTATGCGCCTTCCCTTTTACTCGTCTCTTTGTGATAAAGCGGCGTGTTGTTACAGGTGCTCTTTGATTCTAGTTGGCGCCGACGTAGCGTCGGCTTGTGGCTTGGGCGGGATACAAGGCGGGATAGAACGCGACAGGCAGCAGAATCAAGGAAAGGAGAAGAAGAAAAACGAAGGGGCCGGGACAAGACAACTCGAGTCGTGTATACGGTTGATAGAGGAGAGACGGCAGGGAAGAGACAGAGAGGGAGGGAATAAGACACGGCCCACGCCATGGCAACAACCACGACGGTAGTCGAGAAGCCGGGAGGCGGCGGCGCGACAGACTCGTCGCCGCCTGAAGACACGCCCGCGTCGTCGTCGACGCCCTCGCCCTCGATCCCCGCGGTCGCGCCGCCGTGGCAGCTCACGGGCGACGTCTACTTCTTCTCGTGGTGGTCGCGGTCGTCGCAGCTGCCGGCGCACGCGTACTCGCCGCTCGAGGCCGGGTCCGAGTTTGCGGCGGCGGCGTCGGGGCGGCCGGTGGGCGGGCTGGGCATGATCCAGATCCTGCGCTATCGCGACTCGCCCGTCGGTCCGTACGACGAGATGCTGGTGGTGCCGGGCTCGTTCGACTGGTCCCGAGACACGTCGGATGGGCGGCCGGCCGGGGTGGGGCGCAACCCGCGCATCTCGCGCATCTACGTTTCGCAGGAGCGCTCGTGCTACAACGGGCGGCTGAGTGAGTGCCTTCCCTGCCGCGGACTGACGCATCACCGCTCACTGACTTGTCACTTGCTCACTCACTTCTCACTCACTTTACCTTGACTCTTCACCTCACTCAACTCACTCACTCACTCACTCACTCACCCAACTCATTCACTTTACCTCACCCAACTCCACCCTCACAACCTCTCCCACTCATACTCATACTCATACTCACCCGCCTCGCAGACTGGAACACCCCCAAACACCTCGCCCGCTTCGACTGGCACTTTGGCCCCGGCGGCGCCGTCACCGTCAAGGTCTACCCCCACGACACCCACGGCGACGCCTCCGAGGCCCAGCCCAGCGCCGTCCCCTTCTTCCAGGCCACCTGGGCGCCCATCCGCTTCGTGCCGGCCTTCCCCTTCGCCACCGGCTGGGTCAACCGCCTCGGCCTCGACACCACGCTCGTCATGCCGCCGCTGCCCCGGGGCCGAGGCAGCCGCGGCGAGCTCCCCGGCACCGACGCCTGGTGCTCGCTCGCCCCGAACCAGTACAGCCGCCGCACCCGCCTCGGCTGGTTCGACATTGCCCAGCCCGAGGCCGCCGCCGCCGCCGACGATGACGCCGACACGGCACCCGAGCACCACCCCAACTTCTGGCCCGGCCTGCGCCGCTGGCAGCTCGGCCTCAAGATGGAGAATGCCGACCTGCGCTTCGACCTGCCCATTGACGTGTGGCGCCCGCAGAGGGCGAACCTGTAGCTGTGTGCGTGCCCTTTTCGTTGCCTTGCCATGATGGCATGTCACTCACCATGGTCCACGACTTGACTCGGCTTGGCTTGGCTTGGCTTTTTGCCTTGACTATCTATTTATTGGCTGCTTCTTTCTTTCTTTCCTTTTCTTTTCTTTTTTTTCTTTTTTTTTAATGCACTCGGCATACATGTGCTTGAATTGGCATTCACGCGTACGCCTTTACGTCTTGTTTTCTACGCACGACCCTTGTTGTGCGTTTCGTCGTATATACTTGTTTTTTTTTTTTTTTGCATGTGCCACATTAGCGCGGGGGCCATTGTCTTTTTTTATATACAGATTTTGCAATTGTAAGCGTCATGTTCCCGTGCTGCCTGCTCATCTAGAGATGTGGGTTTTCAAATAGTTTCGAGACTTGATACACGAGCTTGTTATTTATTCTTGGTCCTGGATAGCTTGGCCGCATCTGTTGCACATACAAGTCGTGCTGGCTACATTTACTACAGATACAAGTTCGTTGGGACACTCAAAAACTAGACTATTATTCATTGATCCCACTTCTCTCGACATTACTACATCGACCCATCATCATGCCAACAAGTCCTAGTGTAGAGAGAGACCTTGTGAATTGCAGCATCATTCACCCTCAATCACCCACCAGACCCGCGCGGCTTGGCTACATCCTGCCAGAGGATAATAGAGCCTTCGTTTGCCGACTGTACAACATCTAGGCAGCCCATCATTCACCCTTGGTCCCTACACGTCAACTACATCCGCCACGGAGAATGATACAACCCTCACTCCAGCAACTCTACATTTCTCCCTGGCGACATGGTTGCCTCCGCCCAGAACCACCGTTACTTCGCAATCCCACGACTGTCGGCGCATTCCAAACGTCAATCTGCTCACATCATGTATTTGCACTCCCTTCAAAACACCTCGTCACTTCTATTTTTAATTCGTTTGGCATCCCCCCTCACCGTCCATGAATGCGATAAAAGCACAATGATACAAAAAAAAATTACCCTGCCCTCCGACCCCAACATCCTCACGACCAAAAGACAAACACCATACGCCTGTCCTATGTGAATGCATCCCATCCTTCCGCCCGCCCCTTTCCCATGCCACATGCCGTGAGCTATGCCCCGCCCCATATCTAACCAGGCATATAACGCGAAATCTACAGCCTTTGATTCATGTCATCTCGGCCGTCTCCTTCCCCTTTCATTATCATCTCGCACATGGCTCGTTGCATCAGAAAACATGCAAGTGCGCTGGCAACCCTGATTTCGAAGAAGAAAAAAACCTGGCATGCTGTGTAGCTACGTTCCAAGGTTTATATGCTCTTATTTTTCAATTTCCACCTGTTCAGTCCGTGGTGTTTCATCGTATCCATGCACGCCGGCGGAGGTTCGCCCGTTTCTCGCCCTCGCCACCTACTGAAGTAGTATCGAGGATCCCTTGAGTGGCCCCCTTGGCGCGGCGCTGCAGCTTGGACCCGTGCATACCACCACCCAGCTACAGCAACTCGCTTCTCTTTCCCCGTCTTGCGTCTCGTAGTCTTTGATCCTTCCAGCGCTCCTATGCTCCTGGCGCCGACTTTTGGGCCATGACTTCACGAGCATAAAACTCGACGAGCATGGTAGCGTAGGCTTCCAGATCTTCGACGGGGACAGCGAGGCGAAAGTCGTTGAGGACGAGGAACTGGATTTCCAGGTGGTTCAGCTCGGCAAGCGGGAGACCTCCAACCTAAAAGACAATGTCAGTAAAATGTTGATACTCTTTGGGGAAAGGCACCCTATGCAGAGAGATCATGTATGTACCTTGGCATATCGAGAGTTGGTGTAAAAGACGTCAGAGAAGAACTTGCTGGCGCACGTCACCCCGGAAATAATCAATCTGTGGATATTAAAACTGTCCACTACAAAGTATGTTGCCGGGTTAACTGCGACTCGGTCATCGAATTCCGTGGCAGGCTGTCCGGATTCGTTGCGTCCACCTGCCGCTGTAGGAGAGTCTACCATTTCGTCATCGTTGTCGTCTTCGTCTGCCAAGTCTGAATCGCTTTCATCCGACTCATGGGCATGTTCGTGCATGGTCGCGTCTCCCCGAGATGCCCCCGACGGTGCAGGGTGCGAATATGACGCAGCCCGCGTTCGGGATTGCTCGCTATGCATGACAATTTCGTTCACTCGCTCCGTCATGCGGTCAAAGTAGACTAGCAAGCTAAGAAACACTTCGTAGGTTGTGGGACAGTACTTGTGTATGCGCGAGAGGTAGCTCAAGATGGTAATTGCAGGCACGTTTTTGCCGTGGAAAGCCAAGACGGAATGGCTCAGAGGGCTCATGTGAGACCCAGAGTCGTTTGACTGACTGGCTTGCTGCTGATGGGCCACGTTTCGCTGCATGGCATCGTGCTGCAAATCGTTCGTAGTGGTGATCTTGGTGAGCAGGGCAGCCACCATTTCGATTATGTCAGCGATAGGCATTCCGCTGATTTCATATTTGATCTGGGTGTTTGGGTCCAAGGACGCGGAGCTACTCCCTCCAAGCATCTTGGCGTCTGCGAGGCTTTGCATGTGCGCCAAATCCCGGAGGTGGACAACCGTCTGCTGGCTCTCCTGGGAGGTCTGTTGGGTAGAGCTCGGCTCGACATGGCTAAACGACGAGGATGTCAAGGACGAGTCGGGTATATGGAAGCCCTGGCTGGGTGGTGGTGATGGTTGCTGGTGCCGTCCAACCGAGGTCGTCAGGCCCGGGGCACTATGCAGACATGGGTGGGCTGCAGAGACGATGTCTCCGGTACGTGATGCCATCGAGACTTCCTTTGCATCGTCGACCGGCGTGGCACCACTGGCGACCGGGGGTGACGAGGACGGCGGCGGAGAGGGGAACTTGGAAGAGGCACCCTCTGCCAGCGCTGTGCCGTCGGTAGCGGCTGCGGCTGCGGCTGCGGCAGACTTTCGCGCCCTCTGCTCCGTCGTGGGGGACCGCGTCGCAGCGGCGGGCGAATTGCGTCTGTCGGAAGCCGTGTGCTCAATGTCGTCACGTCGCTGGGATCGTGGTGTCGAGACGGAAGCGCGTGGTCGGCTCGAGGAGCGGCGGGGCGGCGAGTCTTGAGCCTGCGTTCGGGAGTGGGAGCGTTGGCGCTGAGGTGGGGATTGATGTTGTTGGCGTTGGTTCTGCCGCGAAGACGGGTTGACAATCATATCATGAAATCGAGACAGATCAGGTACCAAGTCACCGATTAGAGCGGCCATTGCATCATAACGACAGCTGAGGCGATGGTGAGGCGACGCCGGGCTGGGCGACGCGAGAGGGCGAGCGTCCGAGGGTGTGTGTGCGGGCGGTGGCACGAATAGTAATTACGACGTAGGCGTTGGGCAATGGATGGGCTGCAAGGAGGAGCACAATGCATTAGCGGAAGAATGAACCGACCAAGGGCAACAAAATACGCAAGGGCAAAAGAAAAGTCATAAACAGTCGTCAGGTACAGCGAGCGAAGGCATGGGCAAAAGGCCGTGGCGAGGACGAAGACGGACGACGAGATGGATCAGGGTCGTAATAGGATGGACGCCAAAACAAGAGGAGAAATTCCATCAGACGAGACGACAGGCCGCACGTTGCTTGGCTGCTCTGTTCCAGGCCCAGGTGGATGAGCGCCGCCAACGAGTGGATTGGGCTCGTTGGAGCTGCCGCTGGAGCACGTCAAGTCGTCGTCTTGTCGTGGCCGTGGCGAATGACGCGGGCGCTGGCGACGAGGGACCGGCCCAGGGATGGACAAGGGTTAATTAAACCCCAACTCCGGGACTCGCTCGACCCGATGAACACACAATGCCGACGACACTGGACGCCCACGACTCGCAACTTGATCGTGTATCGGTGCTTGACCACTTGATCAGCCAGCCCCTCCAACACCCGCGTATAAAGTCGCATCGACCGGCCGTGCATCGGCATGGCAGCGAGCTGAGTCTGGCGTGCGATTGTCGCACAAGCCCGTCGTATTGCAGGCCCATGGCTTCCTTTCCGTTGCACGTCGGCCCAGCGCAAGACGGGCTGGTCGGTCGGCCTTGCACGGAGCACTCAACCCCATGAGGCCGCTCATCGCATGCCGCATCTCGCAGCGACGTCATACCTGCAGCGTCCAAGACGAGAACAAGGTATAAAAAGGGCGCCTCTCCTTCTGAGAAATGCCCTGCCCGCAAAACAAGTATGTAGAGTCTGGTGCAGATTGCTGCACCCGACTTTCCTGGTGGTTCATAGCCGCAACTTTGCAGCTACCAACACAAAGCCGACGAGCGAGCGAGAGGTGTTCCATCAATGAATGCATCAAAAAAAGTTCAACCAACTACTAGAAAATCAACAAACTCAAATACCAAATATAAAACTCACCTCTGCAACAACAGGTTGCGTCCGTAGCAAAATCGCAAGTCGCAGAATCGTGCGACGGGGTATATTCGAGGTCAACTGAATTTCTCGCGACGAGCCAAAAACACGAAAAAAGGCCGGATAGCGTCTGCAGTCGACCCAAAGTCAAGAAAAGACACCCAACGCTCGCCAACCTCGGTGCTGATGAGGGCGGGGAGGGAAATTCAATCGTCGCTTGGTGAATCAGATAAAACAAGTGTCTATTTTAGCCGGGTGGGTGGTATAACGAAACAAACAAGCCCAAGTGTCGTCGTAAGAGGAGGGAGATGATGTGCTCCACGAGACGGCCCCCGGAGTGACGCAGTTGAGTGGCGAAAAGGCCACTCGCGAGTCGTTGCCACAGTAGGGAAGGAGCGAGCCAACCACGTGCCGCTATGATACAATGTATTTGATGTTCTTTATCGAGCAGACTTGAGGGGGCCCGACTCCAAGCCTGGGTCGAAAGAAAATAAAGAATAAAGGGTTTTAAAGAGGAGGAGGAGAAGAAGAAATAAAGGTTAAAGGTATGTAAAACGTAGGAGGTAAAACGTAGGAGGTAAAACGTAGGAGGGCCGCAGTGCAAGACAGATGCAGGTACTCGGCAGGTGGTGATAAGGTTTTTATTTTAGGCTTGTTGGCGAGCGCGAGGACGGAAACGGGAGTCTTGTTCACCCCCTGGCGGCGTAGTTGCGCAGCGCAAATTCAGACCTCGGGACGCCCACAACAAAGTCACGATGGACACTATCTTGAATAGGAGAGACGAAGAATAGCAAAAGAGCGAGGGAAAATAAGATAGCGGGCAGAGGACGGCGGGAACAGAGGGCCGTGAGTTACAACAAGACGGCCAAATCTGCCAGACGAGTCGTGGACGGGGGGTGCGCATCGGGCGGGCATTGATTCGTCCACGGCGTGTCCGGGAAGGGAAGGGACGAGGAGCAGGTACAAGGTGTTTGGGCGGGCGCCGCACCACGGGGGCAAGTAGTACAATCGCAGCCAAGGCTTGCCGCACGTGGGGTGGCCTACCCGTCGTCGCCCGTGGCGCGCCGAGGCAAGGAACCCTCGACGCAGTTCGCATGTCAAGCTTCGATGTTCCCCTGATGAGCTGCTGCTGCAGTCATGCGCCCAGTTTCTCCTCGTCCTTTCTGTTTCAGATTGTTCGAGAAACGCAATAAATGCTCCTGTGGTACGGGGCACAAGGGCTTCCATCCCAGCCGTTTCCGTATATATTGAAACACGTCATCGTTGTAGCATGTCGGCCAGTCTTCTTTTTTTTTCCCAACCAAGCTGTCATCCAGCTTGCCCGCCTCCGCTGCCGTCAAGATTTGCGTCAGACTCCTCCTTCCCTCCACTTTCTCCTCTCCAAATACCCCGTTTTCCTTTGTCCCTGGGAGCTGGCTCCGTAGCCATGACGCCGTCCGTCTTCAGCCCTGCTGAGCTACCCGCCATGCAGTTCAGCTCTAATTTACCCAAGTATGAAATCAATGAGGCCCCTTTGCCAGCCGGGAGAACCAAGTTGTGTCGGTCAAGAATACTACCAATTTTCCACGTTGCCTTCCTTCAATGGCACGTATGTACATAGTTATTGTGCTAGTCGATAGCCCCCATGCATATTGCCCGGACCAGCAAAAGTGGCAATCTCAACCATCAACCGTCTCCTCCAACCCGTGTACTCGGTCCTCTTTAACCCACCTTGCCCTAGATGAATGTGCCGGTGTGTTTTACATATATTAGTGTAGCATGTGCAGCACAGATGCAATCCAGCCCCGTGGTCACAGCCAGCACGCCCCTGTCCCACCCTCTTGCACCTCATCCCGAACACTGCTACCACCAACCCATTTCCTTTCCACGGGGGCCAAAGGGTTGATAATAATTTGACGGCATTTCTGTCAGTTTGGAGAATTTTTTTCGCCCCCATCCGTGTGTCCTGTGCTATCTTTATTGTCTATGTATGCTCGGTGGCTCACCGCCTGTCCGTGTATAAGTTCGCCTGCACATCAATGACTCTCATTGCTCACGTGTAGAGATGACCCTTTCCCCACGATAAGTCCCGTGAGTGTTTAACACTGTGTTTTTTTTTAGTTTGTATTTATTTTATTTTATTTTTCTAAAAATTGAAACCCCGTTGCCTCAACATATACATACATGCCTAAGTACGTTTCCACATCGTTTCCACCTCGTATCTCGAATATCCTTACCCCTTCTGGTACGATCAACCACCTCCCTCTTCCCATCTTCACCGCTTCTCGGCATCTCAGTCCTCGGTCTTGTTTATCTTGTCCAAGCTGGCATGTTGTATTCCCCGTCCCTGCCGACCCACGGCCCGTTCCCGTACCTCCAAGTCACAAGCCCTCCCTCCCGTGCATAGGCTCGCGTGTTTTTGATCCCGTACACAAGAATTCGCATTTGATCCCGTGTTCGTTATTCTACTTATTATACAGAAGCGCCAAACCTGTCTATGATAGGCTCAAATCACCATCATCTGAGCTTGCTTCCAAGTTCCAAATCCCTACCCTCCGGGAGGCATCTACCGGATGTCAGTCTCTCCCCCCTTCTTTCATCTCTCCCTTCCCCCCCCTACTCGTGTCGTACCTTGTAGTCAGTATCAGGCAAATACAAGTGTCGGTCAGCACCCTCCTTAGTCAAAACCACCATGCGAATGACACCGCCTGAGCTTCCATCCCATTTGATCGCCTCCCTCAGAGCTCCCTTGACGAAATTAACAGCCTCCTCCTTCTCCATGCCTTCTTTCCAGTTTGCATCGCAGTAGCCATAGATGTATGTGGAACCGGAACCACCGATCGCATACGCCTGCTTGTGCAGTGAACCGCCCAAAGGAATCGAGTACACCTGGCCACCGAATCGCTCGTCCCAACCGGCGATGATCAGACCAGCCCTGTTCAGAAAATCGTCAATAAGTTCCAAGAATCCCAATAGTCATGTGTCCTCGTGATGACCTACGATAAACGGTCCTTGTTGGAGTAGCAAATCTCCTGAAAGATTGACGCGGCAGTTTGTGTCATGGGAGGCTTGCCGCTGTGCATGGCAAACAAACCCAGCTGGTACTGAACAATGTCGGCGACGGCCTGCGTGTCGGCCGCTGAGCCAGATCGGCAACACCAGATGGTATCGTGTACTCTGGTCAGTTTATCAGTGACTCGGTTTGCAATGTACGCTCCCGTCGTGGTTCGAGAATCGGCGCCTGCAAGAGTCAGTCGATGCGTTTGCCAATAGATTGAGGAATCATTTGGACATACCCAGGATAACACCATCTTTAAATGTGACAGCCATGCTATGCCATGTTAGATCGCTCGACCCTAGGAATCCGAGGATGCGTATTCGTACATTGAGGTTCCCAAGCTGAAGTGGCGTTAGATAAGACTCTGGAATAAAGTTGAACCATTTAACAAGAGACACTCACTTCACTTCTCCCTTCTTGAGACGGTCCATGTCGACGTGGATGCCATCTATCCCATCGCATCAGCATCATGGTGTTGTTCGTTGGCAAGGTTGCTTCGCTGTGCAGCTCCGTTTGCACGGCTCACCTTCATTCAATACACCCTTGTGGCCGAACTCCATGATTCGCAATTCTTTCAATGCAAGCTTGATGTTCTTTCCGGTTCGTAATGGCTCTGATGAGGGATTGAAGAGAAAAGGTCTCAGCGTTGCGTCGTCAATGATTGATCACAGCAGGGCTAGAGCTAAGACGTAGCTCAGGCAGCTCTGGGAACGCGCAGCCGTGACAGCCAGTGACTTTAGCGCACATGACATATCACGTGACCGCAATGAATGGTCAAATGGTCCATGTTTTGGTTATCCTCGCAGAATCACAACAACAGAGCCAGCAACATGCGTTAACTTGAGTACTAATAAACAATACGTTGAGAATGCATTCTATATGCTTCGCTGCAAGGTCTGTTCCTGTCAAACCTTGGTCCTCGTATCACATGCAGAGCAGAACCAAGAACTAACCATGAAAACAATCGCTATTTCGCTATAGTATTCCAAAAGACAGCAGCGCCAGAGAACAAAATCCCAATCAACCCATGCTCCGAATTCTATAATCCCTCAATAGCCTTGCTCCACTGCTTATCCAATCCACCCAGCCCCGGAATAGTGGCATCACCACCTTCGTCCCTGGTCACCTTCTGCTTCTTGTCCTCCTCCTCGCCCTTGTCTGCCTCTTTCTTGTCTGCCTCTTTCTTATCTGTCTCTTTCTTATCTGTCTCTTTCTTGTCGTCGCCGCAGCCGCAGTCGTAAAAGTCTCCAATTTTGGTACAATCGAACGTTGGCTTCTCGAGCCTCTTGTTTACCATGTTATGCAGCGCACACAGCCAGCCTGCGGCTGCGTTACGACTGCTCGTCTGCGGTGGGTACTTGTCCAGCATCCCGCGAAAGTGACGAGCGCAGTCGCCGCAAGGGTACAGTCGACCGAAGAGAAGGAAGAAGGACTCGAGGGTTTTGCGGTCGCTGTCTGTAGGCTTATCCGGGAACCGGGCAACCATGGTGTGGAGGAACTTCCAAGTTGCGCGGCCGAGTTCCGCTCTGGATGGGCTGTTAGGTTTGGCAAACAAGAACAAAGGGCGCAGTGTGTGACGGGGAGACGGACTTTAGTGTAGCATTTTCCAATTTGGGCGCTATGGAATCTCCTTCCGAGAGATCCGGAATGGCTTCTAGGTCGATTTCGAAGCCGGGCTTCGAGGCGGGATCTGGCTTTTTACCATCGGCCGTGAGAGGAATTTCGCTGTTGCGGCCGGACTTTAGCAGCCGTGCAGGGCTGAGTGCCGAGCTGCCGGAGAAGATGTAAGTTATGCTGAGCAAGACGACGATGGCTAGCAGGACCGTGAGGGTGAGATGTTGTCTACGCGCCATGGTTGGCAGGAGGGTTTGCTGAGCACCCGCTTCAGTGTTGTGCTTGTGCAGTCTGGGGATGTCGAATATGGCAGGTGCAGGCGTGAGAGAAGGATGAGCACTTGAGTCAAGCGCATGTGAGCGCCAAATGCCGGGGTGCCAGTTGACAGCGTGGCGCCAGCGTTCAAGCACCCAGTGCCAGTTGACACCAGACATCAATGATGGACCCGTCTAGGGGTTCTCCTACTGACATGGAACGCTCAACCGGTCGCAGCCGTTGAGTTTTACCGCCTCCGACCTAAACTTCAATGCGTCTGGTGCTACCACCGGCCATTGGGCTGTAGCCAATTAATTAATACTGGGGCGAATTTCGACGCATAACATTGAAATCATGCCACAGTCACGCGGCCGTAAGATTGAAAACTGCATACCACAACCCCGTATAAGTCTGGTGCAGGAAGTGCAGCACTTGCAATTGCATGACTCTTTTCTCTCATCCTCCAACTTGTGGTCCAGTTAAACCAGCTGTTGCCATTGTGTACATGAAGTGGGAAGGTTATCGTTTTGTGACACGTTTCGAGTACATACATTCGCAGCCCCTACCCTACACTCGGTATATTTCAGTTTAACGGTGTGGATTCACTCAAGGATTCTACTCGGACACCAACCATCCATTCGTTTGCACAGGAGGATATTAATACCCGTTGGCGCTTGGTGAAGTGGCTCGTCCAATTAGTCACCGACGAGTATTCTTTCTTCCTCATAAACTTGCAGTGGTTTAGAATGATTAAGGATGCCTGCAATCTGTCGTGTGAGCCATGGCGTGTTTGCAACGATGGCCTGTTCATCTGCAGAAGGCCAAAGCAGAATGAAATGCTAAACATTCAATGTCCATCGGAAATCGCGCCTGAAATATCAATGCGTATCCAGATGTCCGAGCCCAGGGGAAAATGTGTTCATATTGACCTAGCGCTGGATGAGGTCACGTTGCTGGTGTCATTTTCAAATTCCAAAACCCGGGCTACCCTAGAGCCAATATTGTGCTTGATTGCCTCTCCATCTCCATCTCCCTCGCCCGTTGCCCAACTTTACATTGCGTAGCAAGTTACTAGCAACACCTTGATATCTAGGTCGGTCGAATCCTCCAATCCCAACGCTCCAATGGCGCTGTTGCTATTATAGCCAGGGTAGCCTTTCCCAGTAGGTTCACGAGAAGTCCTCCAGGACGCAATGCGAGGTTGAGACGACACTACCGCTGAGAAACCTGATACAACCTCCCCTGGGTGGACAGTTCCGGTACCAGCGTTGGCTGAAGCGGCAGGGATAAAAGACCAGACGAAGAACGGGGTAATGATGCACAGTCTACCAAATGGGCGAGACCAGAACAAACGCCATTGGGGATTGCATCACTGAATTTACAAACTACATTTTCTTCTCCCCTCTATAAACCATCGTCTGGGAATCGCGACCGCATGTTGAACTATGGCGCAAAATTAGAGGAAACCCCAAGAGCTCTTCGTCTATCATCATTGTAGTGGTTGTTGTACTGTCCTCCTTCAGAATCATTCGTGAGGAGCAGGGACGATGCTATTTTTGGGGGACGGAGGGCTCAAAGGTTGCGGTTTGGTCTTGTTTAGAGCAGAGCTTCTCGATGTGAGACAAAGAAGGTCGTTACGTACTCTTGGTTTCCTATCTTACTGGTGGCTCTATCTGGCAGTACTGTGTGCCAGGAATGTGCCTGATGCATGAAGAGCTTTGGAAACAGTATTCACCTTCCTTACCGATAGGGAATGAGAGTTGTTCCAAACTCCCGATCCGGTACTCCGTACTGCGTACTCGGTTGGGGGACTCGTAAGCCCATATAATCCGGGCAAGCAGCTTGTCTCGCAAACTTCCCAATCGAAAACCATCCAAGATCGTAGATTTTTTTTCGTCTGACAACCAGATGCAAGCCAAGAGATCAGGACCACTCTCTGTATTCCCGAAATACCACATTCCTCCGCACACGTTCGATCTGACTGGTCCGGGACAGGAAAAGAGTCAAACAAACAGCAGCTGCCATAACGGTGTGGCTGATGGACATGGGTGACGAGTGGTGTGTCGTGGACTCGGACCTGAAGCAGCGGAGCCACAGTTGCGTCGAGCGCATCGACGGAGCAGGCTCATCAAAAGGGGCAGCAGTTAATTAAAGTCACCCACAAAGAGAAGGCTCCGAGACGAGCCAAAGCGTACGTACATACTGTCAGACGTCGAGGCACAGAGGGTCGAGGCGGAGGTGATATTCTTGGCAGCCCACGAAAAGAGGTTGCTGGCCTTTGGCACTAGAGAAAGCCCAAGACTGGATTCCACTCATCGAGTCTTGTTCATCGCGCGCCAACGGTGCGGCGGGTGTCGCCTGATTTCAAGATGGATTGATGGCTGACGCTGTCAGCAATCGCATCTAGTCCACCGGAACCAATGGTGGCGGAAATTACAATATTGACCCGTCTCTCGCACCGCAAAACACCAGGTAGACGAAAACGGTGATGGCCTGAGCGGTAATGACTGCAAGATACAAGAGTGAGACATGCAATTGCTACCTTGTCATGAATAACAGTCAGTTGTTGTTTGCGTGCTCTTCCACTGCCGCATAAGGAAGGCCATCTTGGAGGCTCCTAGCATCGCCCAACCACGAGGGGATATTAGCGGAAAGGTCTTTCTTTGTACCACAGCCCACTCCGGTTGTGATTGTTTGTTGTGCGGAGGAATGCACAGGTTACCCGGGGTGTGTTCGTTGTACTCTGCTCTGTGGCCTGTCGCGATCTACTCCGTACAGAGGGCTTTCTTTGTTGCCCTATGCGACATTTAGGCCAATAGACCGTTTGAGTGGTTACCAAGTGCTTCTGCGTGATTTATTGCCAGCTGCCCGTCCAGATGAGACATGAGAGCCAACAAAATACTGGTATCGATGCAAAATGGAGAGAAAATGACACCTGCATCTGTCACTCACCTATCTACTTAAGTACGGAGTACTCCGTAGAGGTCCAGAGATCTCTCTCCGAGGTCTGCTGGTTACTTCGGCTGAGACAGAGCACTGAGCACCAATCCCTTCAATGTTCCCTGGTAACATTAACCCATCAATGCTCGATACTAGCAGTACTCCGTACACTGGTAGAGCGCTATTTCCGTCTGACGCATTGGACAGACAGGTGGAGGGACGCTGGATGTTTCGTTGCGCTACTATCAGGTACTGCTAGTATGTACTTAGTAAAGTAGGTAGGTACTTACCTAGGTAGGTAGTGTCGCCGTGCACAGAGAGCTTCTTTTCTTCAGAATGCCGTGCAGCCTCAATCGCAACCAGATTGGCCGTTCATGTCCCGCAGCTAGAACAAACAGCTCCAAGGGCGCGGAATACGAGCATAGACTCATCTTGAATCAAGTTTCTTCCTTGCCTTGACTGTCTTGTCACTCGCAACAGTTCGAATGTGTCTTAACCAGATCCTTGTCGCAGTGTGGCAGCCATGGTGAGAATCAGCCAATCGCGGATCCCGAGTCCCTGGCCAAGTGCTCCATCGTGGCGCCCAGGTTTACCTAGCTTCAGGAACAAGGGGATGAACTCCATTTCGGGCGGGGAACAGAACCTGTTTCTTACCGCATGTGTTCGCGAGCTAAATTGGTCGGTACGGGCCCATTCTGAGCGATCTAATATCACTACTACTCCGTGCTCCGTATCGTCAAGGTCTTTGGCAGGACAGGCATGTGTCGCACCAAGGAAGAAGCCCCGCAACTCTCGAAAGGGCTGAACAGCCCAGCAGTCCCGGCAGCAAGGACCTGGGTGCGGGTCAAAGAAAGCCTACCTGAGAACGCACGGAGTATTGCAAGGGTAACTACGGAGTACGGAGTACTGCTCCCTACCTACTTGGAGGCAGTTGGAAAAGCTTGTGGTAATGGGGCATCTCGCCAGACTGACTGACAAAGAACCAACACTCTGCTACGGTAATCCCAAGATTAGCCACGGCAAGGTTACTGGGCGTCATTGAACCCGTCATGCAGCGGATCGACCAACGAAGACAGAGTGCTTGCCAGTTTGCCGGGAGTGAGAGGATCATGGTTGCTCTGCTCACTTTTGCTGATGCGCAAGCCTATTAGCAGTTGATTGAAGGTTTATTCGGGGTCGACACATCAATGATCTGTAAAAAAATAAAGTCAACAGGTCCGGTCCTTTGCTAAGGCAGGTGAGTGACATTCGTCTTCTCCCACCCAATGTTTTCACAACGCACGGCTCACTTTATGCGGCAACCCTGCCTCTGCGCACGTCTGTACGGGTCAGACTTTTTTTCCATCCTTTTTATTTGTTTCCCTGGACCGGGTTGGCTGCAAGGTTGTGGGAGTTGGGACGAGTGTGCCAAATGCAACAGCCAGACCCAGAATTCAAAGTCGCCGGGTGCAGGTCGAAACAAGCCCCTTGACTGGCTCAGTTACCTGCAGAGGTGAGATGATCACCTGCGGAGTTACTAGTAGTATGTACTGCTGATGGATTGCGAGCGAATTGACTGGTACTTGAGAGCCATCCTGAGCACATGCATTCCTCGGCGACACACTCAAGATTTGGGTGCCATGTTGTTGTTTAGCGTGAGCGCTCCGTAGTCGGGAAAAACCTTGTCTTGAACATTCCTGGCCTCTTGGGCAAACATGTTTTATCAATCGTTCGTGGCCAAGGATGCAAGCCAGCCACCACGTGACCTGACGGTACAGAAAAGCCTCAAATTCCAGAGCCATAAGCCAATCGAAAAGGCTTGCATCGCAAAATATTACTCAATGCACCGTACCGAGTACTCCGCCCACACGAATGCTGATGGCGCATTTGGTTTGTAGAGATGGGCTCAGCTCGGTGGAAAAGATTAGTACGTACTAGCACGACCAGGATAATTAGGCGAGACTGCAGTACAGAGAAAGCACCTGCCTATCTGGCCATCTGGGCGGGTGATACCAGACGGCATACTGAGCTTTGGCTAGGTACGGAGTACAGAGTACACACGTAG